TATTTCTATCCATGCCCCCCCCCCCCTATCCAGTTTTCCAATTCAAAGATTCAATAGTCTTACGACATCATTGATACACTCATTTATTAGTATTACATTTTCCTTCAATTGATCAAATATCCTTATCATACCATAACACATATAGATCAGCATTGAATCGTATATAGACAATAACTAAAGTTGCATTCACTTATCAATACACAACAATCAACAGCAACAGCAACAACAGTATGTCATTTTGACAGGATCATCAGGAGTTGAAGAGAGTTAAATGATCCTCAACCAAGGTTACACAAGGGAGTTTTATTTGGTACATCTCAATTCATAAAACCTCCATTTTTCTTCTTCCAAACACTGCATTCAGTATTACAGAAAGTACAAGAAAGGAGATTTCATTATTTCAACTCCTTTTTTGCAATTTGAGAAAAGAGGTTTACAATTTGATAAATTTGGTTCTTGTTACAATCTAATGCAGGATAAACAAGCGGTGATAAGAATATATATTGCCTGACTGTATCACTAACATTATAAAATTATACATTGCACTAAGAATTTTCTCAAAAACCATCTCCATCTAAAGAATAATTTATCACGTAGAATGATAACATATCATCTACGATATCTACCTATAAAATGATATAATATAATATAAAATGATATAATATAATATAATATAATATAATATAATATAATATAATATAATATAGATACTGAAATATATCATAAATATAAATAATTAATATAATATTACATATACATATAATATAATATAAATATAATATATAAATAATATAAATAATTTATAATAATATAATATAATATAATATAATTAATAAGATATATATAATAATATAAATATAATATATATAATATAATATAAATATAATAATAATATGAAAAAATTATAATATATATAATATTTATAAATATAAATAATATATATAATATAATATATATAATATAATGATCAATATAATATAAGTATAGATATAATATAACTAAATATAATATAATATTATATAATATAATATAATATAATATTAATTAATATATTATGTAATATAATTAATATAATATACTATAATATAATATAATATAATAAATATAAGTAAATATAATATAATATAATATAAATATATAATATAATAATAGATATTACATATAATATAATATACATATAATATATATAATATAATATAATATAATATAATATAATATAATATAATATAATATAATATAATATAATATAATATAATATAATATAATATAATAAGAAATTTATGAATCAAGGGAAATGTCTCTATAACATTTGCATGAATTCATTTATATTTTAAAATAATAATGTGTTAGGCGAATTTTCCCACAACGTGTGATTTCCCACAATCTATTGTTGTTTCTCGGGAGAAGAATGTTTTAGGGAAATGTTTGCAGAATGTGTCTAGTTGCCTAGAACAATATGGACTAATTGTCTTAGTAAGAGCGAGTAAAAATGCATTTACCTAGGGTGATAGTTGATAACGCACTATTCTCTAATATAACAGATATTTCAAAGAAAATTTTCGTGGCAGATATTCACAACAGAGGATGATCAATAGAAAGATGATATTTCATTCTACATGTTTGGAGTGTACACGTACAAAATGCATACGGTGATAACATGTTTTTCAAACGATATGTCGGAATTGTGTCAATGGGTCGTTTTATTTTGTTTCGACATTACGATAAGTCCTTGTCGCTTTTAACAGGTATTGTCGATAATTTTACGGTTGAGGAATTACGACTGGTTGCAAAAAAGCTTTCACTTCGAAAACAGAAACAATAAAACTTCTAAAAGTATTTGTGGATCTCACCGTAACTCGATAACAAACCCTGCGATCTGCTTGAGGCGAAGGATTTTTAAAGCAAAAGAAAATGAATGAATTGAATTTGATTTTTTTGCTTATTTTTAATCAGACGTTGCAGCCTAAATACATTTAATTCTACAAAACAAGCCTCTACAAATAAGGAAATATTTTTTGGGCAATCGTATTGTACCAAATTGAAAATGGACCCTTTTGGATTGTACCTTGCAAGACTTTTTTAAAAGATGCTTTAGCCTAATTGCCAGACTGCATATATGTAAACTTGAGGTTATCAATTTTGAGATGTACCTTTGCGTATAATTGCATCTATCTTGGAAAATAATTGATATGCTACAATGTAATACATTTTCAAGATTTTTCGCTATCTATAAATGTTTACTGCAAATGACAATTTCATTAGGTAGTAGGGGACGAGCAGCAGTGGCATATTATGGAGGTATCCGAGGATGCCATTGCATCCAGGGTCAGCCCATCCACCTGTATCCAGAAGCATTTCACTTTCATGCTAGGGTACCGTCTTCCTTAATATAAGCAACAACATCCATGGGAACGTGCTGTCTGTTGGCCCCTATATAGCAGATGAACCTTTATGTTAAGATTCATGTTAACCTTTGTAAGTCAATTTGGTACCAAGAACTAAAACATCACTTTATGCTATCCAAGTAAAGAAGGTGACGAATATTTACAAATCAATTTTACAGCTGACATCAGACAGTTCATGGAAACATTGAATGAACAACAACAGGTCCGTGTTATTCCAAGCCTACACGGTTCGGTTCTTCTGTAGTATCATAGCATGTTATCAGGGGGTATTGTAACAGCAGTTTTTGAAAGTTAACTTCTTGTAATAACTTTATAATGAATAAAATTTAATATCGATACTATCTAAACTGCTAAATACAGGACCTCACTTGATACAAACCTACCTAAGGCAGATTTTTTTGCTGAATAAACGCGAACTTGAGAGTTAAAGGAGAAAAATAAATTTATTTCCCCTCTGTCTCTTATCATTCAGATTTTACCTATCGTTGGTCGCTAATTTATCAAAGGAAAGGAACTTTTTAACTTGAAAATATGAAAATTTCCAGACTACAATTTTTAAACGCATTTGTAAGACTTTCATTTTAATCAGGTTGGTGATAAAGCAATGTTTCCATGAGTATCGATTTCAAATTTCAGGTACCCCCGGGCATGAAACGATACACTTGCTCAGTCATAGCGGGTAACGGGCAGCTCAACCCATACACGAACGAACATTTTGGTAATGCACCACAAGTTTTTGTCTCCAATACATTTCCAACCATGGCGAAGTATTTTGCGGTGATAATCGCTGCACTTGTTGCTACAGCCAACTGCTATCCTCTTCAGCAAGCAGGAAAAAGACGCCAAGATATTGGCCATGGGTTTGACGATTGTATTGGACCAGTTTTGAGGCCTGGATGTGACTTTGGTCATGGAGGTGGACACCATGGAGATGGTGGTGTAGGTATTGGATATGGAGGCGAAGGCTACATTGGTGGTCACGGAGGATATGCTGGTATTGGTGGAGACCACGGCGACTACCACGGTGAATATCATGGTGATTTCCATGAGGCTCATGACCATACAACTTACGTTCACAGCCACTCACCACCAGTTCACATTGGACCAAACGCACCCCCAGTTCACTTGGGTATCCACAGACCTCCAATTCATATTCCACCACATGTGCCACAAATCCATGTCAACTCACACGCACCAATTCGTCATATTGGACCACACTCACAATACGTTCACATGCCACCTTCAGTACCAATTGTACATGCTGGCCCAGTTGCCCCTCCAGTTCATGTCTCTACTCCACCTAATGTCTACCATCAAGCACCAATAGTTCACCACGAGCCCCATGTTGTTGGTGGAGAATGCTGTGATGGAGAAACTTGGGGAGTTGGCAGTGATGGACACAAGAAGAAGTAAAAACAAACGAAAGTCAGTTGTAAAAACAAGAGAAAAGAAACACTATCAAAAGATAAATTTTTATCTAATTTGAGCAGGTTACAGGACACTTTAGCAGGTAAACTGTATGCTTATCGTGTTGTGTAAATTCCTAAATAATGCTTTATCCGCTGAATCCATTGCATTAGATGTACATTAATTTTGCTGCCGTCCAGATAAAATGCTTCTTTACATAGAGTAAAGGGTCGAATTGAACATAAGAATTTCAGATAAAAATATTTGTGATATACAATGTGTAAATTTTTGAAGAACAATCTGAACTATCTGTTCATTGATTTAGATGATTTTTTGCAGTGTGTAAGAAAAGCATTTCACTGTTCATTTACTCGCCAAAAGGTTGGCAGTTAATTGTGTTATGTTTTCTCCTTTTCTCTCTTCCATTTTACTCATTGAGGAATAAAGAAGGATCGAGTTAAAAAGCTTTGACGGTCTTCCTCTGATGGTACCACTTTGTGTAGACGTCAAGTCTACCTACTCTTGTAAGGCTATCGTAGATGTTTGTTAATACTTCAACTGAATATATCTTGGCCTATCGTTGACTCAATTTGTGAAAATGGGAGGCGCAATTCAAAAGAAAACATTTTAAAATCGTCGTGTGCATTGGCTTCAGGCCCGCCGAGCCCAATCCTTACGCCGAGCCCAATCCTTACGCCTGGGGTAAAAATATAGATGGCGGCTTTAATGGTGATAAAGTGATTAAAACTTTGATTGTCATTGATCATGTTATTGTTGAGAACTTTGGTATAAATTTTTGGGGTTCCTCTCAGCTCGGGGTCTGGGGGAATCTGCTTCAACTGAAAAATGTTTAGGATATAAAGGAATGTTTACGAAAAGCCAATGTAGAGACATGCATTGATGCTTATCATTTTATGAAAACAAGACATAAAAAGACTGAGCTGAAATTAACCATATGGTAAAAAATTGGCGATTTCAATTCGAACCTGAATTCAGTAAAGGTAAGAAATAATTTTTGATAATTAAAAATTACTTTGATAAAAGCACATATTCTAAGAAATACTTAAGTTTTCGTCTGACACTCTTCGTATAAAAGATTTGGGGAATAGAAAAACTGGCATTTTCCTCTCAAACCAGCATCTTTCTCTCTGGGAGAACATAATTGCTCTTGCTAACCTAATACAAAAAGCAAAATTTGCGATTCGGCCATCAGGCAGCATTTACTAGAAATAAACTAGATTTTGTCAAAACTATAACGACGTTATACTTCGGATTATTGAAAGAGCCCGAGCCATCCATCAGTTTTAGAATTAAGGAGCTCGTTTTTTATCCTAAAAATTCCATTGGTAATATTTTAAATAGGCATGCGGCAATGACTTGACAAATTTGATAGAGATTGGCCTAATGCAATCCACGACTTGGTATACACATTAACTAGAGTAGACTTTTGATCATAATTCTGACGTTTTATACTTTGAAGAATGTCACGCAAAAAGGTTCAAAATGTTTGTTTTTTCCAAAGCTATGCAAAAAACCATGTTTGGAAAGGTGTTTACAAACAGAAATTCAAGAGGAATGAAGCTACTTGACAAAAATGATGCACTGAATTGCTTATTGTTCAGATTGATGAGAAGTTCAAATTTGATGCACGTATCAACTGCATCTGTAAAAAGCAGCTAAACAGTTTAATTCTCCTAAAAGATAAGCAAGATTTATGAGTGACGGAAGAAAAAGATAATCGAAAATTATTTCATATTATTTCATTTAAAATTATTGCAAATTATAGATGCTATGTGATGAAGGAAGCTAGGACCAGCTAGAGAAAAACGATCAGATGTCATTACGACAGGCCTACTCGGACTATTCATTCTCTTAAAAGCATTTAATCGAAAGAAACTACCACACATATTCAAACAATTAAAATGTTGGCACTGTAAGTTTTTCAAACACTATGCAACTTAAATCCTTTTTTAATAAAGGACTTTAATAAACAACATATCTGAAAAATAGACTGCCTTTATCTAACGACTGAACAAATCTTGACCACTAATTTTTGAAAACCCAAATTGAAAAGAATACAATTATTGGAATAAAAACAGTTAATAATAACAGGAAATAAAGCCTAAAAAGTTACATTCTGCTAATTGTTTTGGTTATGCTTTGAAAACTTTTATTCAAGTGAAGCCTAACCTGGTTTAAAGAAAATACCTCCTTTGTGTTTTCACTGTTCGTTTTCTCAAAACACTTCTTTTCTAAAGATTCTTTGTTCCAGATTCGCAATATATATATACCTCTGTATATGAAATCGTCGATGCGCATGGAGGTAATAAATTTCATTATTTGCATGCGCCGGGGTTTTCCGGATGAAACTCCTACTTTCAAAGGCCGTTCCCTGCACCAATATTGCCAAAGATGATACCTTTGGCTAGACCTTGACTTGACCAAAATTGCAAGAAAGTTTACCCTTGGCTAGGGCTAAAGATGTCCGAGAAAGTATACCCTTGTCGCGGAAAGCAGGAAGTTTGCTGCGCAAACGCCTTTCTCGCGGTTTGCCTTGCCAACCAGCCCGTCAAAAACTAAGGATTGATTTCAACATATTTGCAATACTGAAGCACAAGTTTCAAATTGAATATTTTCTGTCTTCCCGAATCTAATGACAAACGCTCTCTTCTGCCAAACGCCCAGATAAAAAGTAATGAAATTTTAAAGCAGCCAGGGCACTACCCTGGGTAGAGCATTTATTTCCTTCTTCACAGCTACAGTAGAAACCCGCATGAAAGAACCTGGGTTTTTTTCTGGCAGCCTGAATAGATTCTTAATTAACAGGCTGCTATTATAAATTCCAGTCTAAAAGGTTCTTAACAAGGTTCTTAAATACATTGGGCCTTGCACACATTAACAATGTCTTCCACCGTAAGAATTCTAACGGATACACTTAAACCAGCTTTGTTTTTCATGTTACCATAACCTGATTTACTCTAAGCTTGTTTAATTTGCCAGTTTTAATAGGGTGTAAAAATACCACTTTTAAAAACTCTTTTTTCGTATATATATATAGATATAGAAATTTGTCTTTTGATACTTCCGTAGTACAGTGCTCAATACGTTAGCACGTAGAGCGTGATATATCATAGATTGAAGAAAGTAAAACTACATGGTTTATCTCTACAAGCCTGTTTCGTGAGTAACTCACTCTTCAGGAGATTATATATAGATATATGTATATAAGAACCTTTCCAAATTTCAGCTTCCTGGGGGTTCTTAATTATGGAGCTAAAAAAGATTAAATTTCAGCCTCTAGATTTCTTATAAAAACAGGTTCTTTTATGCGGGTTTCTACTGTAGTCGCTCCTCCGCTTCTTTGCTTGACATTCTGTTTACGCGCTCGAAATTTTGTGGCTCTGGTACCTATGGTACAGGGCGCCTATCATCAAAGTGGATTGAAATGTGAAAATGTGGGTACAATTGGAAAAATCTAGGAAAGTACGCAAAGAACAATTCTCTTTGGTTTTGGAGAATTTTGAATGTGAAAAACCCTATCTTTTAAAATATCTAGAAATTTTATCATAGATCAAAAGATTATTTTCTGGAAATTTTTTTGTATGACCTGCATGACCTCTAGCTTCGCCACTAAATGTTGTAGGTAAACCATAGAGATCAACGAAGTAGACATCGCCTGCGCAGAAGGTTGAAGCTTTGCAGCAACCGCAACTTTAAATGACGTTTGTTTGTTGTTTGTGCAAGATGTGGTGACATAGATGCCATCATTGACTATGATGCCATCGATGCCATGTTGGGACGCAGGATCAAAATCTTAACACTGAGGTTATTGTCATTGTCATGCTGGCATCACCCTATTGTATTCCAGACTCCAAGTGGTCACGTGGTTGACAACATCGTCTTACGGCCTCTAATCGATTGTATCAATAGGATAAACAGCTCCCCGTACTTTTCGTTCTGTTTCGGAAGGCGAGCTGGAATCATGTCTGGAACTGGGAATTACGAGCAAGACTCAGCTGCCGTACACATATGGGTTCGTGCAGAAACGAAGCCAAATGAAGCGCGGGCTCCTCTGATACCGCAAGCTTGCAAGGACCTTCTCAATGCTGGGATCAAAGTTACAGTTGAACGGTCACATCAACGGATATTCTTAGATGAGGAATACGAGAAGGCTGGATGCATTTTGGTGCCTAATGGTACATGGAAAGATGCCCCCAAGAATGCATTTATAGTTGGCATAAAAGAGCTCCCTAATGATTCGTTCCCACTCGTCCATCGCCATATATACTTTGGACATGTCTACAAAAATCAGGAAGGCTGGCAAGAATTACTAGGCCGCTTCAAAGCTGGAGGTGGCGCACTATTGGACGTCGAATATATGTGCTTCAAAGATGGACGCCGGGCTGTCGCGGAATTTAGCCAAGTAGCTGGAGCTGTAGGGGCTGCATTAGGAGTTGAACTCTGGACATTTAAGCAACTGCAAAATGCTGAAAAATTTACCGTCCCTTTTCACTATAAATCAGAAGAAGATTTCCTCGTTCATCTAAGGTCATGCTTGAACAAAGTTGCCGCTGGAAATGAAGCACTGAAATCTAGGCCAAAGGTCATGGTCATGGGAGCACTAGGTCGATGTGGCAAAGGTGCAACGTCAATGCTGGAGAAAATTGGCCTAAAGGGCGAGCAGATTATTCGATGGGACCTCGAGGAGACTAAAAAGGGAGGCCCATTCTCGGAAATTCTTGATTTTGATGTCTTTGTTAACTGCATCTACCTGCCTCCTGGGGGTAAGCCCATGCCACCTTTTCTTCACGAGGAGATGCTTAAAAGTAAAGACAGAAACTTGACCGTTGTTGTTGATGTAAGCTGCGACACTAGCAACCCAAACAGTCCTTTACCATTTGTGAAAGATATCACTACATTTAAGGAGCCAGTTTTCACAGTAAACCTAGGTAAAGGGGAAAAGCCCCTCGATGTCATTGCTATCGACCATCTACCATCAATGCTGCCAAGGGAAGCAAGCATGAAACATTCAGCGAAACTTGCATTGCAGCTTGCTGATCTTGTCCAAATAGAAAAGAGTGTAGTTTGGATGTCTGCCCTAAACACATTTCATGAGAAAGTGGGGCTTATCTAGCTGGAATATTTAGAGGCCAGAGACAGTGCTTTTTAAGAATTAAATATCATGGATGTCTCCCTATAGATATCTGTCTAATGCTGTTCAGTGGCGTGCCTTGGGCCGGAGAAGTAGGGGGGGGGGGGTCTGGAGCGCAGTCCCCAGAATTTTTGGGACCACGCCCTTCAAACACTCGCAAATGCGGGGAAACGCCCTTTTGCAAAATTTTCCGCCATTATTCGATTCATGTTAGCTACAGTAAATAGCAAAGTATTTTACAATTGTTATTGACACAAGCATACAGTATACTACACCCCCCCCCCAATGAGTTTTACATTGTTTTGGACAAATCTCGAGGATCACATTTTAGAAAAGTGGGGGGGGTCCGGACCCCCCTATTCCCCCCCCTCGGGTACGCCACTGATGCTGTTTGTATTGAAAAAGAAAGCTTAAAAATTCTTTGAAACATTCTTGATATTAGAGAAGCATTGTGTGTAGCTTACATGCATTCTTGATATAGGAGAAATTCTAATGAATATCCATAAATACATCTGCATTAGTGGATTTAAATGTTAAATGTGAAAGACACCTTTTTTGTAATCTTTATTTCTTTGAATGAGAGGGCTAGAAAGAATTTTTTTGTGTGGAAACAGCCTCGCTACTCTTTAAAAGTTGGGTGTTGCCTCTTAAATCAGGAACAAAGCTACAGTGAAGGCAAATTTCAGAAGTGACTCTATTTTAAAATTCTCCTCAAAAACTGATAATAGAGATTAATTTTTTTTGCAAAAAACAAGATCAAGATTAGTTCTCGCTTCCTTTTTTTTCAATATTTATTTTTGTACTCAAATTACCTTAAGGTCTATAAAATACTAAGTGCAAAGAACTTCTATTTAGAAACACAAAAACCCAACATCTTTAATTTAAAGGCCATCTCAGGAACCACTCACACCTAGTACATACGCTGGCACTGGACAAGGGGAAGGGGGGTCGTATGTTTGTGTACAACGGGAAGGTAGTAGCCTTTGCGCGCAGGCTAGAAGGTAGCGGATGGAGCTAAAGTACGTCTGCAGAGTATTTTTAAAAAAGCGTTCTTTCTTATTAGGCCTCGGAATCCTGATAAAAAATCGTGAGTACATATATGTACTTGCATAGATTATGTGTCGCAAAACTGTCAAAAACAAACAAACAAAGCTACAAATATCAACGATTTTCAACAGATTTTAAGATGATGAACCGCCAAGTTTTACCGTACCTACAAACTCGTTTCTTAGATGTCTAGTGAAGCCAATGCACTGCGGAAGAGAGCAGCTTTGGGGTATATAGCCCTTACCTTTTGCCAAAAGAATATCGAATTAAAAATCAACAATGTTGAACTTCTACTAAAAAGTGTTTACTTTTTACGAATATTTTCGAAAAAACAAATCAAGTTTTTAATGATGAAACACTTTAGGCCGAAAAAAGCAAGGAATGCAGATTAACACTTACTTAACTTGATATCTCTGTGTCCCTCACTTAACAGCTTGTATAAAGGCCGGGTTACACGATCACTTTTTACCATCACTTTTTTCGATATTGGACCAACATGCTGAAAAGTGATCGTGTAACATACTAAAATTTTCCGTTTTCGCTGCAGAATTTAATGCGCTTATCTGCTGTTTATCCTCTATCATTGGAAATTTTACTCTGAACGAAAGCAGAGTAAAATCGAGTTCATCACTTTTTTTCAAAGGCGCCGACAAATTCTTACGTCACATGATGTTTTGATGAGAAGGGAACGGCCTAGAGTATCGAGAAAAGAAGAAAAAGACGTGAATTGTGCTCAGAAACATAATTATTAGGATAAATAGAAAATGAACAATGATTTGGAGTAAATCGAGGAGCAGCCAATTAGAGAAAAATAAATGCAGTTTAATAAAAAACACTCATTTTTTATAAGAAACCGTCTATAAAAGCCAGTACTCGAAAATGAGAAAAGGTTAAGAAACTCCAATACTCGAGCAAGAAACTGCAAAACTGGTATAGATTGAGAATAAGCAAAGATCAAGAATTTCTTGATTTTCTTTTGCTAATTTTGACTAAACTTACTTACACTACAAACTTAAAAAAAGAATAAAACTACACAGTGATTAGGAAACCAAATTTAAAGTATCGAGGCTCTTGTTTTTTGAGAATAACACAGAAGTATTCTATAAAAACTTGAGCTCTAAAATTTTGTGAACCTTAAGGAACTGGGGTACTCCCTGTCGAGGATGGTTTCTTATAAAAAATGAGTGTATTTTATTAAACTGCATCTATTATTCTGTAATTGGCTGCTCTTCGATTTACTCCAAATCATTATTCATATTCGTTTTTTGATAATAATTATGTTTCTGAGCACAATTCGCGTCTTTTTCTTCTTTTCTCGAAACCCTAGGCCGTGCCCTTCTCATCATGTGACGTAAGAATTTGTCGGCGCCTTTGAAAAAAAGTGATGAACTCGATTTTACTCTGCTTTCGTTCAGAGTAAAATTTCCAATGATAGAGGATAAACAGCAGATAAGCGCATTAAATTCTGCAGCGAAAATGGACAATTTTAGTATGTTACACGATCACTTTTCAGCATGTTGGTCCAATATCGAAAAAAGTGATGGTAAAATGTGATCGTGTAACCCGGCCTTAAGCCCTGTTAAGAAATGAAAATAGGGATTGGCCTTTGTACTTACACTTATTCTCTTCTCGACGTTTGCTTGAATCGCCAGGTTTTCGGCATTATTGATTCACTTTTGAACTCTTCCACGCTTTTGGAGATTCCCCAGTTCCCGCCTTTTCATCAGCAGCTATACCCAACTTACTCTCGTGTTTGTCGCATGCTTTTCGATATGTTGTTATATAATATCGTGATTTCATGATCATCGAGCTAATTTTCAAGAAAGATTAACAAAAACAAGTTTCTTTACAATAAAAAAAGTTGTATAAAGCCATAATCCTTTACAAACACAGTTACTGCTTCATCACATCGCTTCATCAGCTGCCGATAGCAGGAGGGTGGGACAGTCTGTAGATTCTGTGAACCTTTACTTGGCATTCATCATTAAACGACTGATTATACAGGTAACTTTAAGCTGTTTTCCCTCGCCTTAACAGTTGAAAATTGACAGATACCAAGTTCGTCCTCTCGTTGTAGGAGTTGCCAAAATCTGACATTACAAGGCTACCATTTTTATCCGGACGTTATATTTCAATAGTGAATGCAATTTCGTTTGTCCGACTTCCGCTCTGCCTGATCAAAGAATTATGATGTAGTTCTGGATTATTGTGCTTAATCTTCAATAGATAAATTATCATTTTCGATCGTATATAAGGAGGTGATTTCTTGAAATTTGTGGAGTTCACTTTGTTTCATTAACTTCGCCACTAGTGAACCCTGCAACTTTTTTTTAAGAAGAAACTTTGGAGCTAAAATTCCAATGCTGAAAGTGCAATGCATGGGCAATAGAATATAGTTTTTAGTAACAAAGAGTAACACTAGATAGCAACACGAATTGGTTGGTGGAGATGTATACATTCATTGGACCCTCTATAAAACAGACACCGTTTTGGGCCAGTATAATCAGGGACTTCATAGAATGGGGCTCAGGGGTCAAAACACATCCTGTTGCCTTTTGATAGGAGGGACAATAGGGGCCAAATTTCCCTTATAATTAAAGTGCCCTTTAAACTGGCCATTTGTAATAACCAGAGAGATTCATATGAAATTCTGATTGTAGTGCCTAACTCATAACAACATTGCTTAAAACTTGTAAAAATAATTCCTTATGTCAAAAGTTAGTCAATGTTCAAGATACCTGTACAGAAGCTTTTTTTATTTCTATTATAACTCTTGAATATTATTTTATGTAAATATGTATGCTGCTATAAATAGGGTTTTATAATTATGGTTTTTAAAGTATCATTAATTGCAATTGTTATTTTCTAGTTAGGGCCCCTTGTAAATCAACTTTGCTGAAGGGCAACCCTAGAAATGAAATATGAAGAGAAAAAATATGAAATATGAAAAAAATTGAAACAAAATGGCAGTAACAAAGGAATTAGTAGAACCTGGGAATTATCTTTCAAACACCCTCTTACCCAAGCCTGCCCCCTTGCCCCTCGTCATTCTGACACCCCTAAATGTATTTGTCCATTATTTCGCAATCTTTTGTTTCATTATTCATATGCCAGTGCTCCCCTTGCAGCCAACTAAATGTCTGTTTAAACAGTATCAACATTTAATTGATAAATTTTCTTTCACCATATGTTAGGAAAATGACATTCTACAGAAAAGTTGTCTGGTACACCAGAGGTCTCAAAGAGTATACAAAGAAAGGCTATGAAGCTGCTTTCAAAAATTTTGAATCTCTTGACAACATTGATCTTTCTGGCAGAGCTTTCATGGTAACAGGAGCTAACAGTGGAATTGGTAAACTCACTTTTAAATAATACCCTGTACTCAAAAAGAGGCACATTTTACTTCTTAGATTGGAATTTAAAAGTAAATTCTTATGTGAAAAAGTGATGTATATTTTTTCTTTGCTGCCCTGCAAAAATATAGACAGATATAGCTTAACATAGTTACTAACATTGAGCTGCATTCTCCTGCAGTTTGGTAGAAATCAATATGCCTCATTACAAGATGTATTTATACAAGGCAATCTTTACAAAAACTAGAGTGTCGATTAGATATCATTAGTGTTATTTTGAATGTTTAATATGGAAAAATAGAATAGATTTTTATTCTATGGTTACAAAATAAAATGATATTTACTATTGGCCCTGAAAATATTTAACAAAGAAACTATACAATTTTTAATGGACATGTTGCTCAGCTGCAAGTATTTGTAATGACTGTCTTCCCAATGTAAGCTCTTTTTTATTTTTGCTCATGACTTTTATTTTATTTTTCAATAGATTGTGTCTTGTAAAATCTCTGTATTGTTTCTCTTTGATGATAAGACAGATTAATTATATTTTTTTTATCATTTTGATTGATTTTTTGTTTATCATGATTGAAATGTCTTATGTCTTTCATCATTTCAGGGAAAGAAGCAGCTCTGGAAGTAGCCAAAAGAGGTGGTACAGTACATATGATCTGTAGAAGCGAAGAGCGTGGGAAGCAAGCTCAGCAAGAGATCAAGGACTCTTGCAGCAATGAAAATGTCCATTTGCATATATTAGATATGTCCAACCCAGAAAATGTTCAAGGCTTTGCCATGAAGTTTATCGAAGATGAAAGACCCCTGCATGTGTTGGTGAATAATGCTGGGTGCATGGTTAATGATAGACAAGTTGATGAAAATGGGCTGGAGAAAAACTTTGCGACAAATACTCTTGGAACATATTTACTGACAACTGCCCTTGCAGATCACATTAAAAAGCATGAATCACCGAGAGTCATCACTGTTACTTCAGGTATAAACATTATATCTATCCATCTCTGGAAACACTAATCCTGGAAACTGACTTTTTTTAAAAAAAACAAGGTATAACTTGCAGTACAATAAATCTTTCTGGCAGTATTTTGGGCCTTGATTCCTCATAAATGTAAGAGATGCCAATATTTAATATTGAAAAACAATAGACATTTGAATTTCGCACCAAGGCTAAGATTCATTGGACACTATCTATCAGTGACTCTTTGGCACATAGCTAACACTGCTGGTTGTTTTGGTTGCTTGATTCAAATGTATAATAGCTCATAAGTTAATTGTTTCAACAAATAACAATAAGAAAAGAAGCAACTCCAGGATCCAATATGCCAGGGGCCTTACAAAAATTGTAAACATCTATAGGGTTATGTGCACCTATTCTGAGGCCTAAGCTGCCAACAGCTGCAATGATATAAACTAATCTATTCACTTATGTATGTACCCAACAAACTTTGGGGAAATGGAGAAAACTTTTCCTATGGCATTGGCAAGAGTTCTATGTCATTGCTCAATAGAACAAAGACAAAACTAGCATTGATGTTTGTTTTATGTAGTTATTTTGTTTGTGATTCTTCTGAATGATTTAAGGTGGTATGTTGCTTCAGAAGCTGGATCATGAAGACTTGCAGTTTGAAAGGATAAACCCCTTTGATGGTACAATGGCGTATGCACAGAACAAGAGACAACAAGTAGTTATGACTGATTTTTGGGCTAAGAAGTATCCTGATATTCATTTTTCAACCATGCATCCAGGTACAATAATGCTCATTGTTTTAACAAATTAATCTTAGTTCAGCAATAGGGGCAATCAGCTCTCATAAATTTGCAGAGTTAAAAAGCAGAACCAAGAAAACAAGACAGTCACACATTCAATAAATGTTAGTAAGGCCAATGAAAGCAAAGGAACTTGATGTATCACACCCAAACCCTGCCTTGTTTCCATTTTTACCTGATGGAGATCTTCAGGACTTAGAGGTATTGTCTATAGGAAAGATGAACACTTTTTTAGCCTGCGTGCAATCTTGAAAAATAAAGAAAGTTACAATTTCAAGTTCAAGCATTTATTACTAGCTGCTGACGAATAATCATTGTCTCAAAATTTTCAAAATTTATGTACATGTTACTTGTATTTTCCACAGTCCCTGTGATTGTTACTTCTTCAAATAAATAGCTATGATTGCTCTAGGTTGGGCTGACACACCAGCTGTTAGAAATTCAATGCCAGATTTCCATCGGAAAATGGAAGGCAAGCTAAGAACACCAGCTGAAGGAGCAGACACCCTGGTATGGTTATGTGTATCACCTGAAGCAACCAAGCAACCTAGTGGAGGCTTCTTTCAAGACCGTAAAACTGTCAAGAAACATCTACCACTAGCTTGGACTGTATCCAGTGAAAATGATGAAGCAAGTTTCATGCAAAAGATGGAAGACTTGGCAAATAAATTCAGAAAAAAATAGGGTGATTGCTCGCTATGTGATCAGAAAAAGATCAGTTGCAGCAGACTATTTTTATACACACTTTTTAAGAAGATAGTTCATGACAATAAACAACAACTTCCAAATGCACATTAAGCATTCTTCTTCCTCAAAAATGCCTTCTTTTGCCTTAATCTCAAATTCTTTTGTGAAGTTTTTTTTGAAAATCACTGATCTATCCTCCGAAATGTAAATTGCATCCTGATAACCTCTGTTCCGCTTCCCAATACTGTTTAATCACAGACCTGTAAAGATTTCAAAATTTCAGGCGCATTCTTCAATGTGTAAAGCCCTCCCTTGTCATTCTGTTATTTCTATTGTCTTCTACCTGGTCTTTTTCTACCCATTATCGTGTTTCAAATAGTCTTAAAAGCGATTGACAGGTGCAAAATATGCTTAAGCAATCTCTCAATCAACTTTTAGCCAATCAATGAATGTGATACGACTCACATGCTTTTTGATTGGCTAATATTGATTAACAAATGCAATTAGCCCCTTAATGCCTTTAATAGTGTTTTCACTCGTTATCACAAGCAAATGCTCCAAGTATGGGTGTTCCTATGTCCCTTGTATTTCGGTTACCTATCCTTTTTTGAAAAATAAGGCCTCTAATTTACAATAATTGTCAATGAATTATGTATGTATACATTATTTTATAATAGTATTGATTATATCTTCATTTTAATACCCTACATTATATTTCTGCTCAGATTCTGCAGGTGACCTAACAACGTAATGCTGTAAAGACGAAAAATATTTTTCTAAGGTGATCTTGCTAATTAGAGAAAGATGTCTGTAATTGTAGCATTTCGTTATTTATTGTACTAGATAATGAAGTTAAGTGTTTCATAAACTGATTCCAATCTATACCATTATTTGTCATTGCTCCTGCAGTTAAGATCGGTAGGAAGATGGTATTTCGAGGCATGAAGTTTGCTTGTCTCTTTTCATACAGTGCTAGCATAAGCTTAAGGAAAGTTGCAGATAATACAGCTACCTCTGTATTTTAACTTTCATTTCAACTTGTTTATACACGTTAGACCATCGAAAAGTGTAGTCTAACTTGCATACGGCTAAAATAAAAACTTACAGTTACATAAAGAGATATTTTAAACTTAATATGGAATATAAATGTTTTATTTGGGTAAATATATCCGTAAGGGTTTCTTACGAAGATAGTCCTCCAGTTCTAGACAGAATAATTTAAGCCCTGTCCTTCAAAAAAATGGCTGTGCGAAGTTCGAAGTTGTTCAATTGTGATCTTGTTTTAAATCGAAAACAATGCTAAGCTGCAATGAAGTAACTTGTCTGGTTCGATATTTTAAAAAAAAATACAAAATGAGGAGGTAATACTTTCTGAATAGCACTTTTTTGATAAAATACTTTCAATCTTCAATTTAATGAAGCCTTGAATCCCATTGTTGAAAGACACATAACAGTCTATAATTTTCAAATAACGGTCTGATTTTAAATTATGACAATTAACGAGTTTAATTTTGAAATAGTAATTTGATTGCATTCGGAGAACGGGTTCAATATTGTTTCAAAACAAATTAACCTCTTCTAGAATGTTTTAAGTACAATGTAATTAGCAGGTTTTGCGAGGAACCGAACAGCCATTCCTGGCCAAGCAATCAACCGTTTTAAGCCTATCTCTTCAGCACCTCGTTTTACCACTGCCTATAGCAAAGAACATAGCAAGATGGCGTTTGCAGTTACCTTAAAATGTATTTATATCTGTTTGATTCAATTTGCGTGTTGTGAAAAGAGATTTGTCTCAAATGTCCTTGATAAAACAAGGTCATCCTGCCCAGATATGCCTAAGAAAGTCTACACAGTCACAAGTGAAATGCAGTGCATTCACAGATGTATGAGGAACAAAGATTGCAGCACGATAAACTACAGAAACGAGCAAAACGTCACAGAAAACTGTGAAGTGTTCATTGGTGGCCACTGCGCGAATATGGAAGATTCGGAGAATTGGAGAACTAGTGTCATTAAGGTGAAACGCTAATTAATATCCTATTTATTCAAATTTCATGGACCTAAAGTGCATTGTCAACTGTTTATGCGTCTTTACGTCACACTCGCTTGCACGTCTATTCTCCCTCTAAGCTACCAGTTCTTTGCGTTGTTTGTATTGCAACTATTGTCTCCAATTTTAGAAGATAAATGATTTGACAATCCAGTTATAGCCCAGTTACAACTATAAGGAAATTTACTATTAACGCTTGATTTTAATTTTGAAATTAATATTTTATTTCAAAACTGACTGATATTCACTTCAAAACATTTATCTTTGAGCATTCTCTTTAATCTTTCAATTTGATTTCCAAATCGAAATAGTTTTCAGGTTTATTAAGTATATCTTTAATTTTCAATTTTAGAGCGAATTATCTCCAGCGGCTAAAGGTAAGGAAAAAGAACCTAACAACAACAAAGAGTAGTACTGTGGTTATATCATAACTTTTTGTTAAAGTTAAGTCTCCTGAACAACAATACAGCCGAAAAAAGTATCCAGAATTCGTATGACCTAAGTTTAGTATTTACAGTATAAAAAAATATGAACTATAGTAAATTTATATAAAAAAAAGTTGAAGAGAATTTATAGCTTGTATTGGCCGTTATAGTCTAGGTTAGGATTGGGAAGAGGGTCAAGTTTCTGAATATTTTTAGCACTTTTTTAATGCTGAAAAATGATACATAAGCATACTTTAGTGTCACCCGTGGGTAACTGTATTAACAATTTTATGATTTAATTAAATTATTCAATTCATCAAAAGTTTTTAGGAGTTGCAAAGAAGTATTTATGGACAAAGAAAATTCAGCATCTGGGGTATACCATTTAGAATCAGGCCCTCATTTCTGCAACATGAGTGAGATTCCAAATTGCGGAGGAGGTGGATGGACTCTTGCGATGAAAATTGATGGAACACAGGTAACTAATATATTTCTATCAAATTTTTGACACTGAAATGAGATATATCGCAGCTATTACTGCAGCCTTGACACAGTTTAAAGTTTTTTATACTTTGTTGCAACGCCTCTGATTGCTTACAGATATTCAAATCTTTTCCATTCTCAAGAAAACTGTTTGGTTAAAAAACAAGGCAGGGAACACCCATACATTAACAAAGTGCCAACATTTAACTTTCCTTATAAAGTTATGTAATAGTTGGACGATAATTGGTAAAAGTAATTGGACGAATATTTATGCTATGAAGTAACTGTTAAATTTATTTGTATGACTGATATTGTTACGATGAAGATAGGTCCAAGTCGCGATAGTAGCAGCGTATTCCTGAAAATTATGTTTGATGACATTTTAACTTTAAGTTATCACACTCCTCTTTGTAACCTTTTACCTTCTTAATTTCAAATACAAAGTCTCATACCATTATTATACTTCTTGACATGCTTATGCAAGACGAGTTTTATCTATCTATTTGTTTGCAGAGTACATTTTATACTGACTCGCAGTATTGGTCAAATGATGAAGTATATAATACGAAGTTAGGGATCCATTCCTTCTATGAAAACGAAGCAAAGTTCCCTGCCTTCAGCAAGGTTGCATTTGACGAGATCTGCATTGGTATGAAGGCATCATCTGTTGTGAATTGGCTGCGTTTACCAGTAAAAAGTTCCTCCCTGCTTGCTATTTTCAAACCTGGTACCTATATACAAACCAACCTTGGAAGGACGGCTTGGAAAAACTTGCTTCTGTTATCATCGTTGCAACGCAAGTGCAATCGGGAAGGAATCAATGTGAAGAACTCAGCGGGTAAAATCAAGGCAAGAATCGGTCTGATTGCAAACAATGAAGATGATTGTCATTCCGTCGATTCGTTTCTTGGATTAGGGATTCCAACCATCATATGTGGCAATGAAGCATGGACAAGCCCGTTTGTCGACAATGGCCATGTACGAATCGTTGCAATGGGCTTTGTACTTGTCAAATGAACATGTCCTTGGCTGAGATAATTTATAACAGTCAGTGACTGAATTTTTGCATTATACTCAATATAAATCATGTTTGAAACTGTGAAAAGACATTATCTAGATATACCAATTTATTAACATCTTTGCATACAGACAAGCAGACACTCGGACGGAATATGCTCTAGCCATACTAATAAGCAAGATACAGTATCTTGCTATAAGCGATACGTAAACTTGTGTGATAAACATAATTTACTTTATTGCCGATTGCCGATTTGAAACACTAGCAGAATCTATCCCTAACGACTTTTGCAGTTCAATAGGATAGGGCTTTGAGCAAAATGAAGTCTTTTGAAATATTTGATGCTAGGACCACAACAAGCTTAAGAAGTTCTTTGCTCTCGCGGGTATTTGCACTTGCAATTCTTTGCTCTCGCGCGTAAGGACAGTGGTACACTTCCCAGCAAACAGCAATATATAGTGGAATCCCGATATAACGAACTCCGAAGGGGACCAGAAAATAGTTCGTTATATCGGGAATTTGTTAAGCCGGGAGAAAACGTTTTTTAGGTTATTTCGCAGTTAACGCCTAAAAAACCTGCGATGGGCTTGTCTCAAACTTCTGTGCACATTTAACTTTAAGAAACTAAGCTGAATTCAAATGTTTCTAATGGTTAGACATTGAAAATGAAAATCTTTATTTTCCTCTTATTATTTGTGACCAAGAAATTGCCAAAGCTAGTATAACTTCACGTCTAGTTGGCGGCTGAATGACGTCTTCGATTACTTCACATTCTTGCTTGTCTTCTTCTGCTTCTCCATCTGGGTCTCTCAATAAAAGTTTGTCGTCGCTTATTTTCAATGTCTCATATGAAAGAGGTATTCGTTATTGTCAATGTACTCATTCGCAGTAATTTCTGACGCAATCGAACTTTCACCTCGTGCTCTGAGCCTATCAGCCAGTGCTTGAAATGTATCGTCGGCATGTTTTGCCGATTATAAAAATGATTTCCCACCAGATTAAGCGATAAATGAACACCGAAAATAAATAAACAAAGATAACAGATGAAAAATTAATGAAAATATCGTTATATCTAGGGTAATTATGATGAAGGGACCTAAAAATTGGTTCGTAATAACGAGAGTTCGTTATATCAGGGGTTCGTTATACCGAGAGAATCTGTAAGGAGTTTGTTAGGCAGAATCCAAGGGACCAAACATTAAGTTTGTTATACCGGAAAGTTCGTTTTATCCGGGGTTCGTTATATCGGGATTCCACTGTATGTGCAAGCAAATATATGTCTTGATTCAAACGGAGAAACATTTTTATATTTAAATGACTTACTTCGTTTCAAAGTATTGGTCAATGTGATTTCCTTTGTGATTTCCTTTTGTTGGCTTCACCAGCGACCTAATGAATTTTAATACATGAAATAGGTAATTAAATTAAGATATTCACAAAGATTAAGATATCATCTTTGGGATGGAAGTGCACACGAAGACGAAGATAATAATTTCGTAAATATACGTTGCTGTTAACTGGTCCACACTGTAGTTAGCAAGAGCAGACACCACTGCTTTATCCTCTCTCATCAGTTAAACTTCCAAACTGACAGCGTTTTTTAAATTTTTATCATAAGCTTTGTTATTCTGTTTTCTCCTAGGCTTTCCCTTGCTATATTGAATATTTTAGCCTAGAATATGCATTATTTTAAGTTTCACAACAAAAGCCACGCGATTAAATATATCTTTAAATGATAGTTGTCATTACACTTAAGCCTATTAGATAAATGAATGAATAAATGAATGAATGAATGAAGTCGCGTATTTTAGCAGAAGATACTATGAGCTGCAGTGTTTTTTCTCTTTCCTATTCTGGTTGGGACAACCGTAATGCCTGCCAAAATACTTGGAACACTCAGCGATTGTAAAAGTTTTAATTTTCTTTTCCCAAAAAAATCACTTCTTTGTTTCCCCATCTTCCTAGAAAAATGTTGATGGTTTAGACAAATATCATGCAAGCAACATAAAATATAGTACTTTCTAATTCCCCACCCCGTTTTTATAGTAAACCGACATTGTTCCGTGGGGGAGACAGAATTGGTTGAATTTTACCTTGATTTCTTACATCAGTCTTCTAAGGCTTTTAGCAGGCATTGTAGCTAGCCAAGTAATTTTGCTCTCTTTAGATTAATGACATGTTCTGGTCTAGAGAAACGTTTGAAACTTGAATCTATGTCTCACAGTCTACGTTCATAAGCACATATGAACTGATTTAAAGCAGATTCGCATTCTCAAAGTTTATACTAAGAAGAAACTGCTTTGTGATATATCCCTTCCATTTCACTTAGTACAAAAACTGTCATTGATCTTAATCAAAAAATTATAAACATAACTGTTTACCTGGCTATAATTTTTCGTCTAACGCCGCACAGGCAGTGCAGCACACGTGTCAGGGTGAAAAGCAGGGCTGTTGTATGTTGCATCTCTGATATTCGCGCTCTGTGATGCCGTTTTACTAGTGCTTGATGCCGTTTTATCGGGAGTACTGTTCTCACTATGATGTGAAGATCAGAACCATTCTAAGTTGCACCTCTCAATTTTGCACCTAATGTAATTATCAGGCATCTTAATTCGTAAATATTGAAAATTACCGCTTTACCCGTCCCTTATATAGGATTGGCCTTTTTAATCAAATTTTTCAATTTTGGCCTTATCAATAGTTAAATTGCCTGGAAAATTTGCTTTTGGCCTGCTACTTAAATTTGGCCTCTTTTGGCCTCTTTTGGCCTCTTTTGGCCTCTTTTGGCCTCTTTTGGCCTCTTTTGGCCTCTTTTGGCCTCTTTTGGCCTCTTTTGGCCTCTTTTGGCCTCTTTTGGCCTCTTTTGGCCTCTTTTGGTAGCGAAGTAACTACATGAATAGAGTAATTAGAAGTTTACTGCAAAGTGTTACCCAAAATTTCGAATGTTATCACATATAGATCACGCAAAAAATAGATTCCAACTATCAGCAAAGAAGTTTCTTAAGAGAAGAAGTAAGTTTTGTATTTGAGCTAAGAGGTTATTTAAAATATGCATGCATAGATATACAAACACCGCCTGCGCAATGTATTTTAGAAAAATGTTCTTTGATTTGGCCTTTTTATGATAATCTTGGCCTCAGTTTTTATGATAATCTTGATCTTCTTTTGTAAATCCCATCTGACAACCCTGGCTTCAGATCGCCAGATGTATATATCTAAATGTTGAGACTGAGAAGATGTTTTGTCTGTAGTGATAGCTTTAATAGGTATCTTAAAGATATACTGTTGCATCTGCTTGAGTCTTGGTATGTAGATGTTTCGTTTTCTTGGAATGTCGCGTGGTAGAATTTATTTGCAAACGGTTATTGGTAAACTAGCAAGAATCCATGTTTAATTAAACTTAACACTGCTGATATTTGAGAAACATTATGCAGATGGTCTCATTTCCTTGCTAGCTGATTTCATTAACTTGAAAGAAGAATATTTTAAATGCAAATGATTCTTTCAGTAAATTGATCTGCGAATAAAAGGCGAATAAAAAGTCCAAAAAAGACATGAGATTCATTGGCACATTTTTCTTTTGACATCTTGTTAGCATGTATCCAATACCTGAAAATTCTAAGCGAAGAAAAATGAAACTTATTGCATCTGACTGTTTTGTTGGGATTTTTGAAGTCGTCGCTGATTTCATCTCTCTCAGTCTCCTCCTCAAAATATCTTCTGATGTTGTTAGCAAAAAAAGCTCAAATGTAACTCATTCCACCAGATGATCATATAAATACAACGTACGTGCTTCTCCAAGAGACAGAAGCGGGAGAGCAGAAGGAACAAAGAATAGCAGACGCTTTCCCAATTATCATTAATTCAATACAGTGAGCAACAGAGAGACAGAATTCATGCGTGTCTGAGAGGCTCCACTCGATACTGATAAAGTAAAATAGGGTACAGCAATGCGAACACTTTGATCAGTTTTTATGCAACACCAAATAAAGCATCGTGACGCGCTTACTGTGAATTCAGTTTAAGGCCTTTTCTCGTTTTTCTGCCATTTTTTTTGTCTTCTACTAGGCCTTTGTTATTCATTATCGTACTTCCTTTTCAGAAAACTTTGGGGTGGGGGAGGGGGGGGCTAGGTACGTTATCTAGATTGTAAGGAGCAGATTTTGGTGTGAAGCCAAACCATTTATTTCCATGTCCAGTTATCATTTTGTCAGTAATTTTGTAGATTACCGTGCTTTGTTTTTTGATGTTGTCTATAATGCTAGAAAATCTTCCTTTAATAAGCAGCGAGAGAGATATTTCCAACAAAATTAACTTATCAGCTCTTCGAAAACAATTTGCCATCAGGAAGCTGATCTTAAAGTCCATGATATCAAACAGCTTAAAACCGTATGAAAAGAGGCTTTTCTGGTAGTTTCATACTTAATATTTGGCATTTTGTGCAAAAAGTGCCCCCCCCCCCTGCTCCGCGGTGCCTGATTTAAGATAAGAGTTTGGAAACAAGTGTAGAGAACGGACATGCGTAACAGCACGAGAAGGAACACGGACTGATCAGCGTTAGTAAAAAAAATAAGGCCTAGCCCAAAAAAATAATGCCTAGCTCTTTCTTTATATATATTTTATATAAAGTGGTCCACCAAGCCGGATTGTTGACACTGAACCAAACTATCGGATATGGCAATGGAAGTGGATATACAAAAGTTAAAGAAAATTTGCGGAACAACTATAAACGTGAAAATGAAGCGATAGATTTGATGAAAGACTTTGATCCTGATTCTAGGACAAATAAACTGAAAAGTTTGAAAGAATCAATCTTGGAAAGACTGGATACGCTGAAGGATTTTGATGCAAAAATTTTGCTAGAAGTGCACGACGTAAAATCGACCATCAAGTGATGGAAACCGCTGCCTTTAGAGACGGAATGAAAGAAACCTTGATCAAAATCGACTTCATTTTAGCTGAAGATGACGATGGGACAAGCACAAAATCTAATACAGCGAGCAATAGAAACAGCAGAGCACAAGTGAAACTGCAACCTATAAAGCTTAGAGAATTTTCTGGAAAACCTAAGGAATGGCAACAATTTTGGGATTGATTCAGCTCTGCCGTCCATGAGAACGAGGACGTTGCCGCAATCAATAAATTTCATTATCTGGTCGGATTGTCGAAAGGAGAAGCGGCAGAGGCGCTGACTGGAGTAATGGCAAACTATTCGGAAGCAATTTCTATATTTAAAGCAAGATATGAACAAATGCAAGTCATTGTAAACAGCCACACGGAAGCACTGATGAAGTTGCCATCTTTCTCGGATCAACTGATGTACATAGATTACGCAAACTGTATGATTCGATAGAGGCAAATATTAGAGGGCTACAAAGCCTTCGGATTAATAGTGTACAGTATGGAGCTCTTCTAATTTTCATATTGCAAAAGAAACTGCCGTCAGATATGCAAGTGGAAATAAGCCGTAAAATCGGAAATGAGGAATGGAATCTCGCCATAGTGGAATTTTAAGTGGAATTGGAGGCAGACATTTTAAAAGTGGAATTGGAGGCACGCGAGAGATACAAAAACCAGGCGGGTTACGAGAGGAATTTTTGTGACCATTCTCTTTATATTATCCTATAATGCGCTTCAGAATATTTTTTGCACTCGTTTCTTGAAATCTTTCAGAACACTTTTACAATTTTTAGGCATACTTAGCTACGTTTCATTGATTTCATTCTTAAAAAGGAAACCATTACTTTATGAGGCCACCTAGACCTCGAGACCCTGAAACGCTTTGCCCTCCTTTGCCCCTCCTGTTGGTGGCCCTGCTCACAGGGGCTTCCAGTACTTGCAGGATCAACGTTCAGAGTTTGTCAATAAATTTTGATGAGATAAGGTAAAAATTAATAAAGATATATACACTTTCTACCCCCTCACATATTTCCATCTCGTCTTACGCTCTACGTCGAATTTCTACTACATTCCATATAGTTAGGCCTTCAATTCTATTCTTTTATTCTCTTCTTAACCGTCTCTTCTTCTATTCCTTTTACCTGATAAAGAGTTATGCTCAAAACGTCGTACCAAATATTCATTTCTTGCACAAAGTCATTATTTATTCTATCAATTTGTGTTTAGTACTTGACGTACAACACGCACAATTCCATTGATTATCAACTTATTAAGATATATTTGTGTTCATAAAGCAATCAGTAAGTGGTTTGACTTTTCTCAAGGCTTTCAAAAATCTCGAGGTTTTTAAAGAAAATTTTAAGAAAACTCGAGGTCTTGCACCCACCAAACTTGGCAGGTCTGCTGTTTACACGACACAATGGTCCCGGTTACCGTGACGACAAATGATGCCTTGCACATGTGCATTGGTTGAAACTGACCAAATCTTCCACTTGAAACTGCGGCGGACATCAGAATTTGTAAGAAATTTTATGTCCAGGGGACAATTCACTCTTGCCTTCACAATTCACTTTGATTTCCGAAAAACAGAGGACTTCAAGGAGTTTTCACATAATATGATTTCCACATCATGTATACGATATTTTGATGGAGTGATTTTCCCCTCGATCATGTCGGCGTCAAATCAAAGCAAATGGATACAGATCTTTTTGGAACCTGTCTCGTGTAAATGGGGTCTTAAATTAGCAAAAGCTCATTCCTTAAAAAAATTGAATATAAGTCGCTTCGAGCTAATTAACCAATGCTGCCCATACTCAAGCCATAGAGAATGCTGAAAGAACGATTGCCTCAAATTATCCAAGCCAAACAACCTACACTAACAGGACAAAAGTATTGCAATACCCTAATCAAAATGGCATCAAAAAAATTTGAAGTTTTGTAAACTTTTAACTTTACGATGAAATATTCCCCTCAAAAATAAGCATAATCATTCTAAACCAGGAATCAAACTCTTCGAAATTTATTGAGGATTTCGAAAAACTTAGAGTTACAATATTAACGTAAGAAATTTTACAGTTATAAGAAAAAATATCCGCAGTGGTAAATTCAAGATATTGACAAGATAAGGAGCGAGTAGTTGTGATAAAACTTCGTGTAACTGGTCTCTCGACTCTAAAGATTTAGCAACTTTTTATAGAAAATGATAGCAAAATAGTGAAAGTTTAGGAAACAACAAATGAAGTTATTAGCTCTGACTCTTTTAGCCTCGAAATTCTCCAATAAAACTTGGATAATTTTTTTGGTACATTTAGGCCTATATAAATTAGTAAATCATGAATTAGCGACGTGCGAGTTAATGCAGTGAAACATTTCAAAATAATGCATAACAGTTTCTTTGGTGGAATCAAATTAATGCTAGTAAAATGAGGAAGGCACTTTTTATCATAAAAAGTTATTATTGCGTGATCCGCCATTAATCGCCTTCGCAGGTGTTGCCATACTTTTGTCCTGGTAGTGTACATATATCATGCACATTATGAGCTTCAAACACTGCTGTTTAATTACTTCTATGTCAACAGAAAAGCGAAATAAAAAGGCGCACAGATAAGAATGAAAGCAAAATTTGAACTTGTGCAATAAACTATGTTATTTAAAGAGATGAGAAGCAAATAACGTCGAAGAAATTGGAAAACTTCTAATTAGCTTGACAAAATAGCATTAGTTATCAGTCAATATTGTTGAGGTTGATTGATTGGTTTAGAAATAATGCTTTCTTAGAATCATTTGCCGCAAGAATTTTTAATCAGCACTATGAACAGTAAAGGTTTATATAATCCGTTTTTACACTTTCAATTCAACTCTTCAGCTCCTAGTTTCAGCATCTGTCTATCGCAATCAAAATAAAAAATGGCGATTGCAACTATCTTGATAGGTTTTTGCATCTCATTGATTCATTCTGTGTGCAGTGAAGAAAGATTTGTCACAAAAGTCTTCGATAATAAAAGGTCTTTGTGCCCAGATTTGGTTAAAAAAGTTTACACAGTGACAAGTGAAATGCAGTGCATTCACAGATGTACGAGGAACAAAGATTGCAGCATCATAAACTACAGCAATGAAGATGACGTCACAGAAAACTGTGAAGTGTTCATCGGTGGCCACTGCTCGAGCAAGGAGGAATCCAAAAGATGGAAATCTAGTGTTGTTAAGGTAAAAGTTAGCATAAGGAAAAAAAACTCTTCTGATGAACATTTATTTTAGTTCAATTTCATGGATTAAGGGAATATTTGTTACTGTCTACTGTCCAGTTTTTTTTGGTTCAACTGTTTGAATATGTTTGAAAGTTCAAATAGCTGTTCAGCTTTTTGAAGAGAGGATTGTTTTTTCAATTCTAGAGCAAGTTGTTTCCAGTGGCAAAAGGTAAGTAAAAAAGTGCCTAAGAACAACATAGTGTATTACTTCACGTCTACTAACTTGCTGAAATTAAAGTTCTTTAATAACTACGCAACAGCAATAGCATCAATAATACGTTTCACCTTGCTTCTATCTCCACACAATGTAAGAATTATGAGATATATAGTATTTCAATGTTAGAAGGGTTGACAAAATCAGCAGACTAATATTCTAAGTGACATAAATCGCACTTGATTAAGTCTACAGCAATGAAGCTTAAGAAAACTGTTGGGGGGGGTGGGGTGGGGTGGGGAGGAGCAAATTGGCGGATGTTGACAATAATACAATGCATCCAAACTACTTCAAGTAAAGTTTTGAGCCATTTGGAAAAACACAGACAAATTTTCAGACAGGAATATATTGGAAAATACGAATAAATTTGCTTATGTTCGAAATATGTTCGAAAGTTAGAACAAAGGAGCAATAGATAATAAACTTGAAACTAGAAATGTTTCATATTTGCTGACAAACCAAAAGATGGGCAGAAGATGAAGCAAAGATGGGCGAGATAAGAACTTTCTTGAAATTTTGACTAAAAAATAAACATTTCACACATCTGTATGACCACCAGCAAATTCTCACTAGTGATTTATAGCCTGTGTTCCAGACCCCTAGATTGAAAGTAGAGTTAGGGGTCTGGAGCACAGGCTAGTGATTGACTGTATTCAACAAAGTTATTCAATTTAAGAAACAGTTTTCAAGAGTTGCAGAGAAGCATTTTTGGAAGGAAAAAATACAGAATCCGGAGTGTACACTTTGGAGTCGGGCCGTCATTTCTGCAACATGAGTGATATTCCAAATTGCGGAGGAGGTGGATGGACACTTGCGATGAAAATTGATGGAACAAAGGTACGATAAGTGAAAGTTATCCTGTTAGTGGTAGGATTATTGCTTTGGAATATGTTTGCCAGAAAGGTAACTAATTGTTTGGCATTGTTAAAATATGGCCTGTCATGGATATCAGTGTACAAATTAAATGTTCGGAATCAACTGATAGATGGCACTTTTTACAAAATTGGCATATTCCTCTTAACAATCTAAAAAACAACGCCCTGGGTTCTAAATATGCTCATACATTTGATATTAACTGGCTTTAATGTCTGAAATTTCCAAACAAGATTCATTGTTTGTTTATCATTTCACCTCTAGGGCACATTTTCTACTGGATCAGTTTATTGGTCAAATGGTGAAGTTTATAATACGGAGTTGGGGATCAAATCCTTCTATGAAAACGAAGCAAAGTTCCCTGCCTTCAGCAATGTGGCATTTGACGAGATCTGCATTGGTATGAAGGCATCATCTGTTGTGAATTGGCTGCGTTTACCAGTAAAAAGTTCCTCCCTGCTTGCTATTTTCAACCCTGGTACCTATATACAAACCAACCTTGGAAGGTCGGCTTGGAAAAACTTGCTTCTATCATCTTCATTGCAACGTAACTGCAATCGTGAAGGAATCAATGTGAAGAACGATGCAGGAGTGATTATGGCAAGAATTGGTCTCATTGCTAACAATGAAGATGAGTGTGCTTCTCCTGACTCGTTCTTTGGATTAGGGATTCCAATAATCGTATGTGGCAATGAAGCACTAGACAGTCCATATGTTGACAATGGCAAAGTAAGAATCAGTGCCATGGGCTTTGTTCTGATCAAATGAACATGAATCTGGTCTAAGGCACTTAGAAACAGTTTACTGTATCAGAGTTTTTTTCATTTTTTACCAAACTTAGCTCATGGCGAAAAAGGTTATATAATTGTTGGAAAATTTGATATTAAAAAAAGACCTTTATCTAATTATACATATAATAGCAATTTTAGAAAGAGGAGAGAAGCACTTACACGAAACCTTTCCTCGAAATTCATAAATATGTGCAAGTTAAACTTGCAATTATTTGCAAGCAAATGTCATATAGAAATAGTTCCTATTTGCACCTCACGAAGAGGCCCTTTGTGATTTCCATGTCTTACTGCACATATTCATGTCTGACTGCCGCCTAATCAGAAAAAATTATCCAATTCAGTTAAAATTTGGAGGTTAAATGCCAATGAAACAATGATAGTCGGACAAGACCCACACAAAACCCCTCCCTCCGTTACGTGAACCGTCCCCTACACCCATGCATTTAGGGGTACGTTGACACTGCTCCGAATTTGTTTCTTTCACACTTATCTGTTTTCAAATGAGTATGATATGAACATGGTTTACACGGCTCAAACAAAAAACTCTGTTGGTAGCCCAGGGGAGCTACTCAAACTTTTTATACACGGGAAAGTCCATCCGCAAATATCAAAATTCATCCGATATCACCGAAAACAAATTTTACAGACACAAAAGTATCATTCAAAAAGTGCTGATCAGACCCGAAAATATCAAATTACAAAATCTTGTTGTTGAATACATATGATACCACTAGTCACAGTATTTTAGACTTTATCCTATAATATGATACCACTAGTCACAGTATTTTAGACTTTATCCTATAATAATCAGTTTAAACACATCTGTTCTTTTATTCATGTTTTTGATATTGTTGGACCAATTAGTATCAAAAAGGTATATTGTTAAATCGGGTACCCAAAAGTATTAGATCACAAAGAAAATCATTACCCTCAATTATCGAATGGAAACCCCCGCGCATGAAACTTTTGAACATAGGCTTTCAGAAGGAATGGCATAGAATGAATTTAAATCGAGAACAAAATTTTTGTAATAGCGACCTGTCCATGGTGAAGTCTCATTTTTGAAATGTTTTTCATTTGGTGTGCCAGAAAGCTCGTGCCTTGTTCCCGTTGTTAGTGTATTCATATGTATCCGTTTTTGGTGTTCACACTGAAAACTGAGCAATACGCAGCTTATTAAAATTTTACGTATTCAAATGATTCCCCTTTCATAACAGAGCAGTGTGAGCGGAAAACCAAAACTGGATTAGTTTGACTCCGTTTTCATATAAAAAAGGAGCAGTGTGAAATCGGCCTAAGTCTCTGTAGGGAATCAAAGCAAAGTGGACTCTGAGGCTGTCAAAATTTTAATGGTAAAACATGTTACGAAGAGATTTGTAGTTAGTAAGAACCGACAGTAACGATATGGCCTTCAAATTATCTCTCTCAAAATATACCAGGTGTAGTTAGCCTTTCCAGGAAGATCATGGTATTTTGAATATTTATCGCTCCCCCTACAGCTACTGCATGCATATGGAGTGGCATTATTTTTGGTTCCACAATCAATGTTACAAACCTTCTGCTTTAAAGTAAAGAGAAGTGAGCCTATGGATTGTCAATGTATATAAGAAAATAACGATGCATTTAATGCTCTTCTTAAATATTATAGTTTATTTTGATGTAGTAAATAAGTATCTCAGTGTTTTTCAGCCAATCAATATCTACTTGCTTTTGTGTAAAAAGCGTCAAAGATGTTTAAAGCAGTAGAGTGTCAAAATTTTTCAAAGTTTTTATTTTGATTAATTTTAACTTCCGTTGATATGTTTAGCTGCATTTGACTAGCTACTGCTGTAGCAGGGTAATAATATGTTTCTCAAGTTTCTGTTGTCTTTCTCCTTTCACCACGTTAAATGCATTTTATTAGTCGTGGGTCTATTTTCTGTAAATATTAAGGGCGGTATCGTAATTATTATTTGAGATGTGAGTAAGCGCAATTTTTATGGCTCCTATAGCCAAAGGATTTCGAGGCAATTATTCAATCAAGAGCCAACATAAAATTAGGTTCACCTTACAGACTCACCTTAAAAAGTGACAGAACTTCTTCATACCACATTGACTTGATAGACATTGAGTACAGAAGATGTCATAGATCTGAAGTTAAAGTTGTTTATATTGCTTTCTACGAGCTTGTTTTATGATTCTCAATGCCATATAGACGGAGCATGGCACGCTTCTGTGTGCAGAGTAAGAAGATTCTGGGTTGCAACTCTGTGACCCACTACAAGTATCACGCTTGACGCAGCACTCAGGCAGATGGTACTTGCATAAGCTGGATTCTCTACAAGGTAAATAATTTTCTATCAATCAGTACAGCCCAGTACATTTAAATCATATACAAATGATTATTAAACCTCTGACAAGAAAACTTGTTGATCAAAAGCTAACAAACTGCAATTAATTATAGAAGTAATGTTAGCGTTATAACCTATTGAAGACTATATGGCAGCTATCGAGAAATTCTTTGATGCCAACGCAGTGATAGAGTTGTGACGTCATCAAACATATATTTTTAGAATTTTTAAATTTTAACCACATAAAGGATCACCATAGAAAACTTTCAAATATGCAAAATTGACCAAATATGTCTAAAATCAGTTAAGATATTGCCAATGAAAGCTTTGAAGTTTGCTGTTATTTTATTTTATTTATTTCAACGAATTACTGTTATTTTGGCTATAAAGTTATGAACAGAGACCAAAATAAAGAGGTTTGATGGGCAAATAGCCAATACATATATCGTCATATCTTTACTAATTTGTAATACAATTCACTGATTTTGCACATTTAGAGCTACTTCATGGTGTTCTTTCAGGTTATGGGATCCAAATTAAACAATTCTAATATTAGATTTCTGCGATGTCATCACTTTAGAACTCTATTTTGCCATGATGTAATATCTATGTTGATGACCTGCTCAGTTGCCTGAAATATAGCAGAATGTACCGAACAGTGCATTAAAAGTTTTTCTCAAAGCAAGTGCTCAGGAACCAGTGTTGGAATATTCCTCTGGAGGCTAAAGAAGCAGTTACAAGGACAGATCATTTGAAAATTATGTAAACCATACGTAAGGTACCTGGATAGAAGAAAAACAATCATTGATAATAGCATTGTGGAAGAAATTTCTGGTGTATGAAGTATGATTGATTGTTAGAGTGGAGTTAGGATAACTTGGCCAGAATATAGATCTAGAATATAAATCACTAAAAACTCGCACAAGAGACAAAAGCTGATGGTGTTGATGATGTAGGTCTTAACTGTGAATTGTTAACAATTAGATTTTTGGAATTTAAAACTCTTGATCACGCAACTTAGAATTACACTATGAAATGCCGCAAGATGTGCAATGTGCACATATGTTGATAACTTGGTTAAACTTTGAAAATAGCTTTTTAAGCTTGCAAATAGATTACTTTCATTTTGTTTCGGTTCTAGAACTTCAGAACAGAGACCAAATAAAAAGAATTTGATGGGTGACGAGCCTGTGCTGATGTTGCTCTATCAAAGTGAATTTGCAACCAATAAAACTATTTAATAACATCCAGGGATCGTTTATGACACAGTTCTGGTAATCATATCAAAATAAAAATTTCTCAGAACAAATTTTTGTCGCACTAATTGATTATGAAACTGTTTTTCCCCATTATGGGTAGTTTATTCCCCGGTTGTCTGCTACTTTTGACCATTAATCAACCATACCACACTACAGATTACTCTTCCCCCTTTGGCCAGCTTCTACAAAGCATGCTATGAAATTACAGTATTGCTAGCTGGAAAGCTGAGAAATGGGCTAATAAGCAGGTTTTGTTCATAGTGCAGTTATCAAGAACGCTGACAAAGCTGAAAGTAGAGCTCAAATTTCCCACAGCAAATATCTGCCGCATATATGAAATTTTAATTATATTCATTGTATGTATTTTTTAAGTAGGATCGCGAATTGCGATCTTCTTTAATTGAAAGACATTAATAAAAGGCCAAAAGTCTGGAAAGAAAGCAAAATTTGACTCAATACCGTGTAAATTGAAATAGAGGACTATGTAAACAACAGTGACAAAGCTGAAAAATGTCATGGAAAATTTGATGAAAGATAACAAACATTGAGTTTGAGATTATGATTCATCTCTTATAAGAAATCGATTTAATGATCACCTTATAAGATTTTATGATCCAAAAGGTATAAAAACTGTTTAAAATGACAGCTTTCCGAAATGTCAAAGAAAATATGCGGAGTGTTGTTAAAGTATTCGATCCTCGAGAGAAGGAGAAAACGATGTTTTGATGAATGTCATCGAATGCGCAAATCGCACATAAGGTGCTTGAATACGTTTTATGTTGCAGGATTACCACGCTTGTTAATTGTTACTTGGGTTATACAGTAAGGCATCTAAACTATATATCCACGAAAGCGTTATCAGTAAGATTAAATGTTAATAACAGTGAAACATCAGTAGTTTTAAATGAAAAAAATCAATAATTAGTATAGGAGATCAGCAGAATGAATGCGCACGTTGTGATAAAAGCATGAAAATCTGCACAACTACACAGTTTGATATGCTGACTAAGATGGGATCGAGACCCAGACTGTAAAATGCCCCAAAATGCTATTTTTAGAATTCTTCATTGTTCCCAGACTCCCAAACTGATTATCTCTATAACTTTGTTGAAAACAAAATAAATGACATGAAAATTGGTATCGATACTAGTCATAACACGGTGATATGTTTTAGATTCACACCCATCGTCAAAATGGCTCCAAACGATATTTTTAAACTATGCACTCGTTCCCAGACATCTAACACCCTTATCTCTACAACTCCGCTAAGAATAATATCAATAGCAAGCAACTTGATTTAGATACTAATTATAGCACACTAAAAAAATTTGGTTCGACACGCATCTTCAAAATGCCCCACAATGCTATTTTTAGAACGCTTGTTCCCAGAATAATTTTTCAATAATTTTTTCTGTCGGTATATGAATTTTCAAAAAAAAGGAGAAATTCTTTTTCAAGCAGTTTGCCTCTAGGATCAATTAAAATTTTCTGATAAATTAAATTAATAAAAAACTACATCTAATATTTACAAATGATTGTGTAATTGAAATTCGGCCTTCTGAACATTAGAAATTCTTTTTGTAGCTAATCGCCGTGAAAATTCATGATCAATCATTTATATAATAACATATAACAATGTATCCACTATTATAAAGAATATCTTTTTGATTGTCACGAGAAAATAGTTCAAATCAGTCCATCTCTTCAGCTACTCGTTTCAGCATCTGCCTAATGCAAGAAACATATTAAGATGGCCTCTGCAATAATCTTCACGTTTATATGTATCTGTCTGATTCTATTTGCGCGTTGTGAAGAGAGATTTGTCTCAAATGTCCTTGATAAAACAAGGTCATCCTGCCCAGATTTGGCTAAGAAAGTCTACACAGTCACAAGTGAAATGCAGTGCATTCACAGATGTATGAGGAACAAAGATTGCAGCACGATAAACTACAGAACTGAGAATGACGTCACAGAAAACTGTGAAGTGTTCCTTGGTGGCCATTGCGCGAAAAGACAGTGCTCGAGGAATTGGAAAACTATTGTTATTAAGGTGAAAATTTTTATTCAATTTGAGCACTACATAGAGTAAAAAAAGACACCTTTCTTCTGAAAAATATATCTTGTTTGTTTACGTTTCATTGATCTAGGGTACAGGCTGATAATTATCTATTGTTTACATCACTGTCGCTTGCATATTCCCCATTGAAAAACAATAGAAGTCTTTTGTGTTGCTTGAGTCGGAAATTATTATACCCTCCTTTAGAACAAAAACGTCTTCAAAATCCAGTTAGAGTCCCGTTAACATAGATAGTTCTGAGCAAGTCTTCTACTCTTGATTACGATTTGAAATTTGAAAAAAAACTTCCAATTTTTTTAAAATATGATTTTCCTTTCAATTTCAGAGCGAATTGTTCCCAGTTACTAAAGGTATGTGAACAAGAAACTAAAAACAAGATAGTGAAATACTGCGTTTATTTTAAAACTTCTTGTTAAAGTTGTTATTCATAAAAAACTGCATAGCCACAAAAAGTATCAAGAATTTGTTTGACAAAACCTTATTATTCAAAATTCATAAATAATGTAAAATGTAGTAATTATATATCAAAGGGTATAAAAGTTACATACGGCTTTTTATTTCCTGTAATATTTTGAATAGAATCTTAGTCTTGACCTCATTTTATGCTGATTTTTATGCTTGATGACAGAAAATCATTCTCGTAATGAATTTTAGGACGTTTATCCTCTCCGTTATAGGCTATTGAAGTCTAATATAGCGATCTCGAAGAAGGGCAAAATTCTGATAGTTTGAATCCTTGTAATAACACTAGAAAATTATTTGGCATTAGCGTAAAAGAGCCGAAAATGTCACCCATTGCCTAGCTTATTTGCAATCTCGACTTAATCAACTCGTGCATTTCATCAACAGTTTTCAAGAGCTGCAGAGAAGTCTTCTTGGAAAAAGAAAATGCAGCATCTGGAGTATATGATTTGGAGTCAGGCCGTCATTTCTGCAACATGAGTGAGATTCCAAATTGCGGAGGAGGTGGATGGACACTTGCGATGAAAATTGATGGAACAAAGGTACGATAAGTGAAAGTTATCCTGTTAGTGGTATGATTATTGCTTTCGATTATGTTTGCCAGATAGGTAACCAATTGTTTGGCATTGTTAAATTATTGCCTGTCGTGGATGTCAGTGTACAGAACCGTGTTTACTATTGTTTACTACGGTTTACTTTGGCTTACTACGATTTAATATGGTTTTAATTGCGTTTGTTATGTTTACTCTGGTCTACTATGATTTACAATGCTTTACTGTGGCTTCCTATGGTTTACTGTCGTTTGCTCTGTTTACTGTGGCATACTGTGGCAATAGGTATCATTTATTTAAAACAAAAGATTTTTCTGCCAACATAAGACCAGAAGTACTTACAAGACTGGCATTTTTTGTGATTTTGTAAATCTTACTATGTATTTTTTGAACAGGCTGCGCTGTTATTTTGTAAATAAGGAAAACGGAAAATTGGCATATTCCTCTTAACAACCTGAAAAACAACACCCTGTGTTCGATATAGGCCCAAACATTTGATACGAACTTGCTTTAATATTAATGTCTAAAATTTCCAAACAATATTCATTGTTTGCCTATCAATTCACCTCTAGGTCACATTTTCTACTGGATCAGTATATTGGTCAAATGATGAAGTTTATAATACGGAGTTGGGGATCAAATCCTTCTATGAAAACGAAGCAAAGTTCCCTGCCTTCAGCAATGTGGCATTTGACGAGATCTGCATTGGTATGAGGGCATCATCTGTTGTGAATTGGCTGCGTTTACCAGTAAATAGTTCCTCCCTGCTTGCTATTTTCAAACCGGCTACCTATATACAAACCAACCTTGGGAGGTCGGCTTGGAAAAACTTGCTTCTATCATCTTCAATGCAATTCAATTGCAATCGCGAAGGAATCAATGTGAAGACCGATGGAGGGGATATTATGGCAAGAATTGGTCTCATTGCTAACAATGAAGATGATTGTGCTTCTCCTGACTCGTTCTTTGGATTAGGGATTGCATCCACCATATGTGGCAATGAAGCACTACACAGTCCAAATGTTGACGATGGCCAAGTAAGAATCGAAGCCATGGGCTTTGTTCTGATCAAATGAACATAAATCTGATCTAAGACAGTTAGGAACAGTTTACTGCATCAAAGTTTTTTTCATTTTTTACCAAACTTAGCTCATGGTGAAAATTGTTATATAATTGTTGAAAAATTTGATATCAAAAAGATACCTTTATCTAATTATACATATAATAGTACAAATAATAATTATAAATATTCAATATTTTTTGCACTCATTTGCTTTAAATCGTTGTGAATATTATCATTGCAGTGGATTTTTTTATGAATATTATTTTATTGGCCCAGGCAACAGCCTGATTGATTATAGTAGTAAGTAGGGAAGAAATCTGATACATTTCGGTAGAAGATATAAAGGCTGGAGGAGGGAGACTGCCGCCTAATCAGAAAAAATTATCATATTCAGTTAAAATTTTGAAGTTAAATGCCAATGAAACATTGATAGTCGGACAAGACCCACACAAAACCCCTCCCTCCGTTACGTGAACCGTCCCCTACGCCCATGCATTTAGGGGTACGTTGACACTGCTCCGAATTCGTTTCTTTCACACTGATCTGTTTACAAATGAGTACTATATGAACATGGTTTACACGGCTCAAACAAAAAACTCTGTTGGTAGCCCAGGGGAGCTACTCAAACTTTTTATACACGGGAAGGTCCATCCGCAAATATCAAAATTCTCTTAAAATCACCGAAAACAAATTTTACAGACACAAAAGTATCAGCCAAAAAGTGCTGATCAGACCCGAAAATATCAAATTACAAAATCTTGTTGTTGAATACATATGATACCACTAGTCACAGTGTTTTAGGCTTTATCCTATAATAATCAGTTTAAACAGATCTGTTCTTTTATTCATGTTTTTGATATTGTTGGACCAATTAGTATCAAAAAGGTATATTGTTTAATCGGGCAACCAAAAGTATCAGATCACAAAGAAAATCATTACCCTCAATTATCGAATGGAAACCCCCGCGCATGAAACTTTTGAACATAGGCTTTCAGAAGGAATGGCATAGAATGAATTTAAATCGAGAACAAAATTTTTGTAACAACGACCTGTCCATGGTGAATTCTCATTTTTGAAATGTTTTTCATTTGGTGTGCCAGAAAGCTCGTGCCTTGTTCCCGTTATAAGCCTATTTATATGTATCCGTTTTTGGTGCTCACACTGAAAACTGAACAATACGCAGCTTATTAAAATTTTACGTATTCTAATGATTCCCTTTTCATAACAGAGCAGTGTGAGCGGAAAGCCAAAACTGGATTAGTTTGACTCCGTTTTCATATGAAAATGAAGCAGTGTGAAATCGGCCTAATTCTCTGTAGGGAATCAAAGCAAAGATGGACTCTGAGGATGTCAAAATTTTAGTGGTAAAACATGTTACGAAGAGATTTGTAGTTAGTAAGAACCGACAGCAAAGATATGGCCTTTAAATTATCTCTCTCAAAATATATCAGGTGTAGTAAGCCTTTCCAGGAAGATCATGGTATTTTGAATATTTATCGCTCCCCCTACAGCTACTGCAAGCATATGGATTGGCATTAATTGTAGTTCCATAATCAATGTCACAAACCTTCTGCTTAAACGTGAAGTAAAGTGAGCCCGTGGATTGTCAATGTATATAAGAAAATAACGATGCATTTTAATGCTCTTCTAAAATATTGTAGTTTATTTTGATGTAGTTCATAAGTATCTCAGTGTTTTCCAGCCAATCAATATCTACTTGCTTTTGTGTAAAAAACGTCAAAGATGTTTAAAGCAGTAGAGTGTCAAAATTTTTCAAAGTTTTTATTTTGATTAATTTTAACTTCCGTTGATACGTTTAGCTGCATTTGACTAGCTATTGCTGTAGCAGGGTAATAATATGTTTCTCAAGTTTCTGTTGTTTTTCTTCTTTCAGCACGTTAAATGCATTTTATTAGTCGTGGGTCTATTTTCTGTAAATATTAAGGGCGGTATCGTAATTATTATTTGAGATGTGAGTGAGCGCAATTTTTATGGCTCCTATAGCCAAAGGATTTGGAGGCAATTATTTAATCAAGAGCCAACATTCAATAAAATTCATTTTACAGACTCACCTTAAACAGTGACAGAATTTTTTCATGCCACATTGACTTGATAGACATTGAGTACAGAAGATGTCATAGATCTGAAGTTAAAGTTGTGTATATTTCTTTTTACAAGCTTGTTTTATGATTCTCAATGCCATATAGACCGAGCATGGCACGCTTTTGTATGCAGAGTAAGAAGATTCTGGGTTGCAACTCTGTGACCCACTACAAGTATCACGCTTGACGCAGCACTCAGGCAGATAGTACTTGCATTAGCTGGATTCTCTACAAGGAAAATAATTTTCTATCAATCGGTAAAACCCTGTACAAGTAAATCATATGCAAATGATTATTAAACCTCTGACAAGAAAACTTGTTGACCAAAAGTTAACAAACTGCAATTAATTGTAGAAGAAATGTTAGCGTTATAACCTATTGAAGACTATATGACAGCTGTCGAGAAATTCTGTGATGCTAACGCAGTGATAGAGTTCTAAAATGTGACGTCATTAAACATATATTTTTAGAATTTTTAAATTTTAACCATACAAAGGATCACCATAGAAAACTTTCAGATATGCAAAATTGACCAAATATTTCTAAAATCAGTTAAGATATTGCCAATGAAAGCTTTGAAGTTTGCTAACGAATTACTGTTATTTTGGCTATAAAGTTATGAACAGAGACCAAAATAAAGAGGTTTGATAGGCAAATAGCCAATACATATATCGTCATATCTTTACCAATTTGTAATACAATTCACTGATTTTGCACATTTAGAGCTACTTCATGGTGTTCTTTCAGGTTATGGGATCCAAATTAAAAAATTCTAATATTAGATTTCTGCGATGTCATCACTATAGAACTCTATTTTGCCATGATGTAATATCTATGTCGATGACCTGCTCAGTTGCCTGAAATATAGCAGAATGTACCGAACAGTGCATTAAAGGTTTTTCTCAAAGCAAGTGCTCAGGAACCAGTGTTGGAATATTCCTCTGGAGGCTAAAGAAGCAGTTACAAGGACAGATCATTTGAAAATTATGTAAACCATATGTAAGGTACCTGGATAGAAGAAAAACAATCATTGATAATAACATTGTGGAAGAAATTTCTGGTGTATGAAGTATGATTGATTGTTAGAGTGGAGTTAGGATAACTTGGCCAGAATATAGATCTAGAATATAAATCACTAAAAACTCGCACAAGAGACAAAAGCTGATGGTGTTGATGATGTAGGTCTGTGAATTGTTAACAATTAGATTTTTGGAATTTAAAACTCTTGATCACGCAACTTAGAATTACACTATGAAATGCCGCAAGATGTGCAATGTGCACATATGTTGATAGCTTGGTTAAACTTTGAAAATAGCTTTTTAAGCTTGCAAATAGATTACTTTCATTTTGGTTCGGTTCTAGAACTTCAGAACAGAGACCAAATAACAAGGATTTGATGGGTGACGAGCCTGTGCTGATGTTGCTCTATCAAATTGAATTTGCAACCAATAAAACTATTTATGAATATTCAGGGATAGTTTATGACACAGTTCTGGTAATCTGATTAAAATACAAAATTTCTAAGAAAAAAATTTTGTCGCACTAATTTCTTATGAAACTGTTTTTCCCGATTATGGGCAGTTTATTGCCCTGTTGTCTGCTAATTTTGACCATTAATCAACCATACCACACTACTGATTACTCTTTCCCCTTGATCAGCTTCTACAAAGCATGCTATGAAATTACATAATTGCTATCTGGAAAGCTGAGAAATGGGCTAAAAAGCAGGTTTTGTTCATAGTGCAGTTATCAAGAACGCTGACAAAGCTGAAAGTAGAGCTCAAATTACCCACAGCAAATATCTGCCGCATATATGAAATTTTAATTAGATTTATTGTATGTATTTTTTAAGTAGGATCGCGAATTGTGATCTTCTTTAATTGAAAGACATTTATAAAAGGCCAAAAGTCTGGAAAGAAAGCAAAATGTGACTCAATACTGTGTAAATTGAAAGAAAGGATCATGTAAACAACAGTGAGAAAGCTGGAATTTGATGAAAGATAACAAACATTGAATTTGAGATTATGATTCATCTCTTATAAGAAGTCGATTTAATGATCACCTTATAAGATTTTATGATCCAAAAGGTATAAAAACTGTTTAGAATGACAGCTTTCTGAAATGTCAAAGAAAATATGCGGAGTGTTGTAAAAGTATTCGATCCTCGAGAGAAGGAGAAAACGATGTTTTGATGAATGTCATCGAATGCGCAAATCGCACATAAGGTGCTCTAATACGTTTTATGTTGCAGGATTGCGACGCTTGTTATATATTACTTGGGTTTTACAGTAAAGCATCTTAACTATATATCCACGAATGCGTTATCAGTAAAATTAAATGTTAATAGCAGTGAAACATCAGTAGTTTTAAATGAAAAAAATCAATTATTTGTGTAGGAGATAAGCAGAATGAATGCGCACGTTGTGATAAAAGCATGAAAATCTGCACAACCACACAGTTTGATATGCTGAATCAAATGGGATGGAGACCCAGACTATAAAATGCCCTCAAATGTTTTTTTTAGAATGCTCAATTGTTCCCAGACTCCTAAACTGATTATCTCTATAACTTTGTTGAAAACAAAATAAATGACATGAAAATTGGTGTCGATACTAACCATAAAACGGTAATGTAATTTAGATTCACACCCATCGTCAATTAATTTTTTTCTGTTGGTATTTGAATTTTCAAAAAAACAGAAATTTTTATTCAAGCAGTTTGCCTCTAGGATCAATTAAAATCTTTGGATAAATTAAATTAATAAAAAATTGCATCTGTTATTTACAAATGATTGTGTAATTGAAATTCGGCCTTCTGAACATTAGAAATTCTTTTTGTAGCTAATCGCCGTGAAAATTCACGATTAATCATTTATATATCAACATATAACAATGTATCCACTATTATAAAGAATATTTTTTTGATTGTCACGAGAAAATAGTTCAAATTGGCCCATCTCTTCAGCTACTCGTTTCAGCATCTGCCTAATGTAAGAAACATATTAAGATGGCCTCTGCAATAATCTTCACGTTTATATGTATCTGTCTGATTCTATTTGCGCGTTGTGAGGAGAGATTTGTCTCAAACGTCCTTGATAAAACAAGGTCATCCTGCCCAGATATGCCTAAGAAAGTCTACACAGTCACAAGTGAAATGCAGTGCATTCACAGATGTATGAGGAACAAAGATTGCAGCACGATAAACTACAGAACTGAGAATGACGTCACAGAAAACTGTGAAGTGTTCCTTGGTGGCCATTGCGCGAAAGGACAGTGCTCGAGGAATTGGAAAACTATTGTTATTAAGGTGAAAATTTGTATTCAATTTGAGCACTACATAGAGTAAGAAAAGACGCCTTTCTACTGAAAAATATATCTTGTTTGTTTACGTTTCATTGATCTAGGGTACAGGCTGATAATTATCTATTGTTTACATTACTGTCGCTTGCATATTCCCCATTGAAAAACAATAGAAGTCTTTTGTGTTGCTTGAGTCAGAAATTATTATACCCTACTTTAGAACAAAAACGTCTTGAAAATCCAGTTAGAGTCCCGTTAACATAGATAGTTCTGAGCAAGTCTTCTACTCTTGAGTACGATTTGAAATTTGAAAAAAAACTTCCAATTTTTTAAAATATGATTTTCCTTTCAATTTCAGAGCGAATTGTTCCCAGTTACTAAAGGTATGTGAACAGGAAACTAAGAACAACATAGTCAAATACTGCGTTTATTTTAAAACTTCTTGTTAAAGTTGTTATTTTTAAAAAACTGCATAGCCAGAAAAAGTATCAAGAATTTGTTTGACAAAACCTTATTATTCAAAATTCATAAATAATGTAAAATGTAGTAATTATATATCAAAGGGTATAAAAGTTACATACGGCTTTTTAATTCCTGTAATATTTTGAATAGAATCTTAGTCTTGACCTCATTTTATGCTGATTTTTATGCTTGATGACAGAAAATCATTCTCGTAATGAATTTTAGGACGTTTATCCTCTCCGTTATAGGCTATTGAAGTCTAATATAGCGATCTCGAAGAAGGGCAAAATTCTGATAGTTTGAATCCTTGTAATAACACTAGAAAATTATTTGGCATTAGCGTAAAAGAGCCGAAAATGTCACCCATTGCCTAGCTTATTTGCAATCTCGACTTAATCAACTCGTGCATTTCATCAACAGTTTTCAAGAGCTGCAGAGAAGTCTTCTTGGAAAAAGAAAATGCAGCATCTGGAGTATATGATTTGGAGTCAGGCCGTCATTTCTGCAACATGAGTGAGATTCCAAATTGCGGAGGAGGTGGATGGACACTTGCGATGAAAATTGATGGAACAAAGGTGCGATAAGTGAAAGTTATCCTGTTAGTGGTATGATTATTGCTTTCGATTATGTTTGCCAGATAGGTAACCAATTGTTTGGCATTGTTAAATTATTGCCTGTTGTGGATGTCAGTGTACAGAACCGTGTTTACTGTTGTTTACTACGGTTTACTTTGGCTTACTACGATTTAATATGGTTTTAATTGCGTTTGTTATGTTTACTCTGGTCTACTATGATTTACAATGCTTTACTGTGGCTTCCTATGGTTTACTGTCGTTTGCTCTGTTTACTGTGGCATACTATGGCAATAGGTATCATTTATTTAAAACAAAAGATTTTTCTGCCAACATAAGACCAGAAGTACTTACAAGACTGGCATTTTTTGTGATTTTGTAAATCTTACTATGTATTTTTTGAACAGGCTGCGCTGTTATTTTGTAAATAAGGAAAACGGAAAATTGGCATATTCCTCTTAACAACCTGAAAAACAACACCCTGTGTTCGATATAGGCCCAAACATTTGATACGAACTTGCTTTAATATTAATGTCTAAAATTTCCAAACAATATTCATTGTTTGCCTATCAATTCACCTCTAGGTCACATTTTCTACTGGATCAGTATATTGGTCAAATGATGAAGTTTATAATACGGAGTTGGGGATCAAATCCTTCTATGAAAACGAAGCAAAGTTCCCTGCCTTCAGCAATGTGGCATTTGACGAGATCTGCATTGGTATGAGGGCATCATCTGTTGTGAATTGGCTGCGTTTACCAGTAAATAGTTCCTCCCTGCTTGCTATTTTCAAACCGGCTACCTATATACAAACCAACCTTGGGAGGTCGGCTTGGAAACACTTGCTTCTATCATCTTCAATGCAATTCAATTGCAATCGCGAAGGAATCAATGTGAAGACCGATGGAGGGGATATTATGGCAAGAATTGGTCTCATTGCTAACAATGAAGATGATTGTGCTTCTCCTGACTCGTTCTTTGGATTAGGGATTGCATCCACCATATGTGGCAATGAAGCACTACACAGTCCAAATGTTGACGATGGCCAAGTAAGAATCGAAGCCATGGGCTTTGTTCTGATCAAATGAACATAAATCTGATCTAAGACAGTTAGGAACAGTTTACTGCATCAAAGTTTTTTTCATTTTTTACCAAACTTAGCTCATGGTGAAAAATGTTATATAATTGTTGAAAAATTTGATATTAAAAAGATACCTTTATCTAATTATACATATAATAGCAATTTTAAAAAGAGCAGAAAAGCATTTACACGAGACCTTTCCGTGAAATTCAGAAATATGTGCAAGTTAAATTTATAATTATTTGCACTTCCCATTTGCACCTCACAAAGATCCCTTTTGTGATATTCATATTTACATTTTTGCATTTGTTTCTAGCTAGCATCCAAAGGTAGTTTTAGGACACTTTGAAGCTGTGCTTATCGAGCAGTGTCCTGGTCCTTCCTCTCGATTTGACAACACCTCGTGATTCCTACGCTCAGTGGCGGATCCAGGGGTGTGCAAAGGGTGCTTGAGCACCGGTCAGATTTTCAAAGTACTGTTTCTTGTATCTGTTCCTTTGCGTGTTTCCGAAAAAAGCTAAAGGTTTCTACTGATTCGATGTTTTCATCTATTGTGCATGAAAAATATCCCTTTATCTTTTATCAGGAAAGTGGTAACATACAATCTTTGTGAAAAATTGCAAGAAATCATAAAATATTATATGCATCTGTTTGAGGAATAGGGTGACATGCCAGGTTGCGTTTTATTAGCCATGTTATTAGTTGATTTGAGTTTCGCAAACGTGAATCAATGTTGTTTGCTTTGAGGTAATTGTGACACTACGACAAGCGTTAATTGAAGTGTTGAGATATTTGCTTTTTTTATTACGCGGTTAATGGCATCGCAGCCCCCCTTTGTGATTTTTCTAAAGGAAAAATAGTTCAAAGAGGCGTGTAAATGCCTGTCAAAGTCCTTGGAACATCAACACAATTTTTTAACATTATATATAAAATTAAAGAGAAGTAAAATTCATTTTTTAAGAACACAATTCCAAGCTGCAAAAGATAGCTTTCAACCAGTGTAACGAATTTCGTAAAACATTTTCTAATTTTTCATAAAATACATTGCCTTATTTTGTACAATACTTTCCTTGCTTCCATAGCCACTCTTGTTTACCGTATTCTATTCTATTTTTGGTCCCATTAGAGAGTAGAGCTTATCGAGAAAAAGATAAAAATTCACCAATAAAAAATTGAGTTTTGGAATTTAAACAATGATTGTTTTTAGAAAAATCAATCACACCTGTTATGGGCATAATAATTACAAGATTTCACTTTCATCCGAGTCGAAATCCTAGTAGACTTGCATAAATACTGGTGTGGCATCTTGAATATTTAAATTGTCAATACCTTCAAATGTGTTTTTATGTAATTCTGTCAGTAGTTGCAGAAGATTTTCCAAATTGAAACAGCATAGGTTTTATTCAATATATTCAAACTGATTACTATTGTAAAGATTTGCTGGTCTCTATATGTTTTCAAAATATTTGGGGGACGCTCATCGGAGAGTGGATGCTGATTAGAGAAATTTTGCTCAAAAGGGGGGGCGTGTATTAGAGAGGGACGCTCATTGGATAAAACACGCTTCCTAACATCGCCTCCGAAAATGGGCATGGTCAATTAGTTGGGTGCATCCCTTAAACTGAGCACCCGCCAAAAAATTTCCTGGATCCGCCCCTGCCTTCGCCTGGAATTACAAAAAGCTGGCAACTCTCTTCACTCTGGATAAAGTTTGGTCATGCCAGGGACTCGAATCACGAGCCCTTGGGTTTGTAGTCAGCGCCTCTAACAACTGAGCCTCGCACTGTCTATCTGAATCATTTGCTTTGACTCGTTTAAGATGTTTTCACTGCAGTGGATTTCTTTATGAATATTAATTTTTTTGGCCTAGGCAATAGCCTGACTATATTACTAAGTAAAGAAGAATCTTGATACATTTCAGCATAGGCGTAAGAGATATAAAGGCTAGGGAGGGGGGCTATAGCCTAATCAGAAAATATTCATCACACTCCACTTGCATATATAGGATAGTGGTTCTATCTTCTCATTTTTAAGATATGGGGAAACATGGTCTACACTCCAGAAAGAACAAAAGGTACCCAAGGCATTTGAGAGCTGCAGAAATTTTGTTCAGAAACAAGGAAGGTCAAGGAATAAAAGAAAGCAAGTCTATTGCAAAGAACGTCAAGACCTTTTTCAACAATAAATTAAAGCAGAATTGCTTCAGAAACTTTCCAAGCTGAAAATTTTACAGTATAAATTATATGTTGCAACAAGGGCAATGATAAATTTTTGATAACTTTCGTCTGACTTTGAGTTAGAAAAAGGATGAACGCCGAAAAATTTCATCTAAGGATAAACAGAAATTTCTAGAGTTTCTCGTAATTTTTTGAGCAAGTGCAACGAAAGTAATTATGGTACATAATTTTGGAGAATTATTTTTGACAGTTTTACGAAAAACAGGGATTTAATTCATCCTCGAGTAAAAAGAAATGTCAATGGAGAAAATCATGCTGTTATCAAAGAAAGAGTTCAAAAGTCAGAAGAGAAGCAGAAAGCTTATCATGATCGTTCAGCGAGGATGCGAGAATTTGCAGTAGAAGACCATGTATGGGCACGAAACTACAGTAGAAGAGGACCCAAATACGTTCGTGCCAAGTTACTTCGCGAAGCAACCCTGTTGTCTTATCGAGGTGTTGTTCGTGATGGCTTGATAAGGCGACGACATTCCCAGCAACTGAAAACTAGAATTAAGCAAGAGATTGGCCAGTTGATTGTGATGAAGATGATCTGCCGCTGCCGTTTTCTTCGTTTGGTCGATCAAATGACGATGCAACGAATGTTCCAGAGACCAATGAAGAGTTCAAAACTTACCGGCACCATCTCGCTAAGTTCGTGCAAGGAGATAGCCGGGAAGATTGATAAACTATGACATTTAGGGTGGACAAAATTAAGTGGGGAGGTGAAATGTTATTGTGTCATTGTTTAACCGTTTAAATAGAGTAGCCCCATGGGGACTTTAAGCTAGCGCATCATAGTTGTTTACGACAGATCATGGGCTCCGACAAAGGTTGAAAAGTGGGGGAGGGGGGCCAAGGGAAAATTAACACCTATAACAAAAGATTTTGAAAAAACTCTATTATTTTGCAAAAAAGTGGGGGCCAAGGCCCCCCGGCCCCCCGTTCGTCGGAGGCCCTGGAGATTTACAATGCTTGGAGGTTCAGTGGTTTGAAAAGCAGACGCGTTGTTTTTTATATCTTGTTTGGCTAGGCCCATGTTTTAAGAAAACATACAGTAGCACGGCCAGCACGAATTTTAACTTGGATAAAAGTGAACAAATGATCATGCAATATAGCAAAAGTAAAAAACTCCAAAAAGAAACTTTAATTTTAAATGGCCAAGTTATTAAAGAAGTAGAGTCATACAAATATCTAGGGGACTTGAAAAATAACAAAGGAACCTTGGATTTGTGCATCAGTAAACGAATAAACTCTGCCTTGGGGGTTATTAAATAAATAAAATTCCTTATTAAACAGGATGCACTCAAGAAACAGAGTTTTGCAATCAGTATCAAACTGATTGAAGCAATTTTGATGCCAAAAGTTCTGTACGCATGTGAAACATGGACTAACGTAACTAATAAGCTATTTAAAGACTTAGAAAAATTGCAAAAAGATGCAGTAACAATAATTAACTCTCTACCCCAATCAATGTCATATGATGGAATAGTCCTTGAATGTGGCCTGATGCCAATGGAATTTAGAATAAAGGAGAAAAGATTAATATACTTCAATAAGGTATTAAACATTAACGAAAGTAGATTGACCAAGATAGTTTATGAAGAGCAAAAAATGTTTAAATTACCCAAACTGTTGGTATAAAGAAGTGATTAGTGACATAAAACTGATTGATATTAACCTCAAAGAAAATCAGATCAAAAATTTAACCAAAGAACAGTGGAAAAAAGTTGTTAGAGAAAAAATTATCATAATCATAGAGAATAACATTAGAAATAATAGTAAGACTAAACTTAGATTTATCAAGGGTAGTAAATTTGAAATGAAAGAGTATCTGGGGTGTGAAGACGCGTCATCCCTGCTGAAATTAAAACTAAACATGGTTGACTTAAGAGCGAACTACAAAGGAAAGTACTCTGATTTTCTTTGCAGAAGATGTGGGGCCCATGAGGAATATATTGAACACTTATGGGACTGCCCAAGTTTTTATCAAAAACCCAAGATGAAAAAGACCTGTTTAGTTACAAATAATTCAAAAATTCTAAAAAGTATCAACAACACCCTTCAAAAATTTCTTACCAATGGATGAAAAAGAAATAAAGAGATTGGCTAAAAGTATAGCACCAGCTTGTGATACCCAGTAGTTGGGTAACTGCTCCGAAGTGGAGACTTAGCTTCAATTATTATTATTATTATAGGCGCCGACTACGTGGGGGCTCGGGGGCTCGAGCCCCCCCCCCTGGGAATTGCTATAGGGGGCTCAGCCCCCCTGGGAATTTCGTTTGAAATCCGCCACTAGGCTGAAAATTCAGCGCAGAACAGCTGAATGAAGGTATATGTATATTCTAAGTCTCAAAAATGTGAATTTTATCTATTGTTAAAGAAGAATTTGAATCAAATAAATCCCTTGTCTAAACCTTCTGTCTCCTACGTCATCTGTTGATATATCTGCTTTATTTAAATGTTTTGTTTTGTTATTTTACATACTACATATGTTGTATTACGTTATTAAAGCGACAGGGAATTTCTCCACTTTTTAGATGTTTTTAATTTTTTTTTAATTTAAATTTTGAGCCCCCCCCCCCTGGGAAAAATAAAAGTCGGCGCCTATGAAGGCCAGTACTGGGGTGAATTCTCATTGAGGCTTAAAGGGCAGCTTCATGATAAGCCATATGTTAGGCAACTACAGAACGGAAAAGCGGTCATGGTAAGTAAAGTTGTGAGAAAATCTTTTAGAGTGTTGAAAATGAGTAATTGCAAGAATATGTTTGAAAAATAAAGTAACATATCTAGAAGTAATACGCAGATAAAGTAATAAATCTTGAAGTTAGACTACCAGAAAGGAACACAAGCGACAAAAATGGTGATGCTGTCCTCACTCCACTGTGAACTCTTAAAAATTACTCTCTAAGGATTTTTGAATTTTGATCAACTAGTTTGAAATAACACTATGAAATGCCACTTAATGTCCAAAATCAGCTCCTTATATTTGAAGTTGGGTGAGTTATGGCCAATGAACAGTGGCGTGCTGGCAGGGGGCAAGGGGGCAATTACCCCTCCCCCTAGCGAGCAAATATGAGAGGCACCAAAATGAATTTTCACGTTATAGGGGGTCCCGAAGGCCTAGCCAAATAGCTACCAAATGAGGACATTTTACATAAAAGAACCCAAACAGTCAAAAGAGTGTATAACAATCCACGATAAATCGCTTCGAAGAGAACAAGCATCACCTTGCAACACACCACTTCGTCTTTTTTACAAACTTTAATGCGCTTAACAGCGATCGTCAAACACCAACTCAAGATCTCACGCTAAATCTAAATGATTTTTGCACAAGGTAGATACCATGGTTGTACCGAGGCAGGGTGTCGGGTGTTTATGAGGAGCCCGGCAAAATTTTTTTGCTTGGCGGTAAAAGTTCAGATTAGGCGCCATTTCATAAAATTATCGAGAGGGTGCAAAGAGTGTTGATTTACTGAAATTATAAGAAACGATAGAAAGAAAAAGCTCACAGATTATAAGCCAATCTGAAGAAAATTTTGTTGCATAAGCCAAAATATTCAACAGTGACACCAGAAAATCAATTAAAACCATCAAGTAGCTTTTAGCCTGTGGAGAATTATCGTAGAGAAAGCTTGCGTTATTGATCGAGTGCTTCAAAAAGTGAATTTTGCAGCACACTGGAAGCATCAAAATTAAAAAAATGTTCCCTTCGGTGGCAGCCATGGTGTCGCCTCAGACAGTGTTTTTATATCCTGGGCTTGTTCCGATATATAGATCTAGAAGGTTGGAAGGTCTAACCATCATATGTAAATATATGTTGTGAAGTGATGTTGTGAATGTATGGCGGAGGAAGGTTTTCTATCCGACAAATTCTTAGTAGAACCAAACAAGGCTTGTCTCGCAATATTTTAGCCATATTTGGGCCATATTTCGAAGAAAGCTTATAGGTATTGTCCAGGATTTTCCATGAGTCTATAGCAATGTTGTAAATATTTGGATGCATTTTCCGACCATCCCTATAACGTCTTCTTTGACGCCATCAATTTTTTGCCGCCAACGATGGCAACCGCCCTTACAGTGCCTTTTCTCCCCCAACCTCCCTCAATAGTGACGTTCCTGATTATCGTTGCTGTGCAGCTTTTACAAATGACAAGATACTTTATTTGAAAATTCTCTATCACGTCCTGTTAGTAATTGACTACTCCATCTACCCTCATTTGAAGGCCTTACAGTACGCAACAGCTAGATAGATACCGTAAATCCTCGAATTAGCCCCCTGGGGGCTTATTTATTTTTGATATTTTTGGATGGGGGCTTATTCGAGGGGGGGCATATACGAGGGGGGGGGGGTCATAAAATTATTGTAGACATTAAGAAGACATTAATAAAAGACCTCGTTTATTTTAGTAGGAATTTCTTTATGAGCATTAAATTAATTACTACCAAAAGTATGAGTTTGTTGTGGTTATTCAATAAAACGCTAAAGGCAACCTCAGGTAGCAAAAATAATCAATTTGAGGGGTACAATTCGATAATCTACAGTAGCAGGGGGGCTTATTGACGATTTGTAGTTCTAGGGTGGGGGCTCATTCGAGGAGGGGCTTTTTGGAGGGGGGGCCATTTCGAGGATTTAAGGTATAGATCGGCGTGCTTCCGAACTCTTGTATTTTCTGCACATTTCCAATACTTTGAAGGAAAATTGGAAGATATGTGGGACGTCATTTTGATCCTTTGCCCCCTCCCCTGCGATCTTATCCCCAGCACGCCACTGCCATTGAAAGTTGTTACGCTTGCTAACGGGTCACTGTTTTTTTGACTCGGTTCATGGACTTTAGGACAGATATCAAATTACAACAAAATGAATTAAGAGCGTGTGCTTATCTTGGGATATGACAAGCAATTTGCAAGACACTGAACAATTTTGGTAAATTCATGGTAATCGTGAAAAGTTTCAATAACTTTTGTCCGGGATCCTAGAATCACAGAAATGCTTTATACCATGAAGGATTTTGTTGTTTTCATTAAAGTCTTCGAAAAGCAGTAGTTTTTTTTCAAGGTTGTTTTCCTCGATCATCCATTTTTCATCCCAAACAAAATATTAATAACAAATATTGTGTCTGGTATTTGCAAAGACATTTTTATTCGGCATTTTTTCTTCCGGAAATTAAAAATTCTTTTTGATACTGATATGCTTCAAAACCTCTTTATCAGTCTTTGGATATAAAAATACAATATCGTGTAAACATGTATTTAATTTTAAGGAATTGGCTGAAGATTCTGCACGATCAGATGAAACCGCTACAAAAAAGTGTCATCTCTGCGATTAAATATAAATTGCAGGAATATGTCAACTGCTTTTTGCACAGAATCTACATAGATCTATAGTTTTGTAGGGTTTATCTCTTCAGTTTTTGAATTTCACGCCTAGCTTTTCAGCTTCTACTTTCAGTATCTGTTTACAATAGCAAAGGTTAAAGCAAAATGGCCTCTTCAATAGTCATTACGTGTATTTGCATTTTTCTGCTTCGATTTGTGTGCTGTGAAGAGAGATTTGTCTCGAGGGTCTTTGAAAACACAAAGTCGTATTGCTCAGATTTGGCTAAGAAAGTCTACACAGTGACAAGTGAAGTGCAGTGCATTCACAGATGTATGAGGAACAAAAAATGCAGCACGATAAATTACAGAAACGAGGATGACGTCACGGAAAACTGTGAACTGTGTTCGTTGGTGGCCACTGCTCCACCACAGAAGAGTCAAAGAATTGGAAAACTATCGTTACCAAGGTAAACATTAGAATGTATTTGAATACTACACAGATCCTCCTTACGAATATCTAGTTTAGTTTAATTTGAGAGATCTTGGGAATATTTGCAAACTGTTTACTATCCAGTCTTCACATCACCGTCACTTGAACGTCTATTCTCCTTCCAGGCTATTGTAAAACTATTGTCTCCTCCAGTAGAAAAATAAAGGATTGACAAGCAATTCGAGGTCCTGTTATAAATGTCACGGAACATTTCATTAACATTTACTCGAAGCAGATATTTTACTTGCAGACTTCACAGCATTCATCTTTGAGCGATTTTTGGTTCTATTCTCTGAATATGAGCTGACATTCAAACAAATTTCAGTTTCATTTAGATCTTCTTTTCATTTTTAGAGCGAATTATTCCCAGTGGCTAAAGGTAAGCAATAACGAACCTAAGAACAATATAGTATAGTACTGAGTTTCTGTAATACTAAACTTCACAGCATATAATATACAATATATGGTATTTTTATGTCAAAGCAGTTGAAGAGAATTTATGGCCTTAAATAGACCATTAAAGAAATCCAAAAAATCTTAGGTTAATCACGGAGCCAAAGTTTTGAGCAATCTTGACTCAGAAACAAAGTTAATATCTTGAATTCATTGCATAAATCGAGAATAAAAATTTACTAAGGTCAAATGAATAGTTCTATGTGTTTGTTTTCTCCGGTTTATTTCTTTATTTTACATGAGGTTTCAATGTCTTATATGATTCAATTAAGATTAATAAAATACGGGGACGAGCAACAGCCACTCATGGTTTACTATATCAAAATACTTTTTAATTCAGTTAAGTTATACAAATCATAGATTAACAAATAGTTTTTAGGAGCTGCAGAGAAGTATTTAAGGAAAGAGAAAATGCAGCATCTAGAGTATACGATTTGGAGTCAGGCCGTCATTTCTGCAACATGAGTGAGATTCCAAATTGCGGAGGAGGTGGATGGACTCTTGCTATGAAAATTAATGGAACAAAGGTAATAAAATTATTGCTATCCATTTGGTTTGAGTTAATATCGTATGAAATATTGCGGTCCAGATATGAGATATACGAAAACTACACATTTGACGTTGTTGCTATTTTCCTGGTTCTATTTGAGACGTTTTCAAATCCAAGCAATCTTATGTGCAACAAAAATGCTATGATTTAAATTTTATCAAAGTTCCAAACGAATTAGCTTCCATATAAAATAATTTCACAAGAATTGGACATGAAATCTCACTTTAGGCAAGTGGGATACTCGTCTTTTGATTGAATTTTGTAATTGTTTTTGAACTACCACATTTCTCTCAGCAACCTTCTCTAAGAGAAATGAGTATCGATATCTATAAATTCGCTTCTAGAGTACATTCTCTATCGAATCGGAATATTGGTCAAATGAAGAAGTATATAATACGGATTTAGGGATCCATTCCTTCTTTGAAAACGAAGCAAAGTTCCCTGCCTTAAGCAATGTGGCATTTGACGAGATCTGCATTGGTATGAAGGCATCATCTGTTGTGAATTGGCTGCGTTTACCAGTAAAAAGTTCCTCCCTGCTTGCTATTTTCAGCCCTGGTACCTATATACAAACCAACCTTGGAAGGTCGGCTTGGAATAACTTGCTTCTATCATCTTCATTGCAATTCAATTGCAATCGCGAAGGAATCAATGTGAAGAACGATGCAGGAGTGATTATGGCAAGAATTGGTCTCATTGCTAACAATGAAAAGACGTGTGATACTCCTGATTCGTTCCTTGGAATAGGGATTCCAATTGCTGTATGTGGCAATGAAGCACTAACCAGTCAAGTAAACGACAACGGCAAAAAACGAATCCATGCTACCGGCTTTGTACTGATCAAATGAACATTACATTGGCTGTAAGAGCAGTAAGCAACAATTTATTACATCCAAGACTTCCATCTTTTTGTCTTAACCAAACTGTTCATGGGTTAAAAATATTAAGGAATATCATGAAGGCTTGGCATTTAAACGATATCTTTTACTAATGATACAAATAAAAAAGCTTTTTCACAAGAAGAAGAAAAACACTCTCATGAACTTTTGCAGCATAATGGTAGAAAACGGTGCGGGTTAAACTGACAATCATTTGCAGCCATTTAATCCAATTGTAACAATATCGACGAAGTAAAATTGGCCATAGCAGGCACAAGCTACCCCACTTTTCAGAAATAGTGCTACAGTACCTATTTGCAGCTTCCGGAGATGGAACTGCCCTCCGTTCCGTCTCAACTTTTGAACTACTTCCATGTACAATATCCTTCAGGCAAAAGCACATGCCTGTATCATTTCACATCTCAAGTCATTTTTGGATTCATTTATTTGCCTTGTTAGAAAAGTTATGTGTTTCTTCATGAAAATTTATTATCTTTGTCCTGGGCAAAAACAGATTCTGTGGCACAAAATTGCTGGTGGAACAAGTTGCTGAGATAATAATTGTAGTTAGCAACAAGACAGCGCTGAATTAGGCTATTTTCTCTCAATTTTTAGTTGGTGCAGTTTACCTTTCCAGATTAACAATTTTTGTACACATTTTTTCAACATAAGCTAATATATTTTCAATTTGCATAGGCTTTCCGTAGCTACAGTAAACATATAGATCACAGGACTGCATGATGGGATGTACATAAAAAATGTACATAAAAAGGCCCGAAACCTTTCCCCAAAATGCAGTGCGCAAGGTGAAGTATGTATATGCTGTTATCTTAAGACAAGTCGCAAATTGTACACTACCTACTAAAACCGAGGCGTAGAATTGTATTTCTTAAATGATATATTGCATGAAAAGAGTCCTATTATTTTTATGATGAAAGTTACTTTTTGCCGGTCTGTCATAAAGTGCTTGCGGCCGTCTAGACAGAGCGGAACACGCTTTTGGTCTATACAACAGGGCGGTTCTAATTTGCTACCCCGAGTTTCACCCTTACAGTAAAGTATTAAATGTCTAGAAACACTTGTTTAAGTCGTGATGGTTTTGTTCTTGGCAGTATTGGCAATAATGAGTGAAGCAAGCGAAAATGCCCTATTCTAAAATTCTAGATCTAAATCACTTACAGAAACCAAGAGGTCCATGACTCTCAAGTGTTGTCTTCATGGCCTTTAGAAGTCGCCACTTCATCGTCACTTCATTGCCAAATACAGAACCCTTAATGCTTCAGTATTGTTGTGAATAAAGCAGATTTTAAAAGCTTTATCGAGCACTTAATATATGGTACATAAGAGCATTGCTCCAATTCAGTTGACCTTGACACATTTCAACAAAATTTTCACCATTTGAAGCATTGGTAACTGTGGGTCATGATACATAGTGTCATGGGAAATCAATCCGTATTTGATGGTGCATTGTAGAAGCATTTGGGAATTAAACAGCAAAGATAATCAAAGAACTCTCGATAAGCTGTTAAAGTCTACACAATCTTGGGCAGTCATCGTTATGTGAGTATCTAGAATGGAAATATACACCTTTATTATCAAGGCAGTCTGTCCCCTTAGCGATTGGATGGTGTGGACAATAAGGTTTGATCAACGTCGCATTTGATTGGCTACAATCATTTCTGTTCCCCAAAGCCAACAAAGCATGGATTTGATCCCAGATGACATAAAACTGAGCAAAATAATCAGGTCAACTGACGCGTTTCATAAAAAATATCTCTAAACAATCCTGATATCGGAGGGAGGCCTCAACTAGAGTGACGAAAGAACTTGATCACAAAGACAGATGGGAAGTAGTAATAAGATAATCTTTTGAAAAAACACCCACCAAAAGGATCAACATCTCCTGTATAATGAAAATGTTCAACCGACAAAAAAATGTAAATTAACGTCTTTAAGCTGAAGAGGTAATAAGCAAAGTTTACTTTGGATTGTAGCTTATCAGAGCATTTCAACAGGCATATTCTGATAGCATACTTTGTGCATTAATCTAAAACTTGTACTTATTTTCAGATTGATAAAAACTTGTTATTTGCTTTGAGAATGGCACACATTTAGAATGAAAAGTTAGAAGTTGATATAACTACCATAAAATATAGAATGATTTGAGATCAAAGTATAGCAAGAAATTGAATCTACATTGGAAGCCACATTATTTTTATTGCATGATGTCCCAATTCTTGCATCATCGCACAGGAATCAAAGAAGACTAAACTCTTGTGAATGATAAAAGATTAATTGATTTTGCATCTAAAATGGGGCCGATTGTTAAATCGAAGTTCTACCATGAAAGATAAAGAGACAACTTTATACTACAAACGGAATATAATCGCTAATTAATTAAATGTAAAATGTTTTGCAAGGAATGAAGACCCAACGCGACAAAATAAGTCACATAGCACCATAGCAAAGAAATTTTGCAAAGAGAAACCCAGATTTACTTCAATTTAGTATTTAAATTCCTGATAAAAAGAAAGTAAAGAACTTTTGTGTGAAAAAGCATATCGACCGAAGTCAAAATTCTTTCTCTATCATCAATATAAATGTTCGAATCAAGGGCTTCAGAAATAAAGAAATGTAAATCAAATGGCCCAAAATAATCGATTCTTCTTGATTCTATGCTACCTGCACATGCTTGCTTTAATCTCACTTAGAATTCTCTACTCTTTGCAATTATACATTATGGGCTCTGACACTGGTTTGAAATGGGGGGGGGGGGGGCAAAGGAAAATTCAACACCCATAGCTAAAGATTTTGAAAAGTGCTCTATTGTTTTGTTAACATGTGGGGGTGGGGACATGGCCCCCTTCTTCGGAGGCCCTGATATTGGTCCCTATTTCCCTTAGAACGGTATTTTATTTCATTCCAATCGCACCCAAATCATGCCTTGACTAGCCTTTATGTCATTCCGGGGGAAATAGTAGCATTCTGGACTTTGTAAGGATTTAGTTTTCACAGAAACTTCTTTAGAAATTTATTCTCACATAGGTTTCCTTCAGGTCAACTATGAAGCAAACGATTAATCGAAGTTGTTATAATAATATAATTCAATACTAACAGCCCAACAACTAAAAAAAGGATAAATGTAATTTTTATTGACTAGAAAAATTTATTGACCTTATCACACTACTTATCAGATTTCCGTTGTTTGGGGTAGTGAATAAATGGAGCCAAAGGGTGCTTATAAGCAGAGCCCAGAAATTATGAGCTCAGATAGTCAACGACAGCGAAATAGGCCGTTTGAAATAAAAGAAATTGAAAAATTTAACTCAAATTCCCGCTTATCTCTATTCTTCATCTGAACAGTTTCAGAATATTTATCTGTAGTTTTCGGAGCTAAAGGATATTACCCGAGGAACAGATAAACATTCCTGGACTGTACTTAAAGTGCTTAATGGACAATTGACAAGATACAGTTAGTATGTACCCATCCTCTCCCCTTACAAGAAAAACTTTGAATAACAAGCCCTGTAATAAAACTTAACAAGGGCCTTGCAAGATCTGGATAGACGGTTCAAATATTTAGTGGATTATAAAAATTCAAGTAATTAGTCTTTATCTACAAAGACATCTGGAGACAAAACTTCCTGAGAATTGTCTAATAACAGTTTTGTAAAAGTATTTATTTTTGCCATCGATGTTAGCGATATTGTCTCGTGTTTAGACCACATAAGATTGGGACCAAAGATGATCGCCAAATTGCCAGTGGACATTCTGTTCTCTGCAGAATTCTGTACGACCTGCAAATATTTAGCCTGGTTAACATTTGTCACATTTAAGAATTTTTCAACATAAGAAAAGAACTTATTCAAATTTCCTGTAATTCCGCAAACACACTTTTGTAATTGCTGGCATAATTAAAAAACTGAGCAGTTAGTAGACAGTCAAGCGATGATTGCGATCAAGAAATCATTTAACATTGGCTTTAAAAAATTTCATTAAAAATTCACGTACACAATCAACTACAGTCCTCAAAGAGGGTATTAATATTTTGCGCCCCCCTACCAAAGATAAAGTTAATATATCTTCTACAGATACATGCAACCATACATTAAATGGACGGGGGGAGCTGACACATTGCCCCATGAATGCATGTTATTCTGGTGGCCTTTTTATCTCTAAAGCTGTTTGCAGTACTATTGTCTAGAAATATGCAAGTACTTGACTGGAACATGGCATAAATTAATGAAATTTGCCTTAATGATATTTGAAAATGGCTTTGAAAAAAAGCAAATAGTTAGTAAACTAAAGCTTTTCGTCTGACACTCTTCAAAGTTTAAAATGTCAGAACATAGATCGAAAACTCTACGCTAGGAAATATATATACCCAGTTGTGTGGTACCTCCACAGTCATGTGCTCGTGTTTCTGATTGGCCATTTCGATCCACAACTGGGTACATATATTTCCTAGCGTAGAGTTTTCGATCTATGTTCTGACGTTTTAAACTCTGAAATGTGTTAGACGAAAAGCTTTAGTTTACTAAATGTTTGCTTTTTCGAAGCAATTTTCAAGTTTTGTACCACCAAAAGATTGTTTAATGATATTTATGTTATATATTTCAATATGCTTGTTATTGCTATAAGATTTTATTTCGTACCTCTTCGAGAAATCTGATGATGTAAGTGAGTACAGTGTAGTTATCTTTGGGAATGCAACTTTTCATCTCGAATCTCATCTTCTCAACCCTTTCTTCTGCCGGTAGGGCTAAATAAAAAAATACAGGCTTAAAATCAATAAAAATAGCATTTATCCTTAAAAAGGGAGACATGCAGATATTTTCTTTCGAAAACCAACAAAAAAGCTAGATTAATAGGTTAAAAATTTAAACCTTGTTATTTTTCAAACAAGATAAGCTAATTGAGAACAAGAGGTTTTTGATATTCAAATCGGTTTCTTTCGACAAAGGATAATGTTATATATGTACGCAAAGGATCAAGGTATTAATTTCCTAAACACATCTTTTTAGTATAAACAGCAAGTTGCTTCTAGATAAACGAGTTACAACTGGAAGCTTCTCTAAGTACCAAATGAGGTGTAAAGACAATTGACAGTCACTTAGTGGCTTAAAAGCACTATGTCCCGTCAGTCAACCGTTCAGTGTTGACAGTAGGCTTTGAGGCGCATTTATGATGGAGAAACATTGCGAATTGGCCTTACATTGCTAATTGAATATGTAACAATAGCTCTATTGTGTAGTTAAACTACTGGGATATTCAAATGGCCAGCGAAATGTGTTGTGACAAAGTGACTTTAAGCCATCTGTCAATCAACATTACCCAATCGATAAGCGTGTGAGGTATGGTTTGATATGGTATGGTACGGTATGTATGGTAAAAGATAGTAGGGTATGGCACGGTATAGTAGGGTATGGTAAGGTATGGTATGGTATAGTAGGGTATGTATGATAAAAGATGGTAGGGTATGGTAGGATATGGTAGGGTATGGTATGGTATAGTAGGATATGTATGGTAAAAGATGGTAGGGTATGGTAGGGTATGGTAGGGTATGGTAGGGTATGGTAGGGTATGGTAGGGTATGGTAGGGTATGGTAGGGTATGGTAGGGTATGTGTGATAAAAGATGGTAGGGTATGGTAGGATATGGTAGGGTATGGTATGGTATAGTCGGATATGTATGGTAAAATATGGTAGGGTATGGTAGGGTATGGTAGGGTATGGTAAGGTATGGTAGGGTATGGTAGGGTATGGTAGGGTATGATAGGGTATGGTAGGGTATGAAATGTATGGTATTGTTTGTATTGGATGGTATCTTATCATAAATGCAAACTAGATAGTTATATTGCAAGTTTTTGAACTCCTTTTCACCTAATAGTCAATTTCTGCACTGTATCATTCACAAACAATAATTAATGAGTAGACTGAGATATTGACATCTTACCGCATATGTCGGCAGCTACAGGGTAGAATTCGAACGTCAGAAGCGGCTCTGGCATTTCTCGCAAGAATTTTTTTATTAGAACGGCGGGAGCATGGACGTCAGCTGGATCAAATACAACGTTTTCACCTAAGTAGAGTAAGGAGAGACAAGTTTGGGAGCACAATTATGAACGTCTCATAAAAGACAAAATGTATATAAATATTCAGCAGCAAGAATTACTGGCAACAGCTAGGACCCGTTCACACGGGAACGCAATCGTTCCGTTCCATTTTTGTTCCAGTTTCTGGAACGGAAAAGTATACTGTTCACACGGTAACGGAACGATTGCGTATCGATTTTTGCTTGTGTTCAGACGGGAACGCAATCGTCCCGTTTTGCAATTTGCGCGCCAAAATAAGCAAATGATTTTTAATGCGCGTGTCCATAATGGAGATAGATTTCATCATTTCGATTTATCTCTGAGCTATCTCTGAATTTTTTAAACAATTTGAATAAATGGAGAATACAAAAGCGCCCTAAAATAAGCAAGATCGTGGGAAAATTGAAGCCAACCCTAAAAGGAAGGAATTTCAATGTTTGCAGAATGGTGTTGAATCTTTTAAATGGACTGACGGCGAGATTCAGCCCAATGGTGTTTTTGAAATCCTCCATTTTCTTCGCTGAGTTTATTATTGTCACCTTTTCCTTCCCTCGACAACAACACAGACGCATGCGCCAAAGGCAAAACTCTTATCGTTCCATTTTCTGGACCAGTTCTGCGCGTTCACACGGGAACGGAACGGAACGATTGCGTACCGTTCCACTTTTCGTATCACTTATTTTATCGTTCCACTTTTTGGGACGGAACGATGTCGTTTGAAGCGTTCCCGTGTGAACACAACCCCTGAGCGTTACGCTTTTCGGAACGGATAAGAACGGAACGGAACGATTGCGTTCCCGTGTGAACGGGGCCCTAGATTTATTAACATTTTTAGACAAAAAGTTAGTTACTCCAGGATTTACAAAAGTTTAAAAAAGTCCTTAGAATCAAGTACGGTCTTTCGTTTTTTTAAAATCTGACAACAGCTCATGCAAAAAGCAGTACTGAGGATGGAACCTATTGAATAGTGGAAATAAAAAAAGCTGCATTTTGTTGGGCGGCATTAAATGGGGCAGTTGGCAGCTGACGTTATTACTGAGGTTGTGGCAGCACAGAGGAAGAAGTGGAGGAGAATGATCGGCACGGCCGTCTCCATCTGAGGTGGGAAAAGCCTGGAGAAGAAGATAGCAAAAACAAATAGCTTCTATGCAAGAGCTTCATCTTTAATTGCGGAGCAAAGTCATTAAGCGCAGACAATAAATTTTCCAACCCAGCGATAGAACTCCTTTGATTTTTCATTCACTCCCCGGGTTTGAAACGGAGCAGTTCTCACATTCGAATTTTTGTGTACAATACAAAACGTAGACTTTAAAATATCGTTGCTCATCAAGTTCCTAACTCTCTGTTAGAAATAACAACGAGCCTTTCATGATTGTCTTAAAGCTCAGCTCTATGGCGTCGATACGTGCATCAAGGAAAATCAAAACAGATGCTGTGGAAGAAACTTGCAAAAAGGAATATGGTGGTACCTTGATTGAATTTTCGTTTCAGTTCTTCAACAGTTGTGCTGAGAGGAGATCGTCGAAATATTCCTTCTGTGGTTAATGCTAGAAAAAACATTCATATAAAATTAATCAGCACTCTCATTTTTGATCAAAATCTCATCTTAAAGTATTAATGCTTATTAAAACATTTAAGTCAAGATATAAACGCTTGATAGAATTCATTTAATGTGATAAAAATTCACAACGAAATGTTAATGCCATGTAATACTTGATAAGGAAATGTCAATGTTTTGTTAAAAAAGAAATCAAAACATCAGCTTTCGATAAAACTTCCAATCATATGCTAATCTTGATTTAAACATCAAATCAAAACTGATGTTTTATTTCAAATCTTAAATAAAAAGCTTACTGCACGATTAATATGAAAAATAAACACAAAGATTTTAAAAAATTTCTAAAAATAACTACAAATTCCTGATTTAGCATTTAAATTAAAATTTTCATGCCTCGTCAGAATTTTAATGTTTCCATTTAGATGTAGAATGGAAATTAAGTACTGATAACTCAGAACAAATTTTCACAAAAAGATAAGTTTCTAATAAGAAGGCAGGTAGCTCCAGAGGGGGGGCGGAGCTGGTATTTTCGCAAAACTTCACAAAAAGGAGGAATGAATAAACTGGGTGAAGTGGTTGATTTCAAAAACAACTGTTGGTATATCAGCCACAAACAAGGAAGAAATACGTTTAGAAATGTAAGAAAATGTAAGAGAAATTAAAACAAATATCAGAGAAAGACAGTTTATGCATATGGTTATTTTTTACCTTATACTAAGGCATACTGAATCATAATGTAGCAGGGCTGAGCAACGGTAGTTACGCCCTAGTTCTCAATTGTCATAGGACTAAGAACACGTGAGTATGGAAATGGAACCCTCATTCTCAGTTGTAGCAAGCCCAAAAAAGTGTAATTATACAAAATCAAGTCCTTGTCATTTCGTCATCTTCTGACTCACTCTTAAGTAACAGACTACGGTCACTGTTACAAAAAAGTAGAAGGGTTGTCATAATAAAGTGGAATGGGTAGTCGACTTTACCATAAAATTGAACTAAATTCCCTCCTTAGCTAGACACGGGATATAAACATTACCTACCGTGCTGACGTAGAAACTCGACACAGGATTTTACAACGATAGGTATAGGGTCTGCAACGCCATTCTCGATTAACCTTAAAAAGAGGGAATTAGAAAATTAGAAGTCGCAGAGATGAAAAAACTTAAAAGGGTACCAAAAGCATAAAATATCTGAACCTCGAGAACAGAGACAACGAGTTACAACTGAAAGCTTCTCTCAGTACCAAATGAAGTCTAAAGGCAATCGACAGACACTAACATGTCTTAAAGGCACCATGTCCCGTCAGTCAACTGTCTAGATTCAAAAATAGGCTTTGAATGCGTTTATGCTGGAGAAAACATTTCGAATTAACCTTACATTACCGATTGGCTACGTAACAATAGCGCTATTTTGTAGTTAAACCAATGAGAAATTTGAATGGCACATTATTTAGTCCATAGTGCTAAATAAAAGATAGAAAGCCTATAGGTAACTAAATTCTTATGTTTTGTTTGTATCTTGAATAAATATCTTCGTCTCATTTATTCACCATTCATTAATCCACGAAATTCAGTTGGCCAAATTAATAAGTTTCTATTATACAAGATACAAAAATCAAATGATAACTATAGTAAAAAAGTCCTGAGAAAGTTTTGGCTTTTCTGCCAGAGGAAGGGTGTAGACGTTAATGAATCCAGGTCACGGCACCAATATCATTAAAAGACTTGTTTCGAAAAAACCAATAATCAATTTGACTCACGTTGCTAAACTTAATCCAAACTGCTGGGACTTTGGTATCTCTGTTTGCACATAGAACGACGACGTAGTTGCAGCTGGTTTTGATTTGCCTTTGGCTATGAGTCGCTCATCATGGCTGAAAAATACATACAAAGCTTTTAAACAAATCAGTATTAAAAATATGGAAAATGTGTTCGCAACATGAACAGTTTTTTCTTCAAAAATCAAACAAACAGGGCCGTTTGCATTTTGACACAACAAAATGGCCATTACCTATACGCAAAGAGTAATGGTAGAAGCTCTTTGATCCACAATTATTCAAATTTATTTCCCGTATTCCTTTATTTCAAAAATCTTTATGAAGCAGTAAATAGATATAGTTAACTTCCAACGGTATTTCCTAGTTTCCTTTGCATTTGCAATTATAATATCCGAGTCTCTAAATTTCCAAAAGTTATACCTACATTTATCTAACTTTATTTTCTTTCTTACAAAATCCAATGAAAATTTACAAATGCATATAATAAATACATTACTAAAACAGGAAAATACTCTACAACACTACAAGGACGAGACCCAGAGGGGCAAAAGGCTATGTCCATTAAACATAAGAAAGAAAAAAGAACGGTTTCTAAGAAAATGCTGAAAAAACAAGGCACTAAGGAAAATGAAAGGTGGTGCCATGTAGCGAAGCAAGGGCTGGTCTTGAGCAAATCGACCAGTTTTATGGATAAAATGCAATGTCTATTGTAACATATTTTTATTTTGGTCAAATGATTGATCTTTATAACCAACATACAATAAAAGCTATATTCTTGAGGGAATGGTATATCCAAATGGTCGCAGTAGCTCAAATGGCTCCAGCGAGATCTTTCGTCGTTGAGAGAAATCTAACTCTTTCGATATATCGGTTCTAACTATTTACATTGAATTTTTAAGCTTTATATCCCACTAAAAGTATGCTTTTTTAAAACAACACCTAAACAACCTTTCAGATATGTATTGATAGATAGCCAGTCTAACATTTTAACCCAGGTCGTCGTAGAGTTTTCGATGATGTGTTGGAATGACTATACATTTTCTGGAAAATTCCATCTTCTAAGAGCCAAACCTTGTGTGAGGATGGCCTAGTGGTTAGGATCGCAGACTGCTGTTTCAAGGGTCTTGGCAACGAGTCCCTGCCATGACTAAAAACTTTCAATAGACATGGGAATCACGAGGTGTGGTCACATCAAGAGGAAAGAAGAGGATAAGCATAGCTTCTTATACCCTTGGGTGCGACAGTCTCCATTATTTAGCGTCAAAAATATTTTTCGAGCGAGGATTCTTATTCGTTGCCATCGCAACCGTTTACAATACTTTATTCTACAATACGAGACTCTGGTTCCCAGGGTAAGCTTCTCAGTGTCCTAACACTACCTTCGGAAGCTGGGTTATAAACTACAAAAGTCAAATATTAAGGTTTATGGATGCACTCACTCTCTGACTTCTCGCGGGATATCCAGTTGTCCTAATCTGATGAACGGTATAAGCTCATCAAGTCTATTCATATTATGAATCTTCTTACCGAATTTCTTGCTGCAAATAATTGACCATCATTAATAGCGTAATAACATACAAATAAAACTGAGAAAATTGCATGAAATTACTAGGGACACCGACGAAGCTCAAGAAAGGCTTATGGAAATCAAGATCAAATCAGATCAAGAAAAATATGTCCTTCATTTTACATATAAATAGTGGATATCAAAATAGGCTAAAAAGACAAAGGCTTCAGCAACCCTCTCCTGATCAGGCGAAATTTACTGCATTCCGGGCTTTATTCGAGCAGTTCTATACCAAAAATGCAATGATATTCGGGCAAGATCATACTAACCCCCCCCCCTCCCCCCCACCTCTAGCATTTGCTACGCCCATGAATATTAAACTTATTGCAGAAATACAAAAATCTTGTGAAAGATTAAAACAAAAACTAACCTTAGGAATGGCTGCATTATGGCGTAGGCGACTTTTATGAAATAACTTGGATGTACGACGTAAAATGCTTTAATGTTTTTCTTATATCTAAAACAAACAAACCATTTGTATCAAGCATAAAGAAAAAAATGGTTGGCAATAGATATCGCAATTAGAATTTTTGAAGAAATCTAGATTCATGTAGGCCTAAGAAACTCAACTATCTGGAAAATTGGTGATAGCAAGATCAATGCACAGAGCTGTTTTCGATCCGCAATTTGATAAAAGCTTTCTTTCACATTTTCAGATGTTTTATTCTCCAAAATGTGTCGGACGAGAAGTACTTCTAGCAAGCAGTTGAGCAATTTCTGCAGTCTTTTCATTTTACAGTGTGAAATGTCTATTGAGGATCTTATTAAAGATGTGCACTGAATGAAATTTTTTTTCACAGCCTTTTCACAGTTCAGACAAATAGATCGAAATTAAAAATCAATAACGTAATCGTTCAAAAGCCGATATTACAGACTTTTCTTGCATTTTCAAAATTGTGAATAATTACCTGCACCTGCTTGGTATATCGTTAACTATTGTTCACGAATAAATGACAGAAACACCAATTACTCTTTAAATAAAAGGGCACGCGCGAAATGTAAACTAAAAGCAGTAGAATATCTGGGCTTAAGATTGGCTTCGCGAAAGAATTATTTTTCAAATGGCTTTAAAAAAGCAAAAATTTTGAGCCATACTGTATGACTCAAAATTTTTGCTTTTTCAAAGCCATTTTTAAATTTTGTAACACCAAAAGATTGTTTGCTAATCATTTTGTAACCTAAAACTACAAATTTTAGTTATTTACTTTGTTTCTTTCCATATTTTAATTACTCACGTTCTATCTAGTTCCTTGTAGACTTGCAAAAGCCATGAAAATGATGGCTTGTTTTGGCTGTTGAGGCCATAGTGGAAGTACACTAAAGTGTAATCGTTGATGACGTAGTGGTCAAGAGTGGCCTTTGCGAACCTGCCAGAGAAGCGTATAACATCAGTAAGGCAACGGAGGAAGTGTCTTGAGGTCTGCTGAGGCTCTACAAATGAATTCAATAAAGAGAGAGCCGCTGGATGATGCAAACAGAAGAAGCATCGTGGAAAAATATTCAAAATCAACTTACACAATCTTCTTTTAATCCAACTGTCAGCATTTTGAATGATAAAAATTTGCAGCCCAGGGGTGACAAACTCAGAGCCCGAAGGCCAAACAAAACGTCAGAACATAGTTTTCGATCTATGTTCTGACGTTTCATACTCTGAAAAGCGTCAAACGATAAACTATGCCAAAGTATGCCTCAAAACTTTTGTTTTTTTCAAAGCTTTTTTACGTTTTGTCCCACCAAAAGACTGTTCGATACATTGACAGCACTCTACCCAATGGGTTTACACAGAAACTGAATAGACAAATGTGGTTCTCCATTTGTCAAAATACTCCTAAAGGCTTTAGTATTTTCAATCTTGACAACACATAAATGAATTAAGACGTTATAATGATAGGGTTCTGTTTATATGCCTAGATGTCCATCAAATGGTACTGATTAGCGATGCACGATACCAGGTCTTTGAAAATAACATATTTTGAAAAAATCTAGTAAATTTAACTCATAAATTAACATATGCGGCATGTGGTCCAAATATCAGTCGTTTGACTTTAGGCAATGAATAAATAAATTATTTGATAAAATCTTACTCTATCAGTCGTTGGTGATCGATTAGTTCTCTTTCAGGTAAACGGCAAGCACTGAACGCAATCACAGGCCTACCCATAATGTCATCGCCTAGAAATATTCAGTTAAAACTTCTTTTAAAGCTCTGATCCACGTTAAAACTTTTAAAATATTACGATCAAAAGAAGGTAGAGATTTTCTGCGCTATTTTGCAGATTCTGCTTTAGTTATGTTTAAAACGAAGAATATTTGTTATTTACAGTAATAGAAGATTCAAAAATATTAATATATTATGAAAACCTAATGATCAAACCGGACAAAGAAACTGGGTTGTAAATCTAATGAGATACAAAAGTAACTAAAGCGAAGAAGATAGCTACACGAAAAAAGATGTGATTTCGATTAAATGTCAAATACGAAAATGGAACTTTAGATAAAGAAGTAGAGAAGGGTTAAAAGGAATTCAAAAGATAAAATGTTTCGGGAATACCATAGAAGAGATAAACAGCAATTGCGGGGAATCTAATTATCTGAAACTGTAAAAAGGGAGCCCTAACAAGCATGTTACATTCCTACCCATAATCGTTTTGGCATAATCATCATACTGTGAAATTCAATGATTTTGTTTATTCATGTGATGCGATAATAATTTGTTATGGAAAACTTTCTTATGGAAAACTTCTAAGTAAATCAGATACTCCCAATTTCTTTCTTATTTCAGTTAATTTCACAATCAATTACTAACCTTACGTTGCTTCAATTCAAAGTGCATTCAAATGCTAGAAAATTCTAGGAAAGTCAAATGGCTATCAGAAGGGTTACGCGTTGAACACCCTCCATCCATGGCCAAGTGATTTGCACACAAATAATCCACCTTGTAGACAAGCACGCCCAAAAATCGTTACTTTCCAAGCGTAAGATGGGATGAGCGTACAATACACCTCTACCATACCCCCATAAGGAGACATCCTTACCAAATAAAGTAACGTATGATTCAAATCCTTTGCAGTGCTCAATAAGACTTTTTTCTTTCATAGTATAGTTTAAATTTATTCAGACGCAAGGAAATCCATATAAAGGAAAGTTGAAGTAATTAATTTGGTAAAAGCAAGTAACGAAGGAGTAATATTGTAGTAACGAGAAGATTTTCTACCTGCGAGTTGGAAGATTTTGTATTTTGCGATGTCAGAATACTTTGTTTCGATATCTTCAAGCGATGGTATGTTTCCCCCCGTGTCTGCTGAAAGCGGTTTTTCTTCTTCTTCTTCTTTTTTCGCATTTTCAGCACTCCCGTCGACTGATGAAAACGAAGATAGATTTTCCACTTCTGCAAAAAGAACTAATCCACATGAAAATAGGAAGTAAAAATGCTGCATTGCTACCACCGACTTTTACCAGCATCCTTTTTCTAGAATTTTCTACAGTTTTCTAACTAAATTCCAATCTCGTGGGCGCAGCTTTTCATCGAAGGATGCTTTTCAGTGCCGTTGGAACGAAATCCATATTGGGGGACTGCCCATTGTATTCCTTCTCGTTCACTACACTGTTATAAAGGAAATATACTACAGTTTGACATTTACTAGGGGGACTTCAGCCCCCAGTTCCGACGGCCCCGCTTTTACTATCATACCGGGATAACAACAAGAGGCGCCCTTAGTGTAGTTCAAGAGCTACGAACAAGAAAGATCAATCGCACTTAAAAAGAAATCAAAGATTCATGTTATTTTCCAGATTCACGTGTAAATCTGAAAATCAAGCACAAACGAACGGCTTATTAACAGGCGAAGAGCTATAAACAAAACGAAGGAGTTCTTGGCATTAAGAAAGGTACTCAGCCCACAAAGCCCTAAAACTATGTCTCTGCCATATTTTTGCTATGGCCTTACGCAAATACTCTCTTACGTAAAATACTCTCCTTACGTAGAATACTCTCCTTACGTAGAATACTCTCCTTTCGTAGAATACTATCTTTACGTAGAATACACTTTTTACGTAGAATACTCTCCTTACATAGAGTACTCTCCTTACGTAGAATACTCTTCTTACATAGAGTACTCTCCTTACGTAGAATACACTTTTTACGTAGAATACTCTCCTTACATAGAGTGCTCTCCTTACGTAGAATACTGTTCTTACATAGAGTACTATCCTTACGTAGAATACACTTTTTACGTAGAATACTCTCCTTACATAGAGTACTCTCCTTACGTAGAGTACTCTCCTTACGTAGAATACTGTTCTTACATGGAGTACTCTCCTTACGTAGAATTCTCTTTTACGTAGAATACTCTCCTTACATAGAGTGCTCTCCTTACGTAGAATACACTTTTTACGTAGAATACTCTCCTTACATAGAGTGCTCTCCTTACGTAGAATACTGTTCTTACATAGAGTACTCTCCTTACGCAGAATTCTCTTTTACGTAGAATACTCTCCTTACATAGAGTGCTCTCCTTACGTAGAATACACTTTTTACGTAGAATACTCTCCTTACATAGAGTGCTCTCCTTACGTAGAATACTGTTCTTACATAGAGTACTCTCCTTACGTAGGATACTGTTCTTACATAGAGTACTCTCCTTACGTAGAATACTGTTCTTACATAGAGTACTCTCCTTACGTAGAATACTCTTCTTACGTAGAGTACTCTCCTTACGTATAATACTTTTCTACCAGCGGTTCATCGCCAAAACAAACTTACTTGGCAAAGGTGGCCTTGATCGAGGCGGTGGCCTTCTTCCATGCTGCTTCTCGTCAACCATATTCGAACTGACTATACTGGTCTCAAAGCTGTTTATAAACCAGTGTTTACGGAATGTCTTAGCATTAAGAAAAAACAAACACCTGTTGCATCATATCTGCAGCTAAGCCATGCAAAATATTGCAAATACAAGAAATGCTCGCTTTGTTTCACGTATCAGGAACCCGCAAGAATTCTTTAATAAACTCAAGACGAACAGTCTGCAGTTAGGTGTGAGAAATATGACCTCATTTGTATTTACGCAAAAATGGACTCGCCTCCGACTTTAAATGGAAAATTTCTAACCATAGACAAACAAAGAGCAGTCGACTGTCACGGTGAAATTTCACATCAAATGCATGTTAGAACTGCCGTAGCCGTGCAGAGTGCGATGATAAAACTTTACAAGCAAGCAAGCATCAACAGAATGCAATAGAACCGCTGTAGGAAGCAGACGATTTTCTTCACAACCTTGACATGCTGTGTTCGGGCGGATGGCAGCGCGAGCCTTAAGATGAGCACGCTTTAAGTATATTGCGGTTGTGAAAGAAGTTCTTTTTCTCTGTTATTATCATGGCAGGTGTTGATAGTTGAGAAAATAGAGAATATATGCAAAAGACAGGTGTTTCATAATGGTCATAAAAAATTAATAATACTTTTAGCTGCCACTGGAAAGAACAGATAAACCCAGGGATTACTCACCAGAACCTCAGATAATAATCGTATCAGAAAAAAATATTTTGCCCATTGTAGATTCACATATTTTCACAAACTTCACAGTAGGTGAATCATCAAAGAGATCAATTTTAAAAGAAGATTTTCAAAACAGCAGAATGTGGCATGAAGAGCTCCAAAGCAAAGCTTGCAGTATATGAAGCCATATTTAAGTTATTTTTAGAATCTAGATCTTTACATTAACTACAGGCATAAATTGCAACTCCGCTGAGTTCTTTTAATTATCTTTCAAAATATCTTACATTGCTCTTGGAATTTGTATTTTTCATGAACCCAAAAGCAAGGATGGTTCTGTCTCCAGGAAAAAGATAAGAATCAAACAAAAGGACAGGAAAAAAGGAAGAGACAAGTAATATAAAGACAACAGACTTGAATTCATGTCTATGACAAGAGTCAGGTTTTCAAGTATCAAAGAGAGTCTGATTCCAAGTCTTATTGCCTTATAAGTAAACATTGAGATAGATAATGTTTGCTTTCTGATAAAAAATTTCTTAGCCTCATGGCTGCCAATATTTGTCTGCATCCTAATTTTTTGTTAACTCAGTTCACAATGCCTGGTCAAAAGTGGAAGCTGCAAAAAAATCTATGCAAATCATATTTAAAACCAAAATACCATAATTCTCAGCATATAAGTCGAGTTTCTAGGTTCATAAAATATATGTAAAAAGTGCGCTGGTGACGGAATTATGATAAAATTTGCATTGTATTTATTAGTGCAACTTTCAAATACTTTTGCAAAAAAGATTTCTCTTTGAAAAAAGATATCCTTTGAACAACATTTGATATGACAGTATTAACTGCAGTTTTGATGTGACCCTGGTCAGTTAAAAGTCGAAATGCCAAAAAAATGAAGTAATGAGCATAATTTAAAATAAAGGTTATGGAATGAATAGAACTTGGTGCAGCAATATTTTTAATTAATATCCAGGTATTGTTAAAATGCATGTATTTTCAACCAAAAATTTCAAACACAACATTGACTAATATGTCAGGACAACTTATAAGTAAAGGAACACAGCAAATAACACTGAGTGTTATTTCCATTTCATTGAGGCATTGACACAACATATATCATTTGTTACTTGGAGTTATAGGGTATCACCAGTTGTGATTATGGCAAATTAGCAGGGGTGATTATAGGGTTCACTATTGTTGATTACATGGTGTATTATAAGTGGAGTTTATGAGTTAAGGCTGTCCAAACCTTCAGATATTCCTATTCCGTTATTCGTTTTAAAATTTAACGAATCTAAGGTTATTCGGCGAATATGGGTGTGGTAAAATGGGTGTGGCAGGGTGGTGGTAAAAAATTGCAATCTGAAAATTTAACACTCACAACAAAAGATTTTGTGAAAAGTTATATTATTTTGCAAAATAGTGGTAGGGTCATAGCCCCCCGGCCTCCCTTTCGGCGGAGGCCCTGTAGCACAAAAATTTCCCAAGGAAAAGCTCCATGACCCCCACCCGCAACCCACGCTCCACTCTCCCTGCCTCCTTCCAATCTTGCTTTATTGGCTTTGTAACTATTTCTTGGGTTTGCGACTTTTGAAGAAGGCCCGTATCCATGAAACTCTTTCTAAGATTGAAGATAGGAAGTTGCCTTTCTCCTTTACAACAATCCTTGCTATTCGACCAGTCTGTGCTATTCGGATATCAGTCACGGTTATTCGATCAGTCACGGCCATTGTGGACCTCCAATGGTGAGGTTATCCGCACTATTCGTCTCCAACCGAATAATCGTACTATTCGAACTATTCGTTTGCATCGAATAATCATACTATTCGAACTATTCGCTTGTAACCGAATAGTCGCTCTGGACTTCAGCTAACTGAATAGTGAAACAGGTAACCGAATACCGATTATTTGACCTTCGGGGGACAGGCCTATTATGAGTTATCATCAGTACTGTTTTTATGAGATATCACCAGTGGTGATCATGGAGAATCACCAGTGGCAATAATGGGGTTTTATCAGCAGAGGTTATGTAGTAGCGATTATGGAGTATCATCAGTGCTGATTATAGTATACCATCAGTAGTTTCTTTGGGGGTGTTGACCAGTAGATATTAGGGAAATCACCAGTGGTGATTATAAGGTATTATCAGTGATGATTATGGCATATCACCAGCAGTTTTCGGGGATATCACCAGTGGTAATTTTAGGATATTACCAGTAGTGATTATGGGATTTCACCAGTGGTGATTATGGGGAATTACCAGTGGCAATAATGGGGTATTATCAGCAGAGATTATGGAGTAGCACTAGTGGTGACTATAGAGTATCCTCAGTGCTGATTATGGCATACCATCAGTGGTTTCTTTGGAGGTGTTGACCAGTAGATATTAGGGAAATCACAAGTAGTGATTATGGGGAATCACTAGTGTAGGGTTTTATCAGTGGTGATAATGGCATATCATCAGCAGTTTTTGGGGATATCATCAGTGATAATGGCATATCATCAATGGTGATTATGGTGTATCACCAGTGGTAATTATGGGCTATCACCAAAGGGGATTTTGGGTTATCTCCAGTAGTGATAAGGGGATATCACCAGTAGTGATTATGGGGAATCACTAGTGTAGGGTTTTATCAGTGATGATTATGGCATATCATCAGCAGTTTTTGGGGATATCATCAGTGATAATGGCATATCACCAGTGGTAATTATGGGCTATCACCAAAGGGAATTTTGGGTTATCTCCAGTAGTGATAAGGGGATATCACCAGTGGTGGTTATAGAATATAAATATAGTTTTATTGGATATTATAATTGGTGGTGGTTTTTATTTTGGTCAATAGGCTTGGGCAGCATAGAGGAAGGTCCTAGCTTCCCACACATTATTTCAAGAGAGTGTAGGGGGAAGCAAAGATAAATTAAAATCATTATAAGGGTATTTCAAAATTTGAAACAAATTCTTACCATGGTATGTTTGTTTCAACAAATCCTTGTCAGCAGCCTCTTGGTCTGGAGTAATTTGAAAATCATCTTGGAAGACAATTCCTTTACTTCTTCTATTAACAGGGTGGCCTCTTCTTAGTTTTACAGCAGGCCTACTACTTTCTGGATCAAGAAGATTTTTGACAGGCTCATCTTCATCTTTCAGGTTATCAACACTCATACTAACAATTGTTTTTTACTCTGAAAAAAAAACAATGACAACAAATATATTATTATATTCTTTAAAATCAAATGCAGCCCGGGAGGAATGAATGACAAGGAAAGTCTAATGATTCAATTTGCAGTAGATATCTAATGCTAAAAAGTTATGGGAATGGTCAAATCTAACCATAGTCATTCCATATGAAATCTAAGAAGGTTGTAACCTACTATCTCAGAATTATCTGAATTTAATATCAATTGGTGGTATTATTGAAAAAAATCCTCCAAATTTGAAATCAATATCTTAAGCTGTTGTAAAGTTGTAACAATTCAAAATAATCATCAAATATGAGAATGGCCCACCCTAATTTTGCTCATAAAAAGATAATCCGTATTCAAAAGGCAGCTAAACAATTTCTATATATACTGTGACTTTGAAAATTTATGACATATACAAATTGATATTGAGGAATACAGAAATGGCATTAGAAACAACATGGCTTCAAAAATATTCTCCACTGTAAAATGACTAATAGACTGGCAACTTTGTTTCTTGCACAGAGAAGTTGATTTTGAAAATTTGCAACTGGCTGCCTGATATCACACACATTTAGAAATTTGTAGTGGTAATAATTGTAAAATGTTATCAAATAGTGACTCTACACTGCCAATATGCAGAAGTGCATGGATCCGGGTGACCCAGGGCTGAACTTTTCAACTATAGAACAAAATGTGTGTGACTCATTAGTCAGTAACTTAGCAATGTATTGTCTAACCTATGAAACTAATCACCAATTGGCTGGAGTAAAGTACAAATAAAAGATTGCCAAAAAACTTTACCTTATTTGCTTTCCAATTCCTTAACGCTACTTCTTTTTACAGTGGCAATTCAAAGGGTATGCATATACTCGTGTATTTTGGGATTGTATGTAATCAGTCACTAAGCGTTTTCAATATCTCAATATTCCCTTTGAATTCACCAGTATTGTGTCAAGCCTTATCGTTGCTAAATAAAATCAACAGAACTTTTTATAACGAATAACTTTTTTCATCTGTGCAAGGAGAATCCGAGAAAAAAGTAAGTTATAAAAGACTGAAAATCATCTAATAGGATCTGGTATTAAATTAAATCTATTCTACGTGTCAAACCTTTTTTTAACTGTAAAGAAACCGCTAAAAGTGTTGAATGATGATCGATACCAAGATGGAATCTGTTTAGGCCAGAATGTAATATTCTCCTAGAAAATATACGAGGATGGTGCTCCATATCAATTTAAAGTGAAATTCCGTTAAGAGTAAGGGCTTCTCTCAGAAATAGTTTTTACCTGTGAATATCAAATGGTCCATAACATCATTTTGTACTTTTTTGGCTGGAATGTTGGATTCTTCTTTGTCAACACCCTTGCCCTACTTGATTTCAAGAGTGCGGAGTAATGCGCCTCCCTAATGGCCGATCAAATCAAGTCAAAACATGAATCACTCAGCTGAGATGGAGCAGTGATCGTCTAAAGATAGACTTGACCGTGCCCTTCACAAGAGCATGGATACAGTGGCGTACCCAGGGCTTCAGCAGTGGGGGTGTCTGGGGCGTAGCCCCCAGAAATTGCTTTGGACCACGCCCTTCAAACACTCGCAAATTCGGGGAAACGCCCTTTTTGCAAATCTTCCCCCGTTATTTGATTCATTTTAGCTACGGTTAGCAAAGTATTTTACAATTGTTATTGACACAAGCAAGCATGGACCCCCCCTATTCCCCCCCTTGCATGGATAGGGGCTTCAATTGAAAGGAAATCTAAAACATAGCACACAAGCTACTTTACTAAATGCTACATGACAGAAGAGAAGAGTTTACTCCCCAAAGTTTACATAATAACCAATAAAAACATAAAAACACAAAGAGAACTGTTGATAATTTACAAAAGCTAACTTAACAGTGCAGCTGAAATTTTTAACAAGATGCGAAATGCGATAAGAAATTCAGAAATGAAGCCGAATTCTCATCAATATCTGAAGAATATTTTCTTACTGAAGCAAAAAAGAGACTTTTAGTTTAATTCATAAAGAGAAGAACCTAACTTTTAATTCCAATTTACATGTTATGGTATTTAAACTATTTTAATCTCTAATTTTACATCGTGTAGTATTTAACGACCAGATGAAGAGCCACCCTGTGGAGATACTGGTCATGATCCATTATTATTATTATTATTAACAGAATTTTTCACAGCATACTTAACGATAGTATGCAAATATTCAGTTGTTTGCAGTTAATACTGTCAAGCGACTACTGAAAGTGTTAACACAACTAAATTTAACGAAAGAATAATATTAGTAATTTAATTCAAGGATTCTGTTCATTGCCCTTTATTCAAAGAAATATTTGGGTAGTGGACAGAAAACAGCAGACCAAAGAAAATATATTTGTTTGAAGTTCTTTATAAGAGGAATACCAAACAATTCAGTTATTGAAAGTTTAAATTATCAAGGGTCCAATTTCTGATGATTTCATGGTATGTGATACTGTATTCTGATACTATCAGCAAATTGCAGGCATGTTAACACCGAGTTCTGAATGCAACATTTGACATAATCATCCTAACGTGATCAGAAGCTTGTTGATCCTAACATTATCAGAGGAATAGTGACAATCAAGTGTAAGTTGCTAATTTCAGAGACAATTTGTGACTTTATTCTTCTGTATCATATTTCAAAAATATATACAGCACAAGGTAAATTGAGCACTTGTTAAGAAATGCTTGACAGCACATTAATTAGATAATTTGGTTTAAAATCAGGGTTCTATTTAGTTGAAATGGAAGAAAAGCCACCCAGACAAAAAAACACTTTCAAGAATAATCCCAGTTTGCCTCACCAATAAAAAAACTCAATTTCCACGAATGAATTTACCTAAATTCAAAAAACTCCAAAAAATCTGAATCATGTATGAATCATGTTTATTGAAATTGCAATTTAACATTATCTACCAAAAATGCTTAAAGGTAATGTCAAAGATTTATGCTCTGCCATTTAATAAAATACATTCTTGTCAAAAAGTATCTGCTCTCCACTCATTAGTTTTGGAGTAGTAGGGGAGTTCTCCTTTAAGAAACTCTAGCATCTGCAAACTAGACAGGACTTTGTCATATATATTCTATTACTTATTTTCTTATAATAGATTAATCATTCATAAATATTTTACTTGTAGTTAAATTTGCATGGATGTTAAGCTTCAAATAAACAATGAAATGAAACTATATTCAAAATCTAAGCCTCATATAAACAGCAATTGACATTTAGTATGCCAGAAAAAGGATGATTCATTTGCTTGATTAAATACCAGAATCATTACCTGGAAAACTATGTCATTTTCCTATCATCTCTCAAATCGAACAGCTATTTGCAATGACTCAAACATATAACATATTACTCTAACAAGAAGAGAACATTATCAAACAGCAAGGTTTTATGAAAAACTTTCCTCAAGGCAATATTCATCATGTTAACAGCGATAAAACATTTGACTCCACATTAACTAGTTTCTTTACAGCTAGCATTTTTTCAGCAAAAGGACTTATTCATAAGAGTCTGTCAGCCGTTCAGAAGTAGAAGGAAGTAAATCAGGCACATTTTTAATCTTAAAGTCAAGAAGCATTTGTCCAAAGCCTTTTCCTTGAGGATCACTTCTCAAAGAGGCAATGCCACCCCCTCCAAGTGAATCCTTCAAAACAAAGTTCAATGCACTGATTCCAGGCAGCTCATAGCGTTGCACCTTTACTTTTTGGTTTTGATTTTCAAATACATGAGAAAAGTATGCTTCTACAGTCTCCTCAGTTAGTGCTTCTTTAATGAAAGGGTAGAATCCTGGATTTTTGCAAACAATGCCAATGTTTGCATCATTACCTTTGTCACCACTTCTTGTATATGCAAGGGCACCCAAAGGAAAGGTACATGATCCTTTATTAAGGTTCTTCAAAAATGGATGCTGTTGAGATTTTCCAGAAAACCTGTCTTTATGGTCTACTTTGTCGTCAGAGATTGCCCCAGAAAGATCAACTTCCGGCTGCTTGAATTTCTCAACAAATTCACCATTCATATAAATATCAATATCAACTTTTTCTCTTGGATAGAAGTATGAAAACAATTTCAGAACTGGAGAGACTTTGGGACGTCCACCAATAAGATGTGTTAGACCTGGTGCCATTCCAGTACCAGCTGGTGCAATCTCTCTTGCAAAAATCTCAAGGGCTTCCTTCTTGGTGTGTTGGACTGCCATCCATAGCACAACTTCCCTTGTATTTGTATTGACTGCATATGGGCCATAAGAGTGTTCTGAGCCTAAAAATTCTAAATTTGTTTTTGAAAAGTCTGGTAATCCCAATACAGAAAACATGGTTCTGCATCTTTTTAAGATACTCTCTGCAACCCTTTCAGCCTTTTGAGCTGCATGAGGGCCCACAACAGGGCAAACTGCAGTAGCTCTGAATCCATCCAAGTAGGTACCACTCACTTTCAATGTGTTTGGTGGTGGTTTACCTTTGGCATTTGAAGCAATTACTGCATTGCAGTCATTTGAATCTAACACAGATTTTAAATTCACTTGAGAGAAATCACATGTAACATCAGGCAAAAAATAGTTCTGTGGATCCCCAATCTCATAGACTAGCTGTTCTCCTACTGTGCCTTTTGTAACAAGACCACCAGTTCCTTGTGGCTTTGTTACCATGAAGACGCCGTCAGCAGCACATTCTACAATTGGAAACCCAATGTTGTGCCAGTCTGGTACCATTTCCCAACCAGAAAATATACCCCCTGTCACTTGTGCACCACACTCTATCAAATGTCCTGCCAAACTCCCTGCTGCAAGAAGGTCATAATCATCAGGCTTCCATTTGAAAGTGTGGAGAAGAGGGGCAAGAGCCAATGCACTGTCCACACAGCGACCTGTTACAACAATATCTGCTCCAAGGTCAAGTGCACGTGAAATTGGCCAGCTACCTAAATAGGCATTCATGCTTGTAATGAACTTGGCATTTTGGGCAACCTCACCTAAAACATCTGGACCCATTTCACCAGACAAAAGGTTCTTTAAATTAGGCATAAGGTCATCTCCTGTTACTACAGCTATGTTCATATCAACACCAGCTTTCTCGCATTGTTTCTTCAGAGCCATCGCACAAGCATTTGGGTTCACTCCACCAGCATTACTCAACACTCTTATTCCTTTCTTCTTGATGTCTTTCAAAAGTGGCCCAATTGCAACATTCACAAAATCTGGTGCATACCCCATATCTGGAACTTTCTTCTTCATTGCAGTTAAAAGAGACATTGTTATCTCTGATAGATAATCAAACATCAAAAAGTCTAGCTTCCCAGAATGCACCAACTGGGGGGCAGCCACTGCAGTATCACCCCAGAAACCTGAAGCACAGCCAATGCGAACAGTCTTGCCATTAAGTTTCAACTTTGAACTGGAGTTATCTGCTACATCCATTCCTCTTAATCCATCTGAATGTGTTGAAAAACTTTTGTTTCCTTGCACTGTCGTTGACAATTGCTGACGACATACACCAAAAAGCATCCCGCAGTTTTGTAGGCTCTTAGGCCCAAAGCCACGTGTAAAGAAACGGGAACCTGCGACTGTCAAAGACATCTCTAGTTGTAGAACTTCTTAGACTAGAAGTCTTTGTTTACAAATGAATTTAAAAACAATCCTTGCTCCCTCGATTTATGCCCTGCATTCACAGATCCTGACGCAAACCGACACACTGAAAGGCAAGGTTATAATTTGTTGTTTCAAAGCGAGGCTCTTGTCTTCTTTTCAGAAGCATATTTTCTTTTCTTTTCTGTATAAAGGGAGGGGCAAGGGGCAAACGACAAGGTACTAAAAGGCACTGTTTACTTGGCGAAAATCTAGACCAAACTGTTCTAAAGTATAAGCATTTCGGAAATAAAAAGCTAACCCTTCTTCAAAGAAAAAATATTATTATTTTGAATTATGAGCAGCTTCTGGGAAAATCAAATTTTGGCGCCTATGCTATCGTGGCCTTTGACCCTCTTAACAAACCATGAAGAAACACTAAGTACTAAAATCAACAAACAATGAAGAAACTTTGTACTAATCCCGAGCTTGGTATTGTATAGAATATTCATGTTTTTGACTACTAGGGTTTTGGAAAGACATCAATGCCGTAGATATTTTTGAATGGGGGCTTATTCGAGGGGGGGAGGGGCTTATAGAATCATTGTCCACATTTAGAAGATATTATTAAAAGACATCGTTTATTTTAGTAGAAATTTCTTTATGAGCATTTAATCAATTACTACCAAAAGTATGAATTTGTTGTGGTAATTCAATAAAACGCCATAGGCGACCTCAGATGGCAAAAATCATCAGGGATCCAATTTGAGAATTCTCGGTAGCAGTGGGGGCTTATTCGAGGGGGGGGGCTTATGACAATTTTTAGTTCTAGGGTGGGGGCTTATTCGAGGCGGGGGGCCAATTCGAGGATTTACGGTAAATCATACAACACCTTCTCTAAAATGAGGAGGATAGAGCCATCTTCGGTTTGGGATCCATTCAGAACTAATGGGTCTTTACATTTGTGAGATATTCATAGAATTTGAACTGCCATAAACATAGACAGAGAACAAAGACTGAGAACAGTTCAATGTTCGCATGAAAAGCAAATAATTTCACAAACAGACCTTGGAAGGTAGAACTTTCTTTTAAGCGGTGAACTGGTGCGCCACTTTTTAAATGACTAGGGAGCCATTCGTTTAACGATTCAGAAACTAGTCCTTCAACACTTCAAACATTGGTGACCATTTTTGCCTGCATGTGGACCCAGAATTAGCAAGATCCATTTCCTGTTAATTTTCCTGATGTCAGAACAACAATTTCAGAGAAATAATGGCAATATTCCAGCGAAATATTTGCCAAACACACCAAATCAAGAATGGATTATTTACAATATAAAATTAATAAAAACTACAGCCAATTCCCAGGTGTCATTACTCCGATAAGCACCGATTTACACAAAATTTTACAAATACTAAAAAAGCATAAAAATCAAATATAATACTTTTAATTTACACGTTTATCTGTATCCCTGTCACTTCTAGTAGCCATTGCATAATAACTTCTGGATCCTGTTTACACTTTTTAAATATTTTTCTAGGAAGCTATCTATCTAGCTTTAATAAGCGTATCAAGAAATGAATTTGTCAATATAAGACTTGTTTGAAAATTACCAAGGGCGAACTCAGAAAACAGTAATTGAACAAAATTTATTGGGAATAATGGAAATAAAGTTATTGCAGACTGATCAAGGACTGAAAGGTGTAGAGAAATGTGAAGCCATTGAGGTAAGTATGACGTAATGTCAGATACAAAACCACAAACAATTTTTATTAGTGAATTGTTTGTGAGGTTTGTTTATAAAATTGCTTGTTAATAATCTGAAAGTTACAAGAAAATGTGAATCTGGCCTAGGTAACAGGATAGCAAAAGTTATTACCAGGTTAAAGAGAAATCCCAGATATTGAAGATCTATTTGATGCATAATTGCATAAACTGAAGTTAGAATGGAAATAACGAGAGTCTAAAACTGCGAAATACGGAAGCTACTCTGGTTAAACTATGATCAATAGTTGAGCATCGATATTTCATCTATATCAAAACACAACTTACAGTTATTAATTGAACCTCAAAGTTTTCCATGTGGTTGAAAAAGAAAAAGTCAATATCTGTAACGCATGATGTTTGGGGTAAACAATAAGATGTTATTAAAGGTAACAAGCAATTAGACCCATCTTCTAGATAAGAATCTTCTTTAAGCTGTTAATGATAGGTAAAAAGCACAAAGTTCTTATAATGATACTCTATAGCGTCCATTAATTTTCTCACAACTATCTGAATCTCTAGAAATCATGCTAGGATCCGGGAAACGGATGCCAAAGTAAGGGTTCTGTTCTTACTTGTGTAGCAGACATTCATTTAGATTTTATAGCAGGCAAATCAACAAAAAAATTGAAATCTCCAGTTTTGTTTGAAGAAGCCCTGCTCAGTCGTCGAGCAATCTCATCGGACGGTAATTTATGTACGGTCGTAAATAGTGCTGCTTGTTCAACTCGTTTAGCAATTCATCCTCACCAGGCTCTCGCATGTCGTTCCGGAACATCTGATGAACACGGAAGTGGCGTGTCGTCTACGGGTAAAATATGAAAGATTTAACCTTCAATAGATTTATAATTTCAAAGTAAACAATATACACAATCATCAAGCTAACCATTTAAGAAGATAATGAGTTTCATAAACATTAAACATTGTCAGAAATACAAAACGGAGGTAACATCCAACAGGTTCAGGAAAAAGACATATAGAATACGAAAATCTCTTCCTAATGAATCTGCCTTTCAATAGAAATACCTGTGAGGGCGGAAAAGCAGAACGCTTTAAGAACACATACAATTGAATAAAAAGCGTAAAGAAATTCTTAAGTGAAATTGTAGGGAACTAAAATCATGAGCAGACAACGTTTGGATTTGAACCCCCTCCCTTCGAATGCAAGAATTTATAACTCTTCCAAGAAAACAAATAGCCCCAAATTTGAGCAAAAAAACAACTAAGCTCTGTTTAAACTAACAGTGCTTTCGAAAATTTTATTTCTTAAACCTAACTGGAAGTTATTATTTTTCATCAAACGTTTCTTAGAAGCTTGAAAATACCTCTTCGTTCGTTGCAAATTTTCTTCTCGTTTTTCTTCTTAAATTTTCTTGATTTTTCTCCAGTTGTGTAAAAAAAGCCTTAAAAAGTGAAAAGAAAAAGATCAGTAAATTTATCAAATACAGAAATGGAAACATTTGAGAAAGTATAAAGGAAATTTTACTGACATCATACAATTAAAAATACGCCGGAAATAGTTCAGAAATAGAAATAATTCGGTTTGACAAAAGAAATATGTGCAAGCTATCATAGTCTACGTCATTATGTATATCGAATTGAACAAACCTCAAGGACGAGAGCAATGAGTAGATTTGCACATAACACGACAGAGACAAACCACCAGATAATAAAGTAGGCCTGAGACCAACTAAAAAGGAACAACATGTTTACACTATTAAGGTTGATTCTACAAAAAAACAAATACCATGACAGGAACATCACAATCGGACCTTGGAACCAACGTTTGGGAAAAACCCTTTTCAGAAGTGGCCTATTAGGACATTTTGGAAAAGTGCGCCATTTTCTCAGACCTCGTGTCACTTCCGATGTCCCTGCTTGCTGCTATGTACGGAAATATTAGTAAAGAGAAACCTTTCTTCATAATTTTTCCTTTTAAATAGAAATCTCAGTCTATCAGGAAACGATTTCATATGGGAGATTTTTCCGTGGCAAGAAAGGGCCCATGTAGTGTTTAAGTTCCTGGCAAGCCCGAAAAAAATCTTGTGCATGTTAATAAGGACAATGATTCTCCAGATACTACATGCACGAATTGTATGTTCAATTTTCGCAATGACTTTCATTTCTTACAACAGCTGTATCATTTATGTCAAACAGTTTTCTTTTTATTTTATGTCTGTGAAGAAAACACGGCTGTTGAATCTAACTGATAAAGTGGTATCGATACTTTGTTGTTCAGTTGAACGCAACCTCAACAGTCACGTGCTCGCATTTCTAATTGGCCTATTTCGATCCACGACTGTGTATATATATTTCCTAGCATAGGCACCGTCGGTCCACCTTCAGAGTTAACAAGAGGCTTTGCAGCGCGTTTATGATGGAGAAACATTGCGAATAAACCAATTCGACTTACGGCCTCATTTTGACAAATTCTTCAAATTCTTTTGTAAAAAAAATTTTCGACCACTGATTCGAATTGAGAACAATGATTTTAATCTACTTGGAAGTTTTCATTATGGTATTGCTCACGATATTGATTTAATGACAACATAAAGATAGAAATTTTACAAGGGATTTGACCGTGATTGGCGACTAGGGGGGTAAAGTTTCCCCCCGAAACGATTTTTGCGGTCAAATCCCTTACAAGTTTTCAAACTTCATTTCTCCGTAAAATCTAAAATACAAGCTCAAGCAATATGAAAAATTGTATTCGCCCTAAAATTATGGCGATAAAACCAGATCTGAGCTTAAAAAAGTCGTATAATTAAGTTTGGAGAAATTTCCAAAACGAGGTCGTAAGTCGAATTGGTGTATTAGCTATACATTGCCGACTGGATACCTAACAATCGGTATTTTGAATAGTCCAACCAATTGAAAATTTAAATGGCCAGGGAAATGCGTCGGGACACAGTGTCTTTAAAGGGGCTGTGTCACACAGGACATCCCGCGTGGCAACCGCCAGTTGAATGACAGTTCTTTGGGTGAAACGTCAAGCGCTGAATACGAAAATGAATTTGAAATAAAACAGTATTTCATATTCGGGCTCATCGTTTGAAGCTTTTGCATTGTTGTATGTTTTATGAAAAGAAGCGAACAACAAAAGCTTTTTCAGTTTTATCAGCATATTTCTTTCGATAAAGTATGGATTTGCAAAGGATACAACAAGCTAGGATACAACCAATCACAGTGAGCATCAAGCAAAAATGGACAGAAATCACACCAAAAAGCTTAACTTGCTGATGTAAATCATGAGCGAAAGCGTTCTTTAAAATCTGTAGCCCAGTTTTGGAGTAATCTTTACGTTTCAAGGTTTCTAGTTCCATTAACCAAGAGAAAAGACTAATTTTCGACTTCTATTGAATGACTCTTCATTTCCTTAGCCTAGAATTATTGCCATTCACATTTGGTATCGAAAATCGATACAAAAGCAAAGTTATTGTAATTTCCTTTTCTTCTTTCATTTAATACACTTAAAAATATAATTTATCGCGTTTATTGAGGCGTCAGAACACCATCCCGTGTTTTTGGTTTGTTTACAAAACCGTGACACAGCCCCTTCAAAATCAGTCAATCTACTACTGGATCACTCAGTATACATTATAATTGTGTTCTTACTACAACATTTCTTCCGAAAGAAAAAGATGCAAGTATATACCCAGTTGTGGATCGAAATAGGCCAAGAAAAAACCCGAGCACTGGAGTCCTATAGGAAAATCACCACTGGAGTCCAAGAGCAAAAAAGAACTCCTTTGCTACACCATAGCGGCTTTTTCGTGCTTATGTTGATCGATTCCAAAACTGCTATATGGAAGGACAAACGGGCTCTGCCAATTATCTAAAACATGTCGTCACTATAGACTTTGGCACAATCAGTGTTATCTAAAAGATGTTGTCCAATGGCAGAATCACTTTTTTCACGGTGTTTCTACACCTAAAAGATCTAGGGGCAGTTTTTAACGCTTTCAGTATGCTGTAAAATGTAACTCTGTTGATTGCAGTGATTTGACTGATTGGCTGGAGTGATAGATGGAAGTGATTGATTGGTCAATAGAATTCTTACTACCACTATGAATATGTTCTAAAGAGAAACGTTATCGTTGTAGAAACATTTGTCCGTGCATTTGGGGATTCTAAAGTGAATCAGAACATCTTAAAAGAAATAGAAACAAAAATGAACGAGAGAAAGCTATACACAATCCAAAAAGCTTCAAATGCATGCGAGTACTCACGGAGTTGATGTTGTTTTCTTGTAGGCGTTGAGGAAGATATACCAGTTATTAACTACCATCACATCCCAAAGTACCACTAACGCAGCCTATGGAAAAATGATCAGACCTCAAGAACATGTACATTGATAATGCAGCTGTTTCCGAAGGATGTGAAACTTTCATGCAAAGGCCGAATGGCCAGAAACACTATGCAAAAATTGCATCAACGCGTGGAGTCATCTTAAGAAAGGGTCTTCTACAAATAGATCGTGTCATAAAAAAAACCAAATTTTGTCTACTTATGTTGTCAATAGATTTCAACATCTTATTGCGGGAAAAACGAAATACATCACATAGGTATATCTTAACAGCAGTTCATGGATATATTCAAGACTAACTGAGAACAAGCCAAATATGACTTTGATCTACAATAAAAACACTTCAACAGACAAATCTATAACAAAAATATACTTTAAGAGGCCTAACTATACTTACACCAAAGTCGTCGAAATTGTTTGAGTAGTAGTTAAGCTGCTCGTATGTACCACATGTGTAATTTCTGAAAAGCGATATATACAGTGACGTCATTCATATAACATTGTATATCAGGCAAAAATAATTGCGTATTGTTTATCCATGCAGGATAAGCTGTCGATTGTAAAATAGATAACGAGAGCGATAAGGGAATCTGGTATCTTTGGCGACATGTTGTCAGAGTTCCGAAGAAGTATAGAGGTTTGAAGCAGCAATTCCATGAAGATTTTTAGAATAATAAAAGCTAAGAAGCTGAGCTCTTTAGAATTGCAACAAACGGAATAAATACGAGTATGACTAAGTGTAGCTTTTTTCAAAATTTTACTCTGAAAATTTTACTTGTTGAGAACAGTGAAAGGAAACAAAATTTTTTCATAAATGTTACCGTGGGGGAGAATCTGGCTTTGGGCTATTGCCTTGAAATAGCATCATTCCAAATATGGCAAAAACATAATAAATTACCTAGGATAAAAAATATGCATCAATATTGGAAAGATTGAAAGGACATAATTAACATAAAATAAATTAAAGTTTGACTTTTTTATGAAAGCTCTGGAGGATACTTCCCACAGAATATACTCCCCTTATTTCATTACTGGCAGAAAATTCTATGAGTTATTAATGCTGCTAAAATCAAACACAAAAACATTCATAAGGAACTAATATTACTTTATCACAACGTATAATTCAAAGTCCATCTTCATTTATTTCTATCAAATTGTTTAGAAAACAGCTGAAGACTTACAACTATTACTCCTCCAAATGGTCTCATATTTTTCACTAAGTCCGATAACGTTCCAGCAACAAGAGATAGAGGCTATAAAGGAAAATATTTCATAAAGAGGCTATGAAGATATATTTGAGAAAGATTACATGAAGTGGCCTAAATTGAAAATTTAACGGAGAAAGCACCCGCGGAAACAATTTATATAGTTAATATATTGAGGAATATGGTCAGGTTTTGAACACCAGGGAAATTTAGGTACCCATTGCGGTTTTACAAATATGTGCTTAAACGTTAAAAGTTTTGAAAAAGGGGTAGTAAAAATTGTTCTCCCAAATGGGGTACCTTGCGCACCTAGGCTTATCTGGAAACTTTACAATAAGGAATACCTGTGGTGGTGTCTGGTAAGAGGTTTGACATGACTATGACGTCAAAGTGATGCAAGAAATTATTAACAGTTTTATATCATAAACTGATGGTAAGAGAATATCAATGTCCACGACGCTTCTTTACATATGGCGGTAATTAGCACACTACCAGTCTCTATTAGCAAGCCAACTTTAGATGCATTTATTCCAAGTAGCTAGGATACTATCTGAAAACAACACAACAACAAACTAAGCATATCAAGAATGGAGAACAAAAAATTTACCTTGATACTTGGAATGATTCGAAAAAGTCTAACGATAATCAACATATTTGTAATCCTTAAAAGATTCCATGCTGAAAAAAATCCGTATTCTTCGCTTTTCTTACGAATATCTATATACCTGACAAAGAAGGAAGAAGCAATTAAGACCAAAATAGAATCTGTTATAAAGAAAATTATTATGTGGCCTAAAATTCCGTTTATCATGAGATGCTGTGGCTAAAGGATTGACTGCAATGCTATAAATTGGTGCTCAAAAATGTTTAAAATGCTGCAAATAGAAAACCGACTGCAACACAGAAAAGGCCACGAGACAGTGAAGAAAAGAACCATAAGATCGGCATTACAAGGCAGGGGGGGCTATATCCTTTCCTTGTTCCTTTACCCACCTATTGACATTGGGTTCCCATTTGTTGCAGGATGAATAGAGTGCAGGCCTTGCATTAGCCCGAACACATAACCCTGTGCATGGTAGTCAAAGGCTCTTACCCCTTGGTCACTTTAACCCTTCCCTCAAACAGTAACACCATGGGGACTTTATACCCGCTGTTGTTGCACTGGGTTGTAGCTCTTTACTGAGAAAGGGTGAACACTTCCTACACAAGAATCACTTTTGAGTTTAACAGTCTCCTTCAACCAAACGCCTTTCCGGAAGATCAATTATGAACTATTGATCGCAACTATTATATTTCATAGTCTAGATACGTCTGATTTATATTTACCCAGAACCAAGCTGCTTTCCGTAAAACCCCAAATAGACACCCTCGACGACCTGAAAAAATTGGAAATATATCGCAGGTATAGAAATATATTACAAGAATATAAATATATCAGATAACATATAAGGGCGCAAAACATGAAGCCATTTGACTAAATTAAACTAGGTAAACACAAGTTTTTATGTATACAAACTGTAAAAGTATAATCGTTTCGATTTATCTCCTAGATGATCTCCTTGCCTGTATTTGCTGAAAACCTTTGGGAGTAAAGGGGTCTTAACAAGAGAAAAACAAATTGAACGGGAAATATATCCAGGTACAGGTCGGAAGTAACGTAACGTAACGTTCGGAAGTAGCGTAAAAGGAACAATGGCGTTCGATTTGATTCATTTTTATGACCGATCAGTGATATCTAGCTCCTCGCATAGTTGAAGAGTCCAAAGAATGAAGAGACTAAACGCACGCTCCCTGTCTGCAAAAACTTAATTACAAATGCTATGATTCTGCTAATTCGCGCTTTCGGAATTAAAATTGGAAGAAATTAAAGGCAATCTTTCACGACATTGATTGATTATAAGAACAAAGGGATTTTTTATTGTTTCCAGTCCCACTTTAATTTATCGCATTGTAAAAAATATGGCGGAGCGCTGGAATTGTGCTTAGGCTATTGTTCTAGCTATTGTTCTCGTTAACCAATCCACAACGGGACAGATTGCCTTTAAGCCGCAAATTTAAGAAATGTCAGGTCCTATACGAGGGTCACTCCAAAATTATTGAGATATTCAAAAACCGCAAGAGGCATCGTGTTCAAATTTTCACAGTTTCTCAAAATACTCTCCACTGGCTTCCACACAAAGTCTCATACGATAAAACCACATATCAAAGCAATGGGCCCATTGTTCCGCGGCCAGGTCAGAAACAGCCTCGTTGAAGGCACTAACTGCATCATCAGCGCTATCAAACTTGGTTCCGCGAATTTTTTCTTTCACCGCTGGAAAGAGAAAGAAGTCACAAGGTGCCAAATCAGGTGAATAAGGCGGGTGGGTCATCAACTGAACTGAATTTTCGGACAGAAAGTCGATGGTCAAAGCAGCTGTGTGAGCGGAAGCGTTGTCATGGTGCCAAAGTAGACCTCTTAAGCCGGTCCTTGGACGTTTATTTCGCCAAACTTCTAGAACATGTGGTATACAGTGGTTAACTTACCAATCCGCGTTCACTGTACGACGGTCTTCAACTTGAATGGTTGCGACATGACCCGTCTTTGAGAAAAATGACGCAACCATCCTTTTGCCGACGCTTCTGGATCGCCGAAATTTTTGCGGCGGGTTTTCACCTGGAAAGATCCAAATTGAGGATTGGCGCTTTGTCTCCGGGTCAAATTGGTAAACCCAACTTTCATCGCCTGTCACAATGTCATAAACCCGTTTCGACTTCCCTTCATTAAATTTTTGCAGCATAAACTGGCACCAATTGACGCGCTGCTCCTTTTGCTCATCTGACAAGCAATGTGGCACCCAGCGGGCAGCCACTTTCCGAACTTGCAAGTTTTCATGCAAAATTGTGTGCAATGCTGCTGATCCAATCTTTACGCTATCCTGCATCATAGAATAAGTTATCCGACCATCTTGCCTTAGCATCTTCTCCACAGCGGCAACTGTTTCTGGCACAACAGCAGTTGGGGGCCTCCCTGGGTGGGTCTCATCTTTAAGGCTCTCCCTCCCTCTCTTAAATTCGGCAAACCATCGAAAAACTGTTGCCCTTGAAGGTGCATTATCTCCAAATGTCTGCAGAAGTTGAGCTAGGCATTCTTCTTGTTTAAGCCCCCTTTTAAAATCATAATAAATCATTGCGCGAAAATCACGTCTTTCAAGCTCCATTTTTAATAAATAAGAACATCTAAGGTGCTGAAATTCAAAACCCTTTTCTATTTTTTTCTCGCGCTTGAAATTAACAAACATTACAAAACATGGGTGAAATAGATGGTAGAAGCCACCAAAAAAATTTCAAACTGATATCTCAAGCGGTTACTGAATATCTCTATAATTTTGGAAGAGTATAAAACATGTCATTGAAGTTTTCATATTCAATCATAATCAGAGAAAGAATGAAATCTACGACGTAAAGTGACTCTTACCACTAACAGCAAAGTAACCATAAATTCAAACAGAATATGCTAAAATATTAAAAATAATGTGAAAACATCAGTTTACCGCGGCTTACAAAACTGCACGGTTACATGCGCATTTCATCCCGGGATGGAATTGCAGTCCGGGTTCAGCAAAACGGGAGAATTCTATATAAACTAGTGCAAATAAAACAATATATATTGTGAGAACATGGGTTAAAACTCAACCTAAGGTGAGGTCCACCCGGGTTAACTATTATCATGAAAAAATCCGCTAAAATTGTTTCCCTGATACCTATAACTAAAGAAAATGAGCGGTGCCAAAATTAGCTAGAGATACTTAATTAAAAGAATATGGCAAAGTTAAAACTGAAAGACTTGCGAAAAAAGAAATATTTTAATAATATATCATATCATATTTATACAGGCTAACATCGGTCAGCAACAACGTGCTGTTATCAATAAAGAACCTGTCTGAAATAAACATGGATTACCGAAATAAAAATTATATACATGATCAAAATGAAATCTTAAAAGTCAAAGTTAAAATTTTCACAAAAAGTCTTAAATCTTAAAATTAAAGTTTCACACTTCATTTCGTCTGTTAGTTTATTAAAAATCTTTGCTCCTTGAAAGTAAAAGACCTTCTTGCCAGCTTCTGATTGTACTTTGGGCAAAACAATATTTTTTGCATTGGCACGAGTACACTGCCTGTGTTTTACTCTAGTGAAGTAGTTTAAAATATGCCACATAAAGAATAATATGATATTATGATATCTTGATCATTTGAATTGAATCTATTTCAGATTAATAACCACTTCTACATAATATCTGTTTATGCTAACTTTTGATTGTCTATTTTTTCGATAAATTGAACAAATGTTCTATTTTTTGTGAGTTCAAAATTATTTGGCAATGATTATATGTTGTTTCCAAAATTCAACCAGTTTATTGCAATAATCTTGGACGCAAGAAATCAATAAAAAAATATTTTATCAAATATATATAAATACCTTGTGGGAAAAGTATCGTTTTCTTCCGATGAAATATATTAGTAGAACCTGAAAGGTAGATATTGAAAGTCAGAATAAGGATGACGATTAAAAAGAACACAAACTAGCAGGTTAACATACATAAAGAAAGGTTTTAAGGATTATGCCAATTTATTTTAATTTCGATAATGCAGTATATATACTGAGTAGGATAGTGCTGGGGACAGATAATTCAATGGAAAAGAAGAAACTACGAAAATATTTTAACCATGAAAACAATTACATCCAAAATTTACCAGGTTTTGAAAATAAAATATTGTCATTCATGAGCAACCACGTATAAGAAAAAACGCAACTTTTGCTTTAAAATATCAATAATTTTTTTTTGAATATGGTAAATTTTTGCCTGCAGTATGGTTATTCTTCAAAAAGGACCGTCGATTTATATAAAATCTACGGGGAAAGACCAACAGAAATTGCAGGAAACGCTCACTATGACCACTGTGAACAGAAACTTTTCAAACATTTTTAGAGAAAGTTTTCTATAAAATTTTACTGCAAATGGAGACAAAAGATAAAAAAGTAAGTTTTTAAAACATTACCTGTTCTACGGCGTAGTATATGATAAAACAAAGATTGAATTTCTAGAAATAAAGAAGAAGCAATTTTACTTGCGCTGTTAAAACTTTCACTTTCTCATTTTAGATTATTAAACAAGAAATTTCGTCGATTTACAGCACTTTTGACTGTCAAGAGTTCTAGTTCGAAAATAGTTAACAACTTACAACTAATGAGGCTCCTGTTTCTGGGTTGCTTTTTCCCTGGACCAGCTCAATCTACGGAAAATCATTGATTGATAAAAGAATAAAAACACAACTGCTCTTTCCGAGCTTCATAGACAATGAATAAGCTTCCTTTTTGATGTTAAGAGATAAATCAATATGAAGTTACTCCCAATAAAAGGAGGCATTGGTTCTCCTGTTGCATTTTTCTTTCTTTAAAAAGGAATACCGTAAATCCTCGAATAAGCCCCCGGGGGCTTATTTGCAAAAATGAATTCTCGGGTGGAGGCTTATTCGAGGGGGGGGCTTACTCGAGCGGGGGGGGCTTACTCGAGGGGGGGGGCTTATTTCAAAGTATTTTCCTCAAAGGTCGACATAAAAACGACATCATTTTTTCTAACAAATCTAACAAAGAACTAACAAATATTATAATTCCTTCAGTCAAAGGAAGAAATACTATATAGGTGTTGTCCTGTGGGGGTTACCGTGCTTAAAGAAATTAAAATGAAATGAAATGAATGGGGCTTTCTTGAAATAAAATACTATTCTGCAATTATGCAATTATTCAATGGGGCTTATTTGCAAAAATGATTTTTTAGATGGGGGCTTATTCGAGGGGGGCGCTTATTCGAGTGTGGGGGCTTACGGTTATTAGAGGTTTACGGTATTTGATATGTACTGTTTGCAAGCAAATAAACAGTATAAAGGTGGAAAATAAAAGTTGCCAAACTTGGTATCACCTTGTAATTTTTCAGATGAGTGTTACCATTAAATTACTTATGAATAGTCCAATTGAACTTACGGAGTTGTTTTTTTGAAATTATTTCCCAATAAATTGAACAATATTTTTGTCCTTATATCAACGACACCCTTAGTACGAAGCTGTAGATAAAGTGTGGGAACTTGACCGGAGAATCGTTTCGGATAACACATTCCACCGTCAGTCACAAATTAGGGTCAAATGCCTAAATCTTTTTACTTTACGTCCTCATTAGATATCACAACCACTAAGAAAATGGAAACTTGCATGCTGACTAGAATTCTGGTCCTCGATCTCAAGTGAAAATAAACGCAAAGAAGTTTAAAGTATTTCCATTACGATTCCGTAAAGCGAATCTGTGTATTCATACTGAAAAGTCTTAAATATTCTAATCAACATGTAAAAACATAGTGAGATAGCCAAAATGTGTCAAAACTCACAGTGATGACGAATGCGTTAAAAAATGCCATCAGATCTCCAAAATATTGAAAATAGGAATGCTTGATTATCTTTTGAAGTCTTTTCAACAGCCCGTTTTCAAATGATCGTACAGGAGGCCGCTAAAAGAAAACCATGAATCTTGTTAAAAGTCATGTGCTACTTCCAACAGAACTCCAATCACTGCCAAAAATCTTGGAACACTAACGTAAGTTTTCAAAGGCAAATTCAGCCATCCCCCTCTCCCCCTTAGGAACAATGTTGATTTACTATAGAAAAAAGAAAGGGGTTATGGAGTACGCTTTTTTTTGTGGATTGTTGTTTTGGGGGGAAAGGGGGACGGAAGTGGTAGTATTCAAGAAAACGAATGAAAAATAGAAAAGCATAGCGCAAAGTGTTAGGTGTTCCAAGTAATTTTGGCAGTGATTGACCCTAACAATATTTGCTACGACGCCTTTTCAAACGACCCTGGCCAACGTAAAAGCTTTATAGAACAAAGGATCAACAAGTATTTCATTATCACTCTATTTGCAAAACTTTATCATCATGCAACGTAACCTCCTTAAGAAATTCCCCTGCATACAAATATCAATTTTCTGTATTCATTTAAAGCAATTTTCTCTTTTTCATCTTTTGTATTCTTGTTATTTAATCTTAATCACTTGTTACATATTGAATGATGTTTGTATGTATTGGAATTTTAAAATTAAATTAAATAAAATGAATTGAAAATAACACTTTTGAAGGATCGTCAGAGCTTTCGTAGATGCAAAAGCTTTTATAAAGGCATTTATTCTTTAATTCACACACTGGCTGGCACAATGGCTTGATTTTGATTCAGTCAGTTGGCAAATATCTAACAGCAAAAAACGCAGAGCTGTAACCTCTGCAGTTGGTTCAGGCTGATGGGAACTACAACTGTTAATAAATTACAATAATGCATTGGCCAATTATTTCCATTCGTTACAACGCTATAAGTATGATCAATATTATCAATTAGCTGGAATTTCTTACTAGCTGAAATTTGAATTTGGTAGTTGAATAATTTTTGCACTGACCAGTAGTTTTGCAGAAAAGCCTAGATACATCATTTTTCAATCAGTTATTCAGTTATGCTTTGACGGTTTATAGTTCCATTAACTTTTCAGAGTGCATTAAAAAGATAATACATCGCAAACAAAGATTAATAATAAGATAATATGCGACAAATAAAAACGTAAATAAAACGAAGAAACATTCTAAATCTTTCAAAAAAGTTTAAGTAAAGGAAAAGGATAAAAGCTTGACAATAATTATAATAATAATGGAAACTTTTCATTTTCAATGCAATTAAAACTACAATTACAAATTTCAATATTACAAAGGTAATTTGCAATTGGCTAGCCTGGGTTTACAAAGAAAAAGACTATTACAAGCACAAACAAAAGAAATTAACAAAAAAAAGGAAAAAGTATGTTCGTCATTGTTTGTTTTAGAAGTCGTCAGTAGCAGAGATCGTTAGAACTGAAGAAGTTCAGGATTATTCCAAGATTTATTTCTGCGGCAGAGAATGTAATAGGTAGTACGGATAGTTAAGTTGGATAGTTTGGAGATCATGGAGCGGAGATGATTCTCGCTGATATCTAGAGCGTTGCACATGTCGATGAAAGAGGAGCAAGAGAGACCAAAGATACCTAGGGAACTGATAGAAAGATTAACAAACATGATAGAGGAATAGGCTGAGCTTAGGCTGTGAATGAGATTCGAGTATTTCTCTCTTTTGCGGTTAGCATTAACATCCAAGTTAGTTTCGTATCCTACTGTAAGCTCGAGTATGAAAAGTCGATGGTCAGAAGTGACTAGAAGTAGATCAGGACGGAAAGAGTCTCCTGTTATGATAGAGGGTGAGAGATAACCTGAAAGATCTGCGTAAAGAGAGCAATTAGGTATAGCTTTTAAAGATTGTGCTAGGAAGTTCAATGCAGAGTTATGGCGCCATGTGTAACGGCCTTCTTCGAGGTATGTTTTGCAGCCTGCAACAATGTGAAGTAACGTTTCTGGCATATGGCAAAAAGAGCAATCGGACGACTGAGTAATGTTCCATTTAGATAGGTTTTTTATAATAATAATAATAATAATAATAATAATAATAATAATAATAATAATAATAATAATAATAATAATAATAATATAATATTTATACAGGTTTACATTGCTCAGCAACAACGTGCTGTTATCATCAACGCTTCATAATAAGATATAGTTTCACATACGACTTGAAAATGATGGAGTTCGTAAAACAAGTATAAAAGTAGATCAAATTAAGAGAATAATTCAAGAAAGAAGGAAAAACGTAACGAACATTCCTACCCTTTTAACGGAGTCTTCAAATACAACATCAAAAACCATTTGGAACTGACATGCAGTTATAGCATGGCTGTCAATCTCACTGAGTTTCTACAAAAACGCTTTGCATTACAGATTGTACAGGTAGTTCGACATATTCGTATAAATATGCATTTATTAACATAAATTAACTTGATTACATTAAGCGTGAAGATCGGAGTTGCAACTAAGCACTGCCCTGTTCTGCAAACAAAGTAGGCACATACTGCAAACTCTGTATTGAGTATTATATGACAGACCGGTAAACAGAAACTTTCATTAGATTTGAATTGAAATACTTATAAGATCATAAGAAGTCAAGAAGGCAATATTTCAAAACATTTTATACATGTATTTCTTAAAAAACATTTAATACATAAATGTATGTATTTCTTAAAAAAACAATTTATATCCAATATGAACTACAATCTACTTGAGAAATGCTACAGGAACGGCTAACAAGTGGAGGCAGAGAGGACTAGCCCATTTAAAAGCCAGCATATACATGGAAAAAGCTACACGATAAATTAATATTGAAATGAAGACAAAATTGGGAAAATATAATAAATTCAGAAAACTTGTGAGAAAAAAACGCTCGTTAAGTTCCAAACCTCAAGCATCATTGGAAGATATCTTGATTTTCTAGAAAACTTGACTCGGTCTAGAAGTCTTTTTACTGAATATTTGCTGACCGCATCACTGAAAAATGAAATAAACAACGAAATCAGTATAGTTGAATACTGAAAATTCTAATTGCGTGAACAATTTTAATTAATATTAAGAGATTCAGACAACGGTCATAACAGATGACTTAAACTCAAATGGCTGCTCGAAATATACATCTATGACAACATGGTCAAAAACCAAAAACATAACAAAAAATTCAAGCGGAAAACCTAGCTTAAAGTCACCATAGTATCATAAACAGGGCCCATGCCACAGGAGGCCAGGGGGCCAAAGCCTTTTGAAAATTAAAATCACCTATGGATTTAAATAAATACATTGAGCAAAAATCCACAAGTAAACCAGCGTCAGTAAAATGTTTTCAAAATTGGGGCCAGAGGGGTCAAGAGGACAATTTATTTATATTGCTGGCCCTTCAAGTTTAGGATCAGTGGCGTAGGTCCTGATAAAGAGATTCTAGTACAAGATATTTAAGACATTTTCAGTCATAATGATTCATCATTTGAAACAAGCAATAACTCTGGCAACTTAAGTGGTTCAAATCTCCTGCAAAACCTGGGTTTATTTACAAACGTTTACCTTGGAAAATGCAACTGAGAGCCATAGGTACCAGACCCCTTTAAAATTTCAAATGCAGCACGTATACCGAGGCGACGGCGGAAGAAACTCGCTTGCATGGAGCGCTGCAACCGAAACGAGGTTTAATATTCAATATCTGGTTATGCAATGATCTTAACATGCTTACTTCTTTCATTGCCAAAGACTTTTCTATTGACTATATTAATCTTTAATTGAGGTACTAATTGTTTCACGTTATTTGCTGATGCAAAGACTGCAGTTTTTATACCACCGTTAACCAAATTTTCAACTTTATCTTCAAGTATTAAATGGATAGCTGCCAGATTCTAATAATCTGCACAAACTGCATATCAGGTTCTATTATGCTTCTTATCGTCACGTTGTTGGAAGAAATGCATTGGAACACTGCATAAAACATCCACAAAAGTGATTTTCCTATCCTCCAAACTTTAAAACATTCTTCAAAATGAAATAAAGGTGTGGCAAGGTTGTGGCTACTTCAGCTTTTGCGTTATAATAACATCATTCATCAAGGTCACATGTCGTGATGTCTGGCCCATTTTTGTGCTGTGATAAACCAGGAGCCTGTGACTGTGCCAAGACCAAGAGCACCCTCATCTGGTTCTGCCTAATGAACATTTCATTTATCAGTGAAAATTTTCGCTTTTAAACTGAAGTCATCACAACGAGGACAATTAAATAACCTAAAGTTATCATTTTCAGAAAAAACCGTCAGTTTCATAAAGGTGCTTGAAAGTACCAAATAAAGCAACATGTATTTACCATGAACGATCCACGAAATTGATTATAAATGACAGCAAGCAGCATGTTCATGAAAAAGTATAAACCTGTCATACAAAATAACTACTGAATTCATGAAATTGTTTTGCAATGCATTCAAAATAAACATCAGGCATGTTTCGACCATATCCAAAAACAGTCTAAAAATTTCAGTGATGCCAATTGGGTGAAACATAATGTGACAACCATTGCAAGAAAAGAAAAATCTTTCTTCGATAGTTTTATTATTATTATTATCATTATTATTATCATTACGAATGTTTTTGCGAATAACCAATTCAAAATTTGCATATTTAGAAATATATAAAATTATTTCTGTTAACTTTATGTCGTCATAAAATAAATATCGTGAGCATTACTATAATGCTCACGATATAAAACTTCAAAGTAGACTAAAATCCTCGCTCTTAATCCGAATCTTGGGTCTAAAAATTTTGCACAAAAAAATTTGACCCAAAAAAGTTGTTTACAAAAGTATTCGAAGCTTATTTAAAATGCGACTGTAAGAAATTAATATTTAAACATTAGAAATTAATTTTTCTTAGGCACTTGATATGTTTAGCCTTACATAATAAACCGATTTGAAAACAAGCTTTTGAAACCACAAGAAACCTAAACAAAAGCAGAAACACACTTTCCAAAGTCACTGATGTGAAACTCGAATAAATAATCCAATGTGCAGAAAATAAATTGCGAGAAAAGGTATTAATGTAAACTGCAAGAAAACACATCGCTGTTATTGAAAACAAGGTAAAAAGGGTATTTACCGATAGCTAGATATGATATGAAATATACAGCGTAGAGTCTGCTGTGCTGGTACGCTGGCATCATTACTAAAATCAGGAAGAGAAATTTGTTAGGATATCAACCTATTCATAGATCATTGCTTAATAAGAAATTATGATAGCTCGCAGCTGAGCTAAATTCAAAACAGAGTATATCAAAAGTGTCTTGTTATTTTCTTTCTGGAACTACTTTTACTTAGCCTTCTAAGTCATAACTAAGATACAAAAATATTTTCGTGCGAAGCCATTGATACGCGTGTTGTTCTCCCATCCCTACAACCCAAAAGACAAAATTCAACATTGAAAATGGTTAAAAAGCGAAAAACTAGAAGATCTCTAGAAATGTTTAAAGCAAACTGTATAAAATTTGGATAGTAAAATAGATATCAATGAAATAACAAATAGCGACAAAAATTATATAAAATGAAGAAATGTTCCACATCTTCCAGAAATTTCATAGTTTAAAAAAAAATCAACACACCATCTGGGTTGTTTGCCGTTGTGAGAAGAACAATAAGACTGATAATGGAGCTGCCTAAATCCTTGAAATATTCTTTTCCTTCCCCAGAATCAGATAGAAAATCAATCATTTTCTAAAAAAAGAAAACCGAACCATTATGAAAAAAGAAATTTAATTAACAAATATAAATATCAAACCATCTAATTTTCTATCCTTTTTATTCATGGATGAAATATCATGCTATGTGTAACATTTCACTCGGTTGTCAGCAGTGAGGTCGTTATTGTTTTTAGATACAAAAGAATACCAATTTTATCTGATTCAAAAAAAACGCAAGATCTTGTATAGAACTGTCTAATTATCAGCAGCAAAATTTTTACTCAAACACAAAAGTATCTTATTTCATCCTATAAACTTTTCGTAATAAAATTCATCCAACCAACTCAATCTATCATACTTATCGTTCAACTTCGTTCTTGCAAATGCATTCATTTTCAAAATGATTTAAAAAAAATTCATTCTCGGAGAGAGTATATTTCGAACAATTGCCTCTGCTGATAAGGGCGGTAAAACAGTTGTTCATACCGGACAGGCTTTTTGAGGGGAAAATACTGAATGGCAGGAATTGACAGTACGGGTTTGATATTATGGGACTTATAAATGATTAAAAAACAGTACAAAACGCCAGTTAAATGACAAGTAAGCGAAATACATACATTATTCTTTCGTGGGAACAAAATCATACCAAACATCGTAAAGAAGAACAGATGAAGCCCAAACAGAAACAGGACACTATAATGAAACGAGATCGAGTTACTTTTTAAATAGAATGAGGCTGTTGACAACTGATTTGCAGGGATGATTAAAGTAGATTTAAAAAGTTTCATCATTTATACTAGCTGCAATCAACAGGCATGTAAAGGCGACAAATGTGATGAGAACACGCACACCACGTAGGTCCATTTGCAAGTCTGGAGTGTTCTTCGAAAAATCATTGTGACAAGGGCGTAAGAAAGGGCTAAAACTAGGTACATACTAACCAAAAATAGGTATGAAATTTCCACAGGTCCCTATGGTTGTCGAATTTGTTTTCTTACTAAGCTCAAATTTCATATGAGAATGGTGGCAAATGGAAATCAACTCTTTGAAGTAACATAATTTAAAAACAACAACTGAAAATGGCAAATATTCCAAAAATAAATACAGTGAGAACTAAATGTAGTGAGATATATGGCTGTAGTGAGAAACAGATCGACAGTAACTTAACCGACTAATAACCGACGGATAACAGACCGATAACCGACCGATAAACGACCGATATCAGACCGATAACCGACCGACAAACGACCGATATCAGACCAATAACCGACAGATAACCCATCATTGACCTACCGACAACAGACCGATATCCTGTTGTTTTATCGAGTAAATGAGAGCGTTGTTACTAATAGCCACAGAAATTACTGACCTCAACTTTGGTTGAGTTTTAAAAGTGCATGGAAAAATAATCGGAGCCTAAATGTAAGGCCTAATGTCTAGGGTTACCTGAGAATTTCTGGAATGGTTTGCTTGACACTTTGGACCTATAATAAGATCATGCGTAATTGGCAAAAATGTCTACAATGATGTCCTGATTATTTATACCCCAATCAAATCAAGAATAGTGAAAACTTTCCTTTAACATAATTTTTATTCTTTTAACCTTATATGCTTTTAAAAAACTAACTGACACTAAAACCAATAACAAGAATATCTAAACATGCAAATACGTTTTTCTTACGTTCTCTATGATGTCGTATTTCATTTTTGGAAGCAAACTACATGTTTAATCCAGATGCATCTAGTTAATAATTTTAACATAGAAACGGCATCGTATTTTGAATCTGTAGTAGCAGTTGCATTCTTACTAGATTAATAATATACAGTAAAATAAAAGCTGGCCTCACCGTTTTCTTCATAACTGAAGAATTTTGCAAGATGAAAAATGGCCTCAAAAGACGTCTAATTCTGTAATGCTAGAAAAAAATTATAATCAATTGAACCGTTTTGTTCTTTACACCAAAAGTGTGTAGAGCTCTTCTTTTTAAGGCATCGAGCACTTTTTGACAGACCAGTGAACAATAGACAATTTTTATTAATTCTCTTTTTAGCTGGCCTATCTATATTTTCATGACTAATGTACAAACTAAATGTGCTATGGGCTTTGTAATAGTTTTTGCTAAAATCAGGCGTAAAATGTAGAAAATTGCACAAACCTCTTTACATTTGTAACCAAATGTGACAACTAGATCAAGATATGAAATAAACAGCACAAAGAAATATCCAATTAGCCATTTGGATTTCCTTGCTTGTCTCTTCCCAATCATAACAAACTAAAAACATGGAAATAGTTATCATGCACATTTTTACCAATCATAATAATATTTGTGTGAATGAAGAAAAGGCCACTGTAGCAGGCTGCTCGACGGGCTCCAAGGAGTTCTTGCGGCGAAAAGTCGATAAAAATGTAGCAAATATGAAACACCGCAATACGCCGAGAATAAACAACAATAAATACACGTATATCAGTAAAGGCTAATATTTCGCACCGGCGTACGGGGCTTCATCAGAGCAAAAGCCCCGTATGCCGGGGCAAAATATTAGCCTTTACTGATTTACGTGTTTTTATTCTTGTTTATTCTCGGCGTAATGCGGTGTTTAATATTTGCTACATAATAATATTCGACCACAATTACTTCAACGCCAAGCATTAGTTTTCTGCATAATTCTGTGAATCAGCTACTTTTGGCACAATTGCAAAGATCTTTAAAAAAACAAACTCTTATCAAAAGCAGGCAAAAAGCAGTGGTGGATGCCTGGGGGGGGGCAAAGGGGGCAGTTGCCTCCTAATATTCTGGAGGACAATGGTCTTTTGTTCTAAAAACAATGGGGAATGTGATGTCATCTTATCAAAACAATAGGATTGTCCCCCATCCCAAAATTTGACCAAGTGTCCGCCCCATGCAAAAATACCCTCAATTATACACTGTGTTAGTGCTTAATTTCAAAACTTAAACATGATTGTACAATGTTTGAATATTGACAAACTGACAAAAATTCTTACCTTAAATGTAAAGTCACAAGTAAGTATCAAAAGGCAAAACAATTCAATTGCTTCTGTAAGACCGCATGGTGGATTTGGTCTATTTTTTATCTTACTTGGATCTGCACTTATCCTATAGAAGTAAAAACAATCATTAAAGGATACAAAATAATACAGAAGTAAATAAATTGAAAAAACGCTGGCAATGTGTATCTTAGAGCTATAGCATACAAGCAAAAAGAATAAAAAATCAGGCAGTGAATGGGTATTTTCCATCCAAACCAACACTTGTTCATATCAGGCAATAATTTTTGTACACAAAATCATCTGATATTTATCCTTCATGAATATCAATTATACACAAAACCTGATTGTCAAAACCTGACCTAGCTTTAGCCTGATTTAAGCTTAAATTGCCCTAGTAGCCTTATAGTTTGTAAAGTTCAAGGTCCTACAAATGTGGTAAAATAGTTGAATGTGTTACAAAATTGGCTAAGATATGGTCACATAAGCATATATTTTTACTCAAAAACAACAAAAATTGCAAAAAACTTCTAGGTTATCAAGATACTTACGTTAGTGATGATGGGTACTCAAAGAATGCCAGGGCTAAAAGGCTAGAGATTGTTATACGGAGTATCCTGGAATAAAAAAGCCAAAATGCTTAAGTGAATATGCAAATACTATTAATAAATCAAAACAAGCAATCATTGCGAAAACGCAAAAACTTTATTTATCTTTTTAAGATGTTATGGAGAATTTTCGCAAGTCCAGTCACATTAAAATTGGTAAATATCTTAAACCCATTCACTTTCTTCCAAGGCTTTAAATGGATTTCTAAACTTGTGAATTTGAAAAGTTATTTTCCTACAATACACCAGTAACGTGGTTGTGAATATTTTGCCATTATATCACAAATATTTTTCTTTTGAGCCATATTTCTGTTCATCACAGAGTATGCACCTGATTTTAACAATGGAAACATGCATAGATAGATGCAAAACTAAGAATTGAATCTTTTTGGAGAATACATTAAAAACAAGGATCGGAGAAAACAAACATAACTGGTGTGCACTAGCACTGCAATTTAACCATTTTCAATGCCAAAAATGTATGTCTTCATATGCTTGAAGAAGTGGAAATTCATATGTGTTCCTCATTTTCCATTTGTTTAGTTGTTCAGTATGTCAAGCCAAAAGAATCTCAAGGTTGCTAGATATTTGCAAGATACTTTTCCTTTGCCTCAAAGGGATGCCATATGAACAAAACTATTTTGAATTTTGATTTGTCACTTTGCCTCAGCAGAAACTGTCTTTCCTGTACATTAGCAAAACAAAACTTATTGCTTTTTTGAAATACGAGACACCCAGTAAAGGACGGAAAAGTCACAGTTAACACAAATCATCAATTACCATCTGACCAAAGTAGAGTGATAGATTCTGTATAAACTCAATGATCGGGTATCAACTTTGTGAAACACAGAACGATGCTGCAAAGAAATACAGAAATTTAGTTTATCATGCAGTGGCAAAAGGAAAATTGATGTAAAAATAGTTCAGTTGGTAATGATAAATGACCAGCCTGGGAGAGCTGCAGCCCCATAAATCAGGACAATTTACCGCATTTAAACCTCCATTCAGGCAGTTCTTTCTCAATGAAGAAATGATATTCAGGGAAGATCCATCTTAGCCCGGCTGAAAGTTTTGCATCTGTTATGCCAATGATATAACAGCTTTACTTCACAGGGTTGTGTGAAAAATTACATATGACAATTTCACATTAAAAAGCCATGGTGATTGGTGATAGCTTTTTATTATTCTAAATACTACATAAACTGTCAATCAAGGGCAAGCTGAGCAATGAAAATAATAAACAATTGTGGAAAATTTGATAAAAGGGAAGATTATTCACAAGATATTGACACACAACTTGACTAAAAGGAAACAAAACAATATTTAGAAATGACATACAAGTCTTCTGTCGGTGGTTGATTACAGTGAAATTTACAATCCCTGTTTGCTTAATTCAGGTATCAAGACTATCAGGTGCAATGCTAAGGATGGGGGTAAGGGGGCCAACACTCTATAAAAGACATTTACTACAACTTTACATAGCAAACTCAGCCCTTTTTACTGCAATTCTCAACCCTGGTAGTTAGCATTAATCAACCTTACACAGGAAACCACCTGTTAAAACTTTTTAGGTCAGTCCTTGGCCTGGACAAATGCCATTTTACACTTTTACTTATCAAAAGGCTTTGCAGGGCATTGAAAAATAGATTAGAGGCAACTACAGTCTTAAAAGCTCAAACTTAAAAGATTTAGAAACCATTACCCCCTTATTGGAAAACAAACAAGATTGAATAGGCCTTGCCATTTAATAGCCCTTGCTCCCCTCCCGGCTCTTCTCAAATGCTGGAGAGGAGCAACAGATTGCTCTCCTAAATTGCTCTCAAAACAAATTGTTCTCTTTCAATTCAACTACCAAAATTTTTGCAATGAACACTCATGAACAAAGACACGTAAGTGCCTCAATGGTATTAAAAAACGGCTGTAAAAGTGTCACATTCTGCAAATTCAAGGCTAGTAATGATAAGAATCCAAGCTTTGAAACTTGCCTATAAAGAATTTACATTTTTTGATTGGTTTTGAACTTTAAAATGATGTCTAATGGCTTCACAAAAGTGGTTTGAACTTTGAAGGTCATATTGTTTACAATTCTGTCGCCATTACTCGTTCATCAAAGTGGTGCAATACTTTTCAAACATAAGTGTAATTTAACTTGCAGTTTGTATGTTGAGGCAGCAAGCAGAGATGAATGCAAAAATGAAGAGAAGCCTTGTAATTTAATGCAACAGCTGTAAATACCTCTATAGCATCTTCAACAAAGACAGTAGCTTGCAACAATGCTCTGTTTTCTCTTAAATCTAAAACAATGAATAGAATAAACATGGCTTAGGACAACAAATTAGCGAGAACTATTTGGTATGAAGATTGCAGTGGTTAGGGTTGTTATCTAAGTGTCTGGCATAGTATCACAAGTCTCTGGTCTAGAAATGGTGGGGACTATGACCAGGGCACTGCTCAATAAGCATAGCTTCTTGGTGTCCCAGAATACTACGTCCCAGAATACTACCTTGAGAGGGTAGGTAGTAGCAAATACAAAATGAAAATACAGTACTTAGATATTGAAATTCAATATATAGCAATTGTTAAGTAAAGTACAGGGTTTAAATTTGAAATGGCTGTATCATTTTTCTATCAAGAAAACAGGTTGGTATGACTAGTTTGATACAAAAAATCTTTGACCAAGAAGTGTCAGCATTTTTCCTGGCCAAAAATACATAATTCAAAGAAGGACTAATAGACTTCGTTTCATATTGGAACAATACGTAGAAGTTTCAATTTGTTTCAAAAAAACTATGTATTAAATTTCATTTCATAGGCACTTTAAGCTTTGGATAAAAATATAATTTGCAGTCAATCATTGACTATCAATGGAAGGGAGGTCCTCTCTTCTATTAACTATAAAATTACATGATAATTTTCTACTTTTATTTAATGATAATGTACATTTCTGACCTAAAGCGCATATAGTTTAGATCTTAATTTATCCTTACTCAAAATATTACATGAATCTGCCCTTTTTCAGACATGCAAAGACTTTTTAATAAAACTAGTACAGGGCCTGTTTGTCCCTAAATCTGTGATAAGAACTAAAATACAGGCTCGTTGTTTAGTCTAAATCTATGGAAGACATAAACACATTCAAAAAGTATTGGGACACACTTCGAAACTTCGAAGACATTTTATGCAACAAATTTGGAAAGACTTTTTAAAATCCTTCTCATTAAAAAAGTACGGCAGCTATTTCCATGAAATTTTAGCAAGACATGGGTTTCGAGACGAAAACATGGAAGCTCTGAAAACTCAAGAACTGATTTAAGAGAAGCGCTTACAAATTGCTTTCTACTAAAATAAAGCAAATGGATTTCAGCTGCTCATTGAGTGCAGCTTTGAGTTGCATCAATTGTCGGCTGCTCGTTGAGTGCAGCTTTTCTGGTGTGTAAAATTTTTGTCCGTACAAGAACAGTAAAAAATTTACCAAGGGTTGGCAGACTGAAGAAGTTTAAAAAGAAGCTAAATAATGGAACATAAGCAAAAACATGGCTATAAAGTCATGAAAAATACAAATTTTCCAGCGTTATAATAAGAAAATGCTCTCTCAAAGCAAAAATTAATCATCGACGATGAGTACAATGGCTTCTCCTTGAATGTTGCACAATTTTAAAAGTAGCTTGAATAAATGCAATAATTTAATAAAATTGTAGCATTTTCGTCGATGAAGTAAATTTATTTTTGAAGCTTAAAAGTTTGATTTTATATTTTCTTTTATATTTTTTTTTGTTATGCAAACGTGAAATTAAAAAGTTGTATTTGTTTAGACAGCTCTAAAATTTTTGGAAGGTCATGTGGCTTTGCCATATTGTTAGGCCATATACAACCCTTCTGCATATTTTGCTGTTATAATCAGAAAAATCGAAAGAATCCTGTGTAATTCTTGGTTATGCTTCATAAGTTGAAGTATTTTCTTAACTTGTTATTCCATTTTGGGGAAACGTAGGCCTAGATTATTTGTAGAATGACTGCCCAAATCTGAAAAAGTTTCCATTGCAAAACCGAATCCAACGGAACGCCATAAATCGTTTATCGAATTCGTCCCAATACTTTTTGAACGTAGGTGTAGTACAGGGCCTGTTTGTCCCTAAATCGGTGATAAGAATCAAAATACAGGCTCGTTGTTTAGTCTAAATCTATGGAAGACATATGATGTATCTCTTTATCAGGTCGCTTAAAAAATCCTACAAAACAAGAGGCAGTGGGCAAAGATTGAAGGCCGATCAAAAGATTCTTACCCTCGTTTAATGTTTCCTGTGATGATGTGATTATGTCAGTGGCATCTAGAGAAGATATCAAAGGATCTTCACTATATTCTGCATATTCGTTGATGTACTGGTCACCCGAATGGTCCAAGGTGTCAGCACTTTGATAATTGCTATCCGACATTTTGTGGGCAATATGGCACCAAACTGGCTGCGCAGCTCCTAGCAAAATACATCTCAGAAACCAGCCCGGAAACCCCGGAACCAGAATTGTGATGGGACAAAGGGGGGGGGGCAGACTTTTGACGAAGGCATTTGCCTACTCTTCAGTTCCAATTATTGGGCTGACAAAAAGAATTCGATTTTTGGAACTTTTATGACAATTTTATGATAATTAGCGTTCCAGATAATTTTATGTTGAAATTAGAAATAACTTACAAAAAGTGTTTGATTCTATGCTCGCTGAAATTATTTCCTTCCACCGAAACTTTTCAAATTCTCACCGAAGTTTACACCGAAATTTCAAAAATATAGCCGGAATTTTTTCCATTGGAAATTAATCCACCGAAATCTTTGACACCGGATATTTGCACTCAATGTAACTGAAACTCATTTCAAAGAATTTTTATGAAAAAAATTTGTATTGATATATGTTATCATGGTATGATAATTGTTTACAGAAGTTGCAAAACTACGCCACGAATTTGAAAGTTGGGGCCAAAGTTAGCAAAAGTAGGGGGCGAAGACTTTCCCCTCTTACTGCAGCTTTAAACCTACTTGCTTTGAAAAAAAGTCTCCTACACCCACCTCCCCCGGCGTGGGCCCTGAAAACAGCTAAGGTATACCCAGGGAAAGACCCTAGACATGACTATCAACGCAAACGCCAAAACTTGACGTGGTTTGGCAATATCTATATTAAACAATATAACTTTGTTATGAATGCTAACAGCAAGAGTCAGCAAAAAATAGGAGAATATTTTCTTTATATGAAAAGACAGGATATTAGAACCATATTCAAAGCGCACCAAATGTAGAATGAGAATTTTCGTTGCTCTTGAGAATCACTGATCATAAGAAGTAAACTCTTTAGATTTTTAACCTACAAAAAAATTTGCCCTGGAAGTTGATTTGCACTAGGTATTGATTCGAAAGCATTTCACACCTAACGATTTCAATCATAGTAGACATAGAAATCGACTTTTTTAGAAGCAGAGGTATATGACCTATTTGCAACTCAGAGAGGTACCCTTTTTCCCTCGCATTTGCCACCATGCCCACTTTTGAAATTATCCCTACGTCTATGTTTTTAATGATTCACTTGTATAGCCAAGGCAACGAAAAATGCCGGGAACTGAAGAAAAAGGTTTGATTTTGAATCTGTTTAATCTAGTCTGCTGTGACCCAGTCTGCTGTGAACCAATGTCTGCTGTGACCCAGTCACAGTAAGCGCTTGTTCAGAGTAAAAAACGTCTGAACATAGATCGAAAACTCTACTCTAGGAAATATCGAAAAATGAAAACTCCACTTCACTTCATTTAAGCCCCTTCTTTTCGTGGATAAAAATCGTGGAATGAGCTCAGCAGGGAAACTATATTTGCACCCTCCCTCACTACCTAAAAAAATCAAAATGTCCCTTGGTGACAGAAGCTCGTCTTTATCCACATTGGTTGAAAATGATTTCATAAACCTTTGACAATCTTTAAATTCATTTACAGTGCTTGAAGGATCTATCTCGTTATCTTAGAACTCTGCAAGTAGCTCTATTTGTAGCACTGCTTCTTCACTCCATATTTTCCTGAATCAGCATACTGGAAAACCATACCCAGGACCAGTAGGACAAGACCCTGGTGAACAAGACCTCCAGAGAATGCTCATTACTTTCCAAATTCATGAGTGAATGCAACTTTCTGTATTATAGTTCCCAGCAACATATTAAGCAACGGTGGACAAAAAACTCACTAAAAACTTCCAACAGCAGTGCAAATTTTCCGAATGGCTTCTTGTCAGGAACAACTTCCCCAACTCCCCCATCCCCCATCTCCCCTCATCTCCCCCCACCCCCACTGGCTTTGGCCCTGAGACAAGATCAAGCATCGTGTAATAAGGAATGGACTGTGGTTCCAAAATGTCAAAAAGCAAGAATAAATCTTTATTAGTGACCAATTTGGGTAGCAAGATGGGAACTTTAAAAATGTGTTGAGTCATTATGGAAAATTACAACCGAATTAAAAGGGGGAGTTTGTTGGCAAAATTTACCCATATTTAAAAGATTTTATATCAGTATATAATGGCATGTTGTGCAAGTTAAAGGGGGATGCTACAGTAAAAAGGGGTACTCCTTGTTGGAACCCCAAGAACGATTTAACATTGAAAGTACGTTATCATACGCAACTTGTGAAAACTCTAGTACCCTGATTTAGCAAACACAAAAATACAAAAAAAATTATCCTGCAATTATTAATTCCGGTATATGATCATTATATTCCTTTTTTATTCCATATGCTTGGCGGGTTAAAGAATATTTAACACTAAGGGTAAACCCGATTCTGCTTTGTGCCAATATGTTTCTATTTAAAAATCATTAATGCTATTAGCATGAAATATTCATTCCAGTTTAATCAAATATGCTTTATAATCCATTTATAAAATTGTGTGGTATTTTCTGATGGTCTGTACAGTGTATTTGAATTAAAGAAAAGCTCTAGTGGGATTTGAGCTCATCTCTAGTGCGACTGTGATTAGTGGCTCAATCTGGGGGATTAAAGGAGGAATATACGAAAGAAAGACAGTCCCATGTAGTGAATAACAAATGTTAAAGAACTTAGTGTTTACACTCAACACCACCACTCTGGGTTCTACTTACTGCAAGGGCGTAATGTATTAAAAATGCTTCCTTAAGGGTTTTCCCCGCACGATTCGAAGTCCAACAGTAGATTTTGCCGATCGTTAGGACCTTCGGTTTCTTTTAAGGTACATGGTTTGACGAATAAATTAGATGTAACTCATTTCTTCCCTTGGTTAACATAACAGTGAAAACCACACATGGAATTTCACAGATCTGCCATGCAGTTAGAATGTGAGAAAGCAAAAAGTTGTCTCAGGATGCAACTGGCGTGCCTTACGTAGATGAGCGTTTCTAAATACAGGTCTTTACCGAGTGGTTTATTGGTCTTTACAACAAAATGCAATTATAATGTATATATTCTTCAATATTTTATTGGATATTTATTTTTCTGGCATAAAGCTCGGATCTTTTCCTTATTCTTGTGCTATATGAATGCTATATGAATACTAGTTAGCAAAAAAATTTAACTAAACAGCAACATATTTCGGATTATTGACAAAGCCCAGTTGTTGTTCCATCTAGCTGTTTAAGAATGAAATCGTCGTAGCAGTTCATCTACATAAAAATGGAAAGGCTGCTATTTTGTAAACAGAAAGAGGCAACCGGCACTGACTGGGCAGCCGGCACTGACTGGGCAACCGGCACTGACTGGGCAACCGGCACTGACTGGGCAACCGGCACTGACTGGGCAACCGGCACTGACTGGGCAACAGGCACTGACTGGGCAACCTTTACAGTCATGTGCTATCGTTTCTGATTGGCCCATTTTGATCTGCAACCGTCAGGCCTGTCGAAACAGCTGGTGTGGGGGGGGGGGCTGGAGCACACCAATAATTGTCAAACTGTAATATATTTCCTTTATAACAGTGTACTGAATGAGAAGAAATACAAAAGACAGCACCAACACCCCCCCCCCTCCCCCTCCCCCAATATGAACTTCGTTCTGACGGCACTGACCGTGTATATACATTAACTGGCATAGCGGTTTCCATCAATATTTCGACGTTTATTTTCTGAAAAGTTTCAGACGAAAAATTTAAGTATGTTTCAAAATGTTTGCTTTTTCAGTCATATCTCAATAAATTTTATGCGGCAAGGGCAAAGCAAGTTTTGCTGCAACAAGATTCGATTTGTTTCCCAAAAACATATTCGTGGTTGTAAGAGGCAACTCCCGTTCTGACGTATAAATGGCCAGATTGGCATCAAACACAGACAGCCACACAATTAAATATTAAATTTACATTACCGCATCTGTTCAAAACCAGAGGCTTAAAAACAGAGGATCTACCGTTGAGACTCCAGGAACATTGTGACGCTATATCTCAAGCAAAAATTGATCGTCGATGTAAAGCTGTTCCTTCATTTTGTGCAAGCAAGAAGCTCTGCGTTCACACATCCATTGCATATTTCGATTTATAAAAATAGTTTGCAAAGAAACCAGTTTGCTATCATACCAAGTTAATATACATTTCACAAGCTTCAAGAACTGACAATGTCCACGCAGTGAGAAACATCGAGGTAAAGAAACAGAATAAAAATGAAATGAACACTGGACAGCCTGTAAGCTATTACATCAGCACAGGAACAGTTGTACCTCTTCAAAAAGGAAGGACATATATTGGTTTTGAGTTCACTAGTAACAACGGCCTAAAGAGTTTTCGCTTGTAATACAAACGGACCAATGAGACTCAAATTGCCTTACATGGGTAAAATTGCTGGTTTGGCTTTGATCCAGTCAACTGTTAGTGCGTTAGGCCTTCTCCTTACATCCGTCATTTGGAACAAGTGGGAAAGCTGCCATTCAGTGATAGATGGAAGGCTCGTCATGTACCGCACAGGATTATGGGAAAAATGTATAGATGACCATATCCTAAGGGTCAGTGAATGCGCAGCACTTGGAAAAGAGACTGGTAGGTTAAGCAGAGATCGGAAACTGTTAGTGTTCCAAAGACTTAAAAGAATCAACTCAGTGAAAGAGCATGCACAAAGTTCTTAAGTAATCATTGCGCGGGCTCTTAGTTCGCTAGGACGTCGAATAACTCGGCTCCACAACAAATTACTGATTAAGTGACGATGTCATAAAGCCGAATTATAGTGTTTATTATTTTTGACAATATAATAGACATGTTGCCCAAAGGCAAAACTTCCCATTTAACAAATCTCAGTCTGTGTCTAACTCAGCCCGGCTAGAAAATTCTCGTGTGAACTATTCAAGAAAATACAAAGACGGATCGCTATCATCTGATTTTTGCTTTATATTCATGCAACACTCTGCCTGATCTTTACCCAGATAGAGCAATAGCTTTTCTTTACCTGTAATGTAAAGCTTTAAAAAGTTATTTTTTTTCAGCGCCCTTAAAATCTGTGATAGTGTTGATGCTATTGGCCATCTCTCTCCAAGCCATCTCTATCATCATGGGCCTAATCATTCGAAGATATGAGAGACAACAATGCCTGATTATTGTGCCAATTATATTCAACTTTGCTGCTGGTAAGTACAATTTCTCTTTCATGCCTGAAAATTGGTTTTTCTATTTCCTTTAGAGTTCAAATTAGTGCATGAAAGTTTGCCCTAACACCAGATAACCATAATCACTACCCATTACCGATAAGTTATGAGTTATTGACTAACATGATTTGAGGTTCTGCGAACTACTTGCTTTCCAAAAAGCAGCACCCAAAATGGGGCATATATTTGAAAAAATGGTCAATTGGCTATTTTCCAGAAAGCAACATGAAGTTTTCACAACATCCAAAAACGTCTTGTAGTTCTTTTCAGAACGAGTGTAGTTTGTTACTTGATTGTCTGCATCTTTAATCCATTTAATAATTTTATTCAAAATTGCTTTGAAAAAAACAAACATTACACACCTCTCAGAGTATAAAACATCAGAATAAAGGTCAGAAAGATGGAAATAAATACCCATTTCTAAAACACTAAATTAAAACAAAATCTTGTTCGTTCGGATTCTAATTCTGACGTTTTATACTGTGAGGAGTGTCAGTCGAAAAAGCTTCTCATATAATACAAAATGTTTGCTTCTTCAAAGCCATTTTCAATTTTTGTACCGCTGAAAAACTGCTTACTTTTTTATAAGAAAACATAGCTAAAAAGTATGTGTATAAGTCAAAAAACACCAAGAAAGTTGAAAATGTTTTATAACCCTTCAGCCAGACGATTCTTCCGTTGGTTGGTTGGTTGCCATCTGTATGGAATAGAAAATAGATACATTTAGGAGCTTGGTATAATTGATTCACCGTATTACTTCTAATTCATTAATTCTAATTTATTACTTCTGATTAAACATTACGGTATAAATTAAAAACTTGCAAGTAGAAATGCGGTGCTAAATAGTGGGCAGTTGGGGGAGTTGGTTTATTTAGAAAGGGGTCGTGGTAAATGAATATTAATTAGAAGCAAGGTATTTACATGTTTTTATGCAACTTAAAACCTGCGTTATTTGGAGAAAAATGCACAGTCTTCATAGTCCCTTTGATATATGCTATCAACGCTCATGACAACGTTCACGTCATGACATACCTATTCTTCATTGCCTCCTCTCCGCATCGAGGCTCGCTGTGCATGCACAGCTTATTACGTTCTGACTAGAGATGTATTCCTATTGGCTATTCCAACGCACCAGAGCGTAATGAGATGTGCATCATGCACAAGAACCTCGATGCTACTAGAAGGTTCGAAGAACTCAAATCGGAGCTCACCGAGTCTCCTCTAATAAAGAACTTTTTCCACTGTTTTTACTCTAAGATGATTGATTTGGTTTTTCAATGTCCAATTTCGAATCATCCGCTATTGTGCTTTACTTCTGGCTTTTATACAGTTAAGTCGAGCGAGTCAGACAAGTTTGTCTGTTCCGACGAGATCTGACTTGTGCAAGTTTGACTTACATTGTCTTAAAATGTATCGCTTTTAAGCTGGAGGGGCTATGTATCCCCAAGTAAAAGTAAAAAGGTATTTGCTTAGGGACAATCTTTCAAACATTTAGAGATGTAATCTTTAATGATTTAGCAAATGGATGAATAAACAATTTTTTGCTCCAATTTCAGCTTTGTGTGGGACGATTGGCCTCTCCGTGTATGCTGCTCATTACGACAAAAAGAACTGTCGTCTCGGTGCCAGTTACGTCATAGGCTGGGTCGGCATGCTGGAAGTATACCTAAGCTGCTTTCTTTACATCCTAGTTGCACATGGAAAATAGGATATGGACGCATAGAACTCAGTTTTTATTTTAAGCAGAAAGGCACTTTTATCAGACCACGATTACACGATGATCCTAACAGGGGCGGATCCAGAGCAAACTTGAAGGAGGGGCAGTCGGTAGTGGGGGTGCTAAGAAATTTTCAAAAATTGGTGACGCGAGTACGCTGTATATCTAAACAATTTCAGATCAATTTTCGGAATAAACAACATATCTTTTAACTAACCCTTGAAGCAAATTAACCTATCTGTCTCAGAATCTTTTTCATCTGATTCTCAATCTTCAAAAGGGGCTCACAATTTCCAAAAAAGGGGCGTCATACTTGCCACTGGCCACTGGACCCGATAAAAAAGTGCTGTTGTTAAGCATCCCGTTTACTACCCTGGGTACTAGAGCAACATAAATTCGAGAGCAGAAATAGAAGATAAGAGTGAAGAAACGGAGTAGCATCTACGCTCCTCCGTGTCTCTGCTTGGTCTTCTATTTACGCACCCGAAATTTGGTGGCCCTGATACCTAGGGTACCCGTTTACTCGAGCTCAGGGACGCCGGAGAGTGGGGCAAGGGGGGGGGGTTAGCCGCTCCTGTTGCCTTTTAATAAGAGGGGCAAGGGGGCCAAATTGCTCTTATCATTAAAGTGCCCTTAAAACCGGCCACTTGCAATAATCACAGAGATTCATATGAAATTCTGATTGTAGTGCTTAATTCTGTCATGACAACATTTCTCAAAACTTGTAAAATAATACCTTATGCCAAAAATTAGCCAATGTTCAAGATACCTACAGAAGATCGGAATAAAATGACAGTTACTAAGAAATTAGTAGAAGCTGGGAATTATGTTTCAAAGGCCCTTTTACTCAAGCCCGCCCCCTTGCACCTCGGTCGTTCCGGCATCCCCGCTCAAGCTCCACGTGAACTGATACAAGAGTGATCCGACACCGTGTAAACTGGTCAATTTGGCCAAATCCAAAGTGCATATAAAATTTGTACGTGTCCATGTTTGCATGATCCTCGCTATCCATTCTTTCATTGGTAGTCTCATAATACATTCGAAATCAGAAAGTTCAGTTCTAAGAAATAGCGAAAAGGGTGGAATTTGAGAGCATCATTATCCCATTTATCTACATTCACAAAATGGTAAAATGGAATGGATTGGAGGACTTTTTACTAGTCATCTTGAGAAAATAGCTCTAAAATGATGTTAAGAATAACATGATTTTCAGAGTTTCATTTTATCTTACAATAATATTATAGGAGGGTAGCACTTTAACAACAGTGTTGAATTTTAAGCCCCCAACCTACAAGTTAAAAATTAAACATTCAATTTTTTAGCAATTATCATAATTACCAACTCAACATTAATATCAGTTGAACTGCACTGGAATATGATAAACTGTAAAAAATTCCCCTTAGGGTACGCTCATATTACTTGCCACTCACCAGCAGGTGGTGCCTTACCCTGGGTAGCAGACTCACTCTATGTAAAATAAGAGAGAGTCTGGTACCCAGGGTCCTGGTGCCCAACTGTTTCTAGCAAATATATCATTTTGGTGTTTCATTTGTAACACATGCACACATGGATCAATCTTTATAGTGCCTAATCTCTCGACGTATGCCGTTTACCCAGTACTAGCTTTTAGTAGGTAGTTTTGAATATTTACAAATTAGTAGTATGTTGGCCTAAATTGCCAAAAGATTCCAAGAAAAAGCTATTAAATATCAACTGATGTTTTCTCTTAGTTAGCCCTTAAACTTGACAACTACGTGTTCACATATCTGCCTCTATAATTTCAATCGTTTAGTCGTAAATCATTGCTAAAGAAGTTTGCTTCTAAAATCTCTGATATTTCTACTGCTCTTTGTTAAGGTCCATATTATTGACTCTCTGGTGTCTGTCTTGGTTATGTTGATGATTTTATTTACACTTTCCAATCATGGAGTATGGGGACTTCACATTTTTAAAAAAGGTGCAATTGTTTTATTCTTTTGTGTATCAAGTATTTAAATTTCAGATCCTAGCTGTAAGAGGGGCCTTTTGTTTTTTACATCGCCATCCTTGACCCAGAGAAGTATTGTGATAAGACTGAAGAAAGAGCCACCTTAATTATTTGTTTCATTTCATATAACATACAAAAACGGAAAGCTTTGCAGGATGAGCACGGATACAGAAGAACCTAGAATACTGGTTGATTCACCCAAACAACTTTTGCTCAACTGACGTGTTGCCGTGTCCCCTGTGACACAGCCTCTTTAAGAGCCCTCTGCAGAAACATTGATTACAATGTGGAAAGCATTTGTAACGAGTGCAACGATAAAGCAGTTCTAAATCAACGATTAATCAATCAAACACAAAAAGCTAGCTCGTGTGGGGAATTCTATCACCTATAGTCCTGTGCCCAATAGAACTCCCGGTGACGCTAAAGAAAACTCGTAGAATTCTGATATAAATTTCCAAGTTATAATTTCCTCAATTCCTATGCAACTCTACTCCTGTCTCTTACTCGCATGCTCTCTCCCCAAACTGCTAACTTGTACGTATATTTATACGTTTACAATAGAATCTTCTCGATTGCTGAATCACAATAATTGGTACATAAAATTAGCAACAACATGAGTATTACGTAATAAACTAATTCCTAGATAATTCAAGAACCCCCCATCTAACAATGCAATGATATGGAAGCGCCGAAGGCGCTAGATGTCTAACTCACAGGTACGCTGTGAGGCAAATTTGTTTACTTCCGCCATTTTTAATAGTGGCAAAAAGGAACTTGCTCCATACTGAGCCCTTATAAATTTGGTAAAAGTAAGGATTGATTTCGTTCACCTCTCTTTCGAATATCGATATGAAATTTGGTGAGTGGCCTTATACTGCACTTGAATTTATGAATTGATGTTAATATTGGAAGTATAAGCCGAATTTCGCAAATTCCAAGTATTTACAGTCGTGGTGCTTGCTGTGCTGTTTTCTGTCTCGTCGAAATTCCAGAAAATAATGATTGATCTATTTTAAAACGGATCCAGCATCAATTTTTAGCCACTCCATGAATTATTTTCTTGACACATTTGTACAAAGATGTGATTTAGTTACTTTTTCTTTCTTGGTTTACAAGAACTGCTATGAAATGTCTAGGCCTAACTCTAGAAAAAGCCGAAAATAGGTCATAATTCAATGCTTGGATATTAACAACAGAATTTGAATATATGAACCAATTTTTAATTTGATTTATTATTGATATTTTTAGACTATTTCAAGGCCACACTCGTTGCTTGTAATTATTCTTCAGCACAATGGGTCCCTCACCGTATCTTTAGGCCTATGAAATATCTTCGGTGTACATTTTCACGACAAAGATTACTTATTTGGCCTTATCAAGAAGATAGAAGTTTATTCATATCAAATATCATTTCTACAAATTCAATTTGACAAACTAAAGATAAAAAATTCGCACATTCCTACTCATGCCATTAGGTTCTAAACGACAAACAAAAAACTCAAGAATTATATACTTAAAATGGTCTATATTATTAGATAATAGACTCAAAAAGTTCTTTCTAATTTATATGAAGATAAAAATGCAAGCACAAACTTTTTCAACTCATAAAAACACGACAGGCCACCGCTATTTTCCCCCCGTAACTGCGTAAACTAAAAGAACCATATTTTTTAAAATTATGTTTAAAGCCCCAAAAAATTGTTATGTGTTGTTGATTTATATCTTCTCTAACTACCTGCATCAGAAAAGGCACTGAAATAGTTGTGCGCCACGAGAAAATGAATCCTTAAAACAAGCAACTTTCCACACTGAACCCTATTGCAGCTCGCTTTTTCCAACAATTTAAAATGGCGGAAGTAAATAAATTTGCCTCACTCGGCAGTACGCAGCATGACCCAAGTTAGACACATCAGCATAGGGGTAAAATGTACTTGCCATGCGCGCGATAAAACACAGGGGTTACAGCAAATGTCAACACTGCTCACGCAACATTTCAGGACGAATACACCACATTGTTTTGAATGATTAAAGATTCGTCGATAAATCGACATATTCAAAACAAAGGATAGCCAGCAATGGACTAGTTATAAGTACCTCAGTCTAAATAAAGCCTTTGGTGAAGTTTTAAAACTAGGTCTACATTCACTTTATCTAGCACTTCAGATTACGCCAGGAAACCAAGTTTCAGTTAGAATAGTTACTAGAAATAGCTCTTGCTAGTACTGCCCGCAAACAATTAGTGAAGGTTGTAGTGCTACACCAAAAAGAGGACTGGGTACCAATACCCCAGTCCAAAAATAGCTTTTGGGGGCTTTTTTGAAGCTTGATATGAACTTCATCTTATTCAGCATATCGGATTGCGTACTTGTACCAAACTTCATGCTTTTATCATAACATGCACAATTCTACTGCTATGCGTCTGCACTATCAGGAATCTCGAGAAAGCAAGTTGTTTGACAAAACGAAAAGTTTCCACAGCCATAACTTTTTGCTTATAGGTCAGATCACATTGCTCTTTTTAAATCTTTTGCTCAGTTTTGCATGCTCTTTCCGATAGTATCATCAGATTCGAAAGTTGAAATTTTGCTGACCGTGTATTTTTTCATGCTTCCGGAAACGCAATTTCCGGTCATTTGCCAGAATGTTCCTAGGGCTTAAAATGATCAGTGGCCTTTACTCTTATGATTTAAACTTTAAAAACTTCGGTTACCCAGTTTGCTAGAATGTTATGCAAAATTCCCTGTCTAATAAGTTAGTCTTTCTGTTGGATTATCTGAGAAAACAGCGAAGAACGAGTATCTTTTGTGTGCTACTTATTCAGGGCCTTGGCCTTTTGTCCTAGCCCATCGCTCCACCAACGGGCTAGTTATACACCGGTTATTCACCGTCATAAGAAGAACCCTGGCCGTTACAAACATTTAAAGATTTGAAGGTGCAGTCATTTCAAAAGGAGCGCAATTGGCCAGTACTGAAAATGATCATCGTTCAGCTTTTTATCAATGAGTCTATTTCATGAGAATTTTCAAATATCTAGAATGCCGGCTTTATTCGCAATTCGAATTAAGCTTGGTAATGAACAAATGTCCTGAATGGACAAATAATATATCGCTTATAAATCGTGGACATGGACCTTCTAGTTTCTGAATTTATGGCAAAATTGCGTTACAGTGAGGTGAAATGAACAGTGGTGACAGTGAATTATTTTAGCATGAAACTAGAGCCATCTAATCACATATTTTATTTCTATAAGAAAACGGATTCCAGTTTCAAAGGTAGCATGAATTAGAACAAGAAATATTGTTTGGTAATCAATGAATTCTGTTTTCAAATGGAAATAATCTAAAGTAAAAAAGTTATGCCTGAAAAGAGTAAACATTTAGATGAATGAGCTAATCTAAGCTTATCTAAAGGTTTTGGTCGCAAAAAGTTCCTGCTCGCTTCGCTTGCAGGGGACCGTGTTTTCTAGGTTTGCCCCTGGGCCTCCAAAACCTTTCGGCGGCACTGACTGCCCGTCGCTCGGGCCAGATCTCCTTCGAACGGAAGGAGCCAGTGGAACGGTAGCCTGTGTTCCAGACCCCTCTTCTTTCAAGTTAAGGGTCTGGAGCACAGGCTAGTGGAACCGAAGGAGATACAAAACGAAAGCGGAAGTACTCAAATTTCGCAGACGACGAAAGTTGAAATTCAGGTTTGTGTGAAAGAAAGAGAATTAAGGTTTGTAAACTTTCCTAAATTACTTTTTATTCTATAATAAATTTCATGCGACAAGAATTCAAGCTTTCTACAGGGAACGTAGCTGGCGACTTTTCCTAAAAATTGATCGACAAGGTGGGCTAGCCCGCAAAAGGCTAGCGTAACATTCTTTATTCGCTGACATGTAGGAAATTTCACCGTCAAATAACCCCTAGTTCATGAACATTTTGATTATGTGCTGCCTAATTACTATCCTTTGTCAAAATCGAATTCCAATCCCCTTCGTCAAATGCCATCGACGGTCATTTTCCACTGTGGCCAAACCTGGAAGCATAGAAAGCACCCGGGATCGTAACGACCACATAAAGCCCGTTAAAACGCTCTCAACATTTCACTGAACATCGCTCAACATTTGTACTTGTACAGTGATGTTTAGTGATGTTTAGTGATGTTGAATAAGGTTGTTAAAACGCTCTCAACAATTCGACTCAACATTCGTTGAGCGATGAACTTCGGACTCTCAGAGATTCAAGCAGGGGCGGATCCAGACAAAAATTTGACATTCTCAAAACCCATTATGACCGACCGACCACGTCCATTTTCTGGAAACGCCCAAGAAATTGTTTTCTGTCTTTTATGGATGCAATGATTAAAATTATTGAAATTTCAAGAGGAGAAATAGAAACAAACAATAAGAAGTGACAGACACCAAGGGGGGATGAAGGGAGGTAGTTGTCCCCCAACATTTTAGGAAGACAGAGGTCTTTTATTCTAAAAAGAATGGACAATGGTGATGTCATCTTATCAAAAAATAGGCTTGCCCCCTCATATTATTGCCCGAAAAATAACAATGATGCAACATTAAAGAATTAACTTAATAAGCATAGCAACACTAGTAATTGAAAATTGGGTAATGCAGGGAAAAATAACACAAAGATCAAGACAAAATGTGTGTGGCAAATTGTGCTTGGTTTTCTAATGGTTTAACATGTGGAATTTTATAGAAAAAAGTGTAGTTTTGTGGACATCCAAATTATTGATAAAAATTTAAGTGCACAAGATTCATCATAGAAAAAAATTATTAACGAAAGTTGACCAATGAAATTACTAAAAATGCAGGCACTTTCAGAGTATACAAGCCAAAGAAACTTGGACAAAGAAATGGGCAAAAACCTTTTCTAGAAACAAAAGTAGACTGCTAAGGCTAGTCAACTTCTTTCTGGATGCTAACTCTCTTAAATGCATCATATCTTTTGGCATATGGTAATTGCACTGCTTTAGAGTAAAATATTTCTGCATCGAAGTCAAAGTCTGTATATCTGTTTCAGATTTGTTGTTCATCATTTGGAAATACATGGAAGAAAAATTACTTTGGGATGACTGTCTATTTAGTAGATCCATCAAATTTAAATTTGAATCTTCTGAGGCCTGACACTTTATACTAAACTTCCCTTTGCTTAGCTTTCAGAGGCACTTTCTTTTGCCAAAGAAAATGAATATAATTTTTTGCCTTCATAATCTTTCCTTCCACAGGAAGGTTAACCAAAATTAGCTTTTTTTCCAAACCATAATTCCATCAAAACTTAGTCTGGTAATAGGCTGGCTAAAATAAGCAAACAAATGCATTTCTCATCCTTTTTCTTGTTGAAAGACTACTCCATTACTTTAACTCCTGTCATACTAGATTACATCATACCAATTACTGCATTTTAACATGCCTTAAAAACAGATTCTATCTGCCTTTACTGTGTGTACTAACTTAATGTAAAACATATTTTATCAGATAGCATTTCCAGTTCCTAGTACCACCTTGTTCAAATAAATATATCTCAAGATTTTGACTTCTGGT